TAGTTCTTTTTTTTTTTTTTTTTTTTTTTTTTTTTTTTTTTTTTTTTTAATTATACATATATTTTTCTTCGTTTCTCGATCGCGCCAGATCGCGCGTTCATTTTGCAATTGCTGTGAACAACGGGAGTCCACGCGGATAGAAGATGGCGGACTACGATAATTTATTAACTAGTCCGGCGAGTCGAGAGGATCACCGGACCTGTTGGAGGAAGACTCGGACCTTGGTCGGCTCGTTTCGCGCGTCTTGCAACGCGAAATGCAAAAGTTCTTCTCCTCGCTCGAGCGGAAAACCGTTCGTCTATGTCCGCGAGAGCGCATTCCTGCGTGCGATTTAATTTATCCTAATCGAGGTTGAATAACCGCGTATTATATATGTACATATATATATATATATAACCGCGTTTGTACCACGTATGTAACATGCAGCGCGACGCAACGTGTGCGCGCGCGAGGGAGTTCTCTCACGGAATTCGAATTGCAAAAAAAAAAAAAAAGAACGACAGTAGTAATGATCGTAATAACGTCTCGCCAGCGACAGCGCGCTTGTAATGGTAGTAAAGAGCAAAGTTCAATGTTTCTCCCCGCCTGTTGTCGACTCGAAGCGGCGGACAGCTTGAAAAACGTTTATTATATGCGTATACACGTCATAAAGATGTTTTACCTCGTCGGACAATTACATTTAAACAAGAAATTGTTTCTGTAAATTATATATCCGTTCAATGTTAAAAAATTCTTTATTTCGAAAGATAAAATCAATCCGTTGTACGTCGCGAATTGAATATCTGATTAATTCGTTGGTTGAAGATGATCGAATTATAAAATATTGAAACGTTTTTCAAACAACAATTTGCGTTACAGTATTTTTGTAATATTAATTAATTTTCTTTGTGCACATTTTCTCTCCCCGATGAAAATCGCGATTCGATTGATATCGATCATAATTAATTTTTGAAATTATCAGAGCTAGATTATACACAAGTATTTGAACAAATATAATTTTTATCTGTTTTATGTATATTTTTTATGTGTTTTTTTTTGTTTTGTTTTTTTTTTATATCAGTTGTTACCGCTCTCGCTAGAGTGATTCTTTATACAGGATTTACTTATCGCACCACTTAATGCACGTATCACGCAGAAGTGGCTGACGATCTCGACGTCAGGTTGGTTTTCGCGCAAGGCAATCAGGCGCGCAGCATCCATAATGCATCAGGCGATTTTTATTATTCGCTCTCGAGAGATGTATCTCTCTTTCTCTCTCTCTCTCTCTCTCTCTTCATCGTTGTTGGCGCGTTTTGCATTCGCAACGAATTGCTTAAGCTTCAACTGATGTAACGCGCGCGGGGAATTCGCGGGGAAGACGCGATGGTTGCGGACACGGGGTGCCCGTTAAACTAATGCACGTCGCTGACAAGCGCGACGTTTCAAGTATAATCCCGCGTAATGGGATGCATAAAATTCATAATTGCACACTCCGAACGTTTACACGCTATACTTAAGCTTTTATGTAACTATACGCGCGCGGATAGACCTCGACGGTATAAGACCGAGACGCATGATGTTGCGCACTGTGCAACTATTACATACCGGCGTGTCCGGCCAATAGGACATGTCTGAAGAAAATTCTTGCATCCTTCTTCTCTTGTCTTTGAGAAGGGTTGTTTAATGGAATCGTCGTGTTATAACTGTAAAATTACAATTATATATTATTAATGTTCTAATAGCTTCGTTGGTTAATTAGTTATTTAATTTAATTAGCAATTTGTAATATATACGAAATTACGCGGTTTTTCAACCGCGATATAACGAGCGCGCGTGTTCCCGAGTCGATTGGCTCGGATTCCTACGTGGATCGCGCCCTTAACGGTCCGATATCACGTCGGCGACCGGTATACCGCCTATGATTCGCACAGGCCGTAGCAATCGGCACGGCTAGGAAATTCCCGAGCCGTGACGTAAAAAGGTACAGTATACCCGGAGGGCGTTTCTTTCGGCGCGCGGCGCCACCAATATGAGCCTACACGTTTGACCGCGTACATGTGTACTCCGGTGGTACCTCTCTCTCTCTCTCTCTCCCTTTCTTCTCTTCTCATCTCTTCTTCACTATTTCAATTTCTTACTCGCGTTTCGAGTTTCACATCAGAGTAAGAACGAACGTGCAATAAAAGATGGCTTACGTGCCGTACAAATGTTTTACCCTGTAACTTGAAAAGGGTGTGTAGCGTACGCGTGTTTCTCGAGGGAATCGCGACGCAGATACATTGCGCGATGCAAAAGCAACACACACGCCGATGTACACTTTCGCGTACATATTTTCGCAATCTTTCAATCCGATCGGCGCGCGAGAGAATTATCCATTTTTAATTCGAATTAAGTGTAAATCCGTCGCGGCATTTAAATGATATTTATTCAACACTCGTCTGGTATATATATATATATATATATACCGATGACCCTGACATTTACACCGCTACATTTTGCGTGTGTTGAGCAACGTGCTCGCTCGTTAAGCGTCGTTCACATTGCCGCTCACGAACGCGCGCGCCGCGGGAAAAGGAGGAAGGGAGGGATCTCGCCTCCGCAGTCGGGGCACGTAAACGTGGTCTGGATTTCGCCGATTTAACTCATCGAATAAACAAATTTTACGCCTGTACACACGCACGCAATGCATCTCTAATGTTGTCCCGCGATGTTTATCTCCTTAATGTGGACAAAAAATAAAAAGTACATACATATAGAATGTACGGCATCGGGGGATGTTGCATTCGGAGAACTTATGTAGGTATGTTACACACATGCTAATTTGCGGAAACCTGTTCGAAGCGCAAACATTGAATCATCAAAATTGTTTCTCCGTCTCGACTCGCATATTTTGCGCGGGTTCTCCGTGATTCGAAAGTAACACGAAGGCGAAAGTGATTACAAGATATCACAATTTTTATTTATAGTTCTTGTTCTTCGCTACGCGCGCGCGTGAATGTTATAATCTTTCGCGGATATCAATACATGAAAATCGATGATTTTAAGAAATAATTCTCGGCAATATATTTTTCTTTATTCCTCGCTTTAAAGTTACGTAACGCGATAATTGTCAGAATGACGAGTGACAAACTCGTTTTTGTTTTTATATCCACACGTATCAATATTAATCTTCGCGCACAAACATATAAAGCGAAATTCTGTTGCAAAACTTCCCGAAGAGAATCTTTTTCTCGACGCGAATTTCGTTCCCTGGAAACGTCACTTCTCGTTCGTGCGGGATTTTCTCTTTTCCAGGGAATATCGCGTTTTTTGTTGGCGTGCGTATACATGCAGCACGCGAGGTGTCGGCCATGCGAATCGCCCGCGAGTCCCCCGTCGTTAACTGGGAACGCCTTGGGATCACGGAGAGAAACGAGAGAAGGAGAGGTCCCTCTCTTGTACACACGGAGAGAGAGAGAGAGTCCCCTTGCGAGTCGACCGGGTCCGCGTATGTAACGCCCGCGTTATTTTCTCGCTGAGATAAGATCGGCGTTGCTAAAAATAGCGCGAGAGTACAACGCGCGAGGACGAGCGCGAATATCGTTGCTCGCGATGGTGAACCAAAAAAATATCAATCACGAGACAACCTGCGCAAGTCAAGGATTTTATCGGATAGAGATTTGACGCGTTCTCGCGTCTCAGGAGAAATGCGAAGCTTAACGGGGCTTTATTCTTGAACAGTCCTATCATCTCCATCCTCCATCCTCCTTCTCCTCTTCCTCCTTCACGACAAGCTTCGTTTGCGTACATTTATATATATGTATGCGGCTGTTGACCGCTTTACATAACGAGAAGATACCGCAAGAGCTTTCACGAATGTTATCGGTGCCATTACTTCGCACTGCATATACGAAACTCGTCGAGCGAGAAGCGACGTTTATATCTGAGTTAAAAAAAAAAAGAAAAGGAATATTTTTATTCAACGAAAATCCGAGCATTGAAATTATCAGAAATAAACTATAGTACAAAGGAAGAGAGAGAGAGAGAGAGAGAAAGAGAGAGAGAGATCTTCGCAGCGGCGAAGGCCGTCGCAAGGCCGAGCGCCTCTTCATCGTTTCTTCATCGTCTGATCGTTACAAAGCGCGACCCGCGAAATGGGAGCGTTATTACACGGTAATTTAACGAGATCCCGCAAACCCATCAAGCGAGCAGCGAGACAAACGCTGTTATTAGTCGAGGTTATTAGTTCGAACTGAATGCAAGCCGAGAGAGAGAGAGAGAGAGAGAGAAAGAGAGAGACAGAAAATTAAAAACTCTTAACATAAAGAGAAAAATATATAAATCTTCTCGATTCTGATTTTTGATTCACATATAATCTTCAAATATACGCGGAGAAGATGTAGAAAATATCCGTGGAAATCTCGGTGCTCATCAAATTTATACCGGTTTGCGGATAGAAACGAGAATCTTTCTCTCTCTTTCTCTCTCTCTCTCTCTTTCTACCTGCGAATGACGAGAATGTCATGTTTCAGATATACTTCCGATTATCGGTATACCCGACAGGCCAGCGATCCCTTCGCGATTCACGTCATGCTAACAACTCGAGCGCGATGAGCTCGAGCGAACGTGGGCGCGCGAGGATTTTTTCGCAAAACGAGTCTCTGCGCGCCGCGAGATGTTGGCGCGGTTGCTGGTTCGACCGCGCGGCGGTATCGGGATCAATGACATGTGCCCGCGGATTCTCTCCCTCTTTGGGCGGGGTGCGCATCCTCTTTGCGACCTGCGTGCTTGAAGCCGCTCTGGCAGTGGTGTATGCAGAATTCCGAGTCGCCGCCTTCCTCGACTTCCTTCGCGCACGGAGAGCAGCAGGACCTACTGGTTTCTATTTATACACACCTTGAACGGCCGCGAGACCTTGCAACGGACACGCTTGCTCTTGCAACGGCCGAGGAGGAGCCTCTTCGTTCGAACTCGAAATTTCCTACGTAAGCCGCACTAGACGCGCGCGCGCGCGCGCGAGGATTTAATACGCAACTGAAAAATCAAGAAATTAAATTAGTTGTACGTGCGTTAATGATAAACATAAAGAAGACTGATATAAAATTTTACTTTGGCGAATATAAAAAAACAGAAGAGAAAAAAGAAGATAAAATCAATTTGAGCTAGGATATTATTTGATCAGAAAGAAGCAACAGAGATAGCTAACGCTTGTAAAAAAGCGGTCTAAAGTTATCACGTGTATCGTCAGGAAATAGCCATGTGTTTTTGAAGAGTATCATTGTTTTAAATAATTAATTCAAATATTCTTCTATACATTTATTAAAATGGCTGGCGCGCAACAAGCGCGACTGCAAGTATATGACTTGTTTGGAGGTTCACGGCGAGTTTTTTTTACAGAGAAATAAACAAAAATGTTTTTAACACACAAAACTTATACTTATATGTATCTTATTGTATCTTGTCTATTTCCAAAATAATTATAAATAATGGATTGCCAACGACTCACCTGAACAAATCGAGTGGCTCGCTTCGAGTAATGTTTGTAGTGTTTTGAGCAAGTTTTTCACCTCTTGAGTGTTACGGCGCTGCCATCTGTGAAAAATTGAGCCAACTGTTTCGCAGCTTCGGAGATCAAACGATCACGTGGATTTCTGTAAAATTTGAACGTGCGCAGTTTACACACAGCGCAACACAAATTGCCGAAACAATTGTAGTAGCAGCAGGTAGCAGATATTTTTTTTGCAGCAACCGGAAACAAGAACGGAAGATATTATGGCTGTTAGAATAACAGAGATTTTCAATTCGTTTCAAGATTATCTGAACAATGAACAAGAAATACGCGAGGTGTGTATCGGTGTTGTTTGAAAACAATCGTGCTCTTTTTTTAGGTTAGATTAAATCACAGCTCTTCGATCATCGACTAGTGATGTCCGTATTTTTTAAATCTCGATTTGTCAATATTTGCCGTGAGATCAACAATTTGCGATAAAATTCGCAGAATTTTGCATCCAGGTGGTTTTTGCGAAGTAACAATTTGATCTTTAAACTGTGTCTTTTGTAGAAAGTATTTTGTGTTTACATACATACCATATGAGGTGTCACTGACCCTTCCAACGGTGTATATCTGTGTGTGCATGCACAAGGCCAGAATGTTATTTTCTATTATCGTCTCAGAATATATATAAATTTATTAAAATATCTAAAATTCAGTGATCAAAAATGCATTTTATATTACTTCAAACTGTTTTATATTACTTTTGTCAAATTAAAAAATTTATAAAATTCGTTCTCTTGCAGCAAATTCGTGTCATTGTAAAAAATATTGAGAAGAGTGCCAGAGATATCGTGATGATATTGCAAAATATTCACAATACAGTGTATGACACAGCAGAAGAGAATGTAGGTACGTATCTCACACATCTGTATATGATCTCAATCTGTAAGCTTATATCATATGTAGGAATTATTCTGTAGTTAATTAAAGTGACGACCACATATGTATGTGTTTTTTATTACAACTTACAGCTGTAGCGGAATATTGCACAAAAGCAAGAGAAATATTTGGTGAAGTTAGAACGCAATATGCAACTTTAGCACAAGTGGTGCCATCTAATCAATATTATCGCTACAATGATCAGTGGCGTTTTGTTACTCAGAGGTTGTGCTTTCTAGCTGCTCTAGTAACATATTTAGAAGTTAAGATTTTGGTCACCAAAGAGGCTGTTGCAGAAATATTAGGAAGTGTGTACTGATATAACAAAATACTTATTTTTATGCATCACATCGTGCTTTTTACAATAAAAGTAAGAACATATTTATTGTATATTTTGCAGTAAAAAATAATAGAGAGGACGGTTTCCACTTAGATCTGGAAGATTTTTTATTGGGTCTGCTCCAACTGTCGGCTGAATTGGTATGTATTTTCTATAGCTCTATCACGTAGATAGTTTTATAATGACCTGTTTCTTTTAGAGCCGTTTTGCTGTAAATAGTGTCACAAATGGTGATTACGATCGGCCCATAGAAATCGCAAGATTCGTTAACGAACTGAACGCTGGGTTCCGACTGCTAAACTTAAAGAACGATATGTTAAGAAAACGTTTTGACGCGCTCAAATACGATGTAAAAAAGATCGAGGAAGTAGTGTATGATTTATGTATCCGTGGTTTGAAACCATCTCCACGGCCTACTGAAGACACGGCCCACTAAATAGATTTCTATATTTTTTGGTATATTTTATATTGATATATCTTTACATGTGCATAATACTAAATATAAAAAATTTGAAAAATATAGTGTTCATATACATATATATATATATATATATAATATATAAACGGCAACAGCTGGTTTTTGTTTATAAGAATTTTTACTGCCTTGACTTCACTGATTTAAATTTTTGAGTATATATGTTATATATATGTATAATTATTATAGTAAAAGTAATGTTTTTATTTAAAAATATGATTTACATTTACATTGTAAAGAAATATATATAAATGTATATAAATAATTATTTTATAATCCATCCATTAATTACATAAGTGTATTATATAAAAAAGTAATTTATAAATTCTTAGTATCAGAAGCACAGTGTATACAACAAATTGGGATATAAAAGTTTTATTATTTATTTCCAAATCACATAAAATATACCTACGTATATCTTTATTTACTATAAATATTTATTTACAATATAAAATATATATAAATCTTGAATTTTCGACACACACACACATGTATATATATACATATATATTGTAGTATTTTAACATGTTATATAACATTTGTAACACAATCTTGTATAACAATTAATAGCCTTTATCAAAATCGAAAACGTTCAGCAAATTTTCTCCTTTTACGTATTTAGCGTAATTTGTGGCAAACAGCTTTGCAATGTCTTCCGTGCGCGATATACCGGAAACATGTGGCGATATAGTTACCTGCGAAACATATGTTAATGGTTTTGTTTCAATGACACAATTTTATCGTTCGGTATACTTGGCATATAATTTTGGCAAATGACGTTTACTTGCGGAAAACTCCATAATTTGCTTTCTTTTGGCAACGGCTCTTCCTCGAACACGTCTAAAATTGCACCCGAGATCCATTTCTGCTCAAGCGCGTTTATCAGATCTGATTCTCTAATAACAGAACCACGTCCTATGTTGATGAAAACGGTATCCTTGTCCTTGCAACGCTGCAGGACGTTCCCATTCAAAAGCCCCACTGTGTTCGGAGTCGACGGCAGTACGTTAATTATATAATCACAATTTTCCAAGATGTCCGACAATTTTTCCACGGTCCTGTGCTCATCGAGATAAGGTAACTCCTCATTCGGAACACTGCGTGTCATGCCCCAGACGGTAGTGCCGAATATTTTTAAGTTTCGCGCGACTATGAGGAGAAAAAAAATGATTTTTTTTAGAAGAGAAATTATTTTCCTGATGTTATATTTACAACATACTGTATTTACAACATACTGAACTTTCCTATCGTTCCCAGACCCAAGATGCCTATAGTCAGATCATGTATGCGTCTGTGATTTGTAACTTTGCCATCGTTCGTCCATACAGAAAGCTTTTGATTCTCGTACTGCCGTCGTTGATCACGCTCGAAGTTGACAATCTGCGCTATAACGTATTCGGACATGGCCAAACCGAATGATTCGTCCGAGAAACGAGTAAGTATGTAATTTCTTTGCGCTGCTTGTACGTGGGGAATAAAATTGTCCAAACCCGCCCATGTCGCCTGTATCCACTTGACAGACGTCAACTTGTTCGCATAAGGTATCAATAAATCGCAATCGGCCACCAATATTTCCGCTGCGTTGAGTTTCGTCAAGGTGTCCGCCTGTCCTGTTTGTTAAAAAAAAAAATATATATATATATACATGTACTTTAAAAAAGACAACATAAAAAGATTACGTATAACTTTTTATTTTTTACATATGATTATTTTGCAGCAAGTATCGCATGTGTAATTTAGCGTAAACGCAGTGTTAATTGCATTTCTTAATTATGTACAAATTATATAAGATAGGAGAAAACCAGTTTTTTTTTTTTCGCGGTAATATCGCCGATGACTGTGTTTCTTGTTGTTTCGCCGCGCGTTCGATTCTACGCGCCAAAAGATTCGAACTCATCCGAGATTTCCCGCTCGGGTGCGTCGTCTGCGCGCGTTCTCACGTAAACAAGGTGGGAGATCGCAGTGAGAAGTGGGAAGTCGACACGTGCTTTTCGATAAAAGGGGTGTCGGTGACACGCGGGTGATCGAGTAATTAAAAAAGCGTGTTATGCGGCACGTGTGCGTTGCGACGAGCGCACGTGAGACGTCGATACCTGGCAATACGTCTGAAACACACAGGTTCGGCAAACGCGATCGCAAGTGGTAAGATAACCTAGGAAGCGCGGACAAAACCGCGATTATATGCGTCATGTCGCACCGTCCGTCGTTGTGTCGCTCGTTTTTATTTCGCCTCGCGACTTCCGCGCGAGTAATCACGTGAGTCAAGCGTGAGCGTTTTTGCGCGAACGTTTTGCACTGAAATGATAATGACGAAGCGATTGTGTGATTCGCGTTGACCAGATCACCGAGGCGCATTTCAACGACGGACGCTGCACGTGGGCAGCTTCAATTGATAACGATAGGTTTGTTCGTTTTTAGCTGCACTCCCTGCACTTTGTCTTTTGTTTTTTTGTTTTCTTTTCTCGCGCAACTCAATATTACGCACTTTTCGTATTTTTTACTTAAAAATAAATGCGAGAGATGTTGCGTCAGGAGTGAGTGAAAAAAAAAAGATTCGAGCACACGTGAGATGATATGTGTGATTTCGCATTTAGCGCGACTCGATGACTGACGTTATTCTATAGCCAATAGTAGCGAACTTGAGATATAGCGACATCTGTGCAGAAACTGCGAGACGCGAGCGCGAATGTTACAAAAGCGGGAGCCAAGGCCTTTCTTTTTATATGAATATAAAAAAATTATCGTTTACTAATAAAAATGTTTTTCCCCTTTTGCTTGATGCAATATAATTACGTATCGTAATTTAAAAACAAAGTATTAAAGAAGATACGATGCAAACGCAAAAAAAGAATTATATTTTAACGGATGAAAGATACTGTTTATTTTAAATAACTTTTTATGTAAATGTTTTTTTGATAAGATTTATTTTTGTCAAACTTTGAAAACGAACTTTTATATATATATATATATATATGTTTAAGTAAATTAAAGTGATACGAAATCCCTGATGAAACAATTTTTCAGAATGTTTTAGTTTATTGTTTAGAATTTTTCTACAATTGTTTATATATGTTGAAAAAAATCTAAAACCTCTAATAAAATCTTCCTTAGAATTTGTCTACAAGTTGAAACGTAAAGCTGATGAATGTGAAGTTTTTTTGCATCAGGGACATGCGCTTCACATCAGTCGTACGTGATTATGCGAGTCCGTGACGCTGCGCCTAATACGCCCAGGCAAATGCTCGCGCTTCTGTGCAAAATTCGTGTGGGAGTGGCTTAAGTGAAGTTTACCGCGTCTCTTTCAAAACGCTTATGTGAACTCGCGTTAAAGCGGGAGCGGTTCGCCAATAGGAACAAGGGCCACGCCGGTGGCAGCGGCGGCAACGCGTCGATTCCCGCGCGACACACGTCGGTCCGCGGAACTGCACGGCGGCGGCCGAACGTGTTAAATGGCTGTGCGTCGGCCATGATGGCTTTGAGAAGGGACCGTGTCACGCAAACATGTTTTCAAAGTGATATATCTCGTTTGGTGACTGAGTGACCGTGTTCCAGCGCGATGGCCGAGGAACGATGAGGCCCTGAGCGCTCTCTGTGCCGGGTAATTCGGCCCCAGGGCCCCCAGCCAGGCCTCTAAAGGCAGGTCTACGGCATACCACAAACCCGAGGCCCCCCTCAGCCGATCCGACTGGCCTCACGGTGCGGCCAGCCATCCTTGGTTGTCAACACGCGCGAGTCAGCCGCCCTCAGGATGAGCAAGCTGTCGTTCAGGGCGCGCGCCCTGGACGCCTCCAAGCCCATGCCGATCTACATGGCCGAGGAACTACCGGATCTGCCAGATTATTCAGCCATTAACCGCGCGGTGCCCCAAATGCCCAGCGGCATGGAAAAGGAGGAGGAATGCGTAAGTCGGAGCATCCAGCCTCTCGTTCCAGCATGTTTTCCCCGTCCGCCATCTTACCCACGGGCGTGCGATTTCGTAAACAACCGGCAGATGGCGATTCACCTGTTCATTTACAACTTAGAAAATTTGTTAATTTTTCCTTTTTAACGTTATTATCAACTTGTCTAACACACCGTCTCATTTTCCCGATATTTTTTTGTTTCTGATTTGACTTCCTATAATGGCTGACAACGTTTGGTTCGTTGGCAACTGCGAGCTTTTCACACCGCATTCTCTTGCATTGGCTTCTTGTGTCAAAATGTCAAATATTTCTCTGTTTGACGTATTGACAATATTTTTATCATGATTTTCAGAAATACAAATGTTTTAAATTGAAATATACAATAACCTCGAGAACTTGGTTCTGCAATAAAACTCTACATTAGCTGTATTGCTACTGTTGTTTTGTTGACTTTGTTGTGGAACTCGCGTTGAACTACTTACAAACATATTTGCACTTATATACACAATGTTGTAATGATGCAGATATTTACATTCCTTAAATATACTGTAATACTTTGTGGTCTAATTGTTAAATAGATTTTGATATCTATTTTTATAACAAATTTGTCAACTATTATTATGGACACTTGTGTTGCGGAAATGTGATTATTGTTCTTTATCGATAAATGAGTAAACATGTAAAAAAATAACAAAAGTCAACAAATTTATGATATTCTAGCAAAACAGACTAGTAATCATTTAAAAAAGAGTTTTAAACTAAAACATGTTGGATAATATTTTATATTTCAAAAAGTTTATATATATGTGACATATATATGAGTTTTTGAAACAATATTTTTGTAAAAAGATTTATTGTGAATGTGTTTTGTGTAATACATGAAAGAGATATTAACAATTGACTTGTAAAGGCAAAATGTAATTTTAATTAAGTCATTCTACTTGTTAAACAGGAGCATCATCTTCAACGAGCAATATGCACTGGTCTTATTATTCCAACTCCTGAAGTAACCGATCTGGCAGATGTGGAAGCTTATGACAAAATATATCCTGCTGATTATAAGCTGCCACGCCAATTAATACACATGCAACGTAAGTGAATGTTATAAAATAATAAAATTTCAATTTTATTATTTTATAATAAGTTTATATAATTTTGTGTGTAAAAAAAACATTAAAGCATTAATGGTATTATTTTCTTTTTACAGCCTTTGCTATGGAACAAGATATACCTGACTATGATATGGATTCAGAAGATGAAAAATGGGTTGCAGTACAAAGTCGCAAAATGGACTTAACTCCTCTCCAATTTGAAGAAATGATGGATCGTTTGGAGAAGAGTTCAGGACAAACTGTAGTTACCATCAATGAAGCCAAGTCACTGTTAAAAGAGGATGATGATTTAATTACCGCAGTTTTTGACTATTGGCTTAATAAGCGTCTCAAAACTGTGAGCATATTTTTGCAGTCTAATTTTAAGGTTATGTTGCATTGGCTTACATATGTATGCAGAAGTAAATTATCTATATACCAATATTGTGCATATTGGAATGTACATAAATGTCATTTGGACGTGCTTATTTTCGTGTTTACAGAAATCGTTGCCAGTTTTGTTCACATTTCTGAATAATTTTTTCAACAACTTTTCATATTGACAATGTGATTTATTTTTTACAGCAACACCCATTGTTATTAACGGTTAAAACGGAAAATCGATTTGGCTCGGCTACCAACAATCCATATCTTGCGTTTAGGCGACGTACCGAGAAAATGCAAACTCGGAAAAATCGTAAAAACGATGAGACTAGCTACGAAAAAATGTTAAAGCTTCGTAGGGATCTTAGTAGAGCAGTCACGCTTCTAGAAATGGTAAAACGCAGAGAGAAAACGAAACGGGAACATTTGCATCTCACAATTGAGATTTATGAGAAACGGTATGTTGTCACTCGATAACATTTTTACATAAATTTCGTATTTACTCTAAATTAAGAAACGATACCTGTCTTTACAGATATCAAGCGCAAGACTTCAGTGGACAAATATTGGCAGAAGTGTCGGCGTTAAAGACACCGAGACCAGCGTTTGCTCCGCTATTTACCAATCAGTTTGGCGTTCATCAAAATTGGACAAACAAAGTCTGTAAAGTATGTAAACCCACACATAAAAAACGTCTCAATATCTCAGTAAAAAATAATATCATTTTTCTCTATAAATTACTTAATAATACTGCTTTACTTGTAATCTAGGACGAAGTAGTGCCCAGGAAAGAAAAGAGGCAGTACAAGAAACGGAAACATAAAACGGATAGAAGAGGCGGAAATTTAGATGATACTGGCGTTCGTAGCGGAGCCGGTAGTGGCAGCCGAGGGAGTCGTCCAGGAGTTCTTGGAAGCGGGCTGGACCCGCTCATCAGTTCTGATGAAGAAAGTTCGCTTCCATCTCATTCGCACACCCAGACCTCGATACCCTCCGACCGCGATGATGAAGACACCGCAGACGAGGGTCAATTTGTCTTTCGTCGAAATAGAAATAGCACTTATTTACCGGTGAGTCTCATCTGTTTCTTTTTATCCTAGAGATATCAATTTCAAAATCTGGTTTGTTTGAATAATTTATTAATTATTTGAAGTTACACAGATTGATATCATAGAATTTATGTTGTGTTGAATTTTTATTTGTTATATTTTGATCACTATCTGTTATTGTTATATCTCATGAATCATTCCTGAGTTGGAATTGATCGACTGATGTATCGATGAAATATATGTATGTTTTTAGATTTCTTCCGTGAATATCCCTTGTATTTGAGTAGATATTTAAAACAAGTACGGGAAATAGTCTTAAAACTTCTCTTTTTTCAGAATTGTAGATATAGAGTTTTTCTCCTTACAGCCTGTATCAGGTGGTTTTGGAAATTGGCCTTGGTGCGATAAAAGCGAGGGTGGTTTGGCTGACAAGAAGTATAGGTTTGCTTTAACTAGCATCAGCAAACCGGTGCCAAGATGTATCGGTCTCGCACGACGGAGAATTGGTCGAGGTGGCAGGTACGATGCGCGAAATAAAAAAATTTGTTCGCTGGAAAATGCAATGCTTGTTTAACACTGGTGACAATTTACAGAGTGATATTAGACCGCTGCACAGCCGATATGGACGAAATGTGGTCTTCTTTAGATTTCACAATACATGATTCTCAGCGTGATAATGCAGATTCGAACGAGACTGCCACAGCGACGACTACTGTCAAGCAAGAATGGTAACGCGCTTGTGTTTATATTTAGTAGCACATAGTATCATAGTATCTATCAGTAAAGTTAATACATATATATTTTTGTATCGCACATGCTACATTTGCGTTTTTTCGTGTTGCAGGTTGCATTTTCGACCAAAGACTCCGCCAGTGTCGGTGCACAGTCCAAGCGAGGAAAGTAGTTACGACACAGACTCGGATGTAGAGCCGTTAGTGTCCCGATCCAAGCTTCCATACCCGTTCCCGCCCGAAGCGACGTCCATATGCATCGAGGTGGAACCGGAACGTGCGAGCGATGAATCACCGTTTGCAACGGAGTTCAACATTGCGGATTATTTCGCAGGAGACGGTGTATCGGACTTCGAGCTCGCGATAGCGGGTCTCAGTAGTAATACGGGTAGTTCGTGCGTCAGTGGATTGACGGACAGTAACGTGAACGAATCGCGGACAGACGAACTCGGAAGTTCCCATGTCACGGTTATGCCGCTTACGAATAATCTGTTCGCGCCTCTCGCGACGACGCAGCAGATTCGGCCTTCTCAGTGCAGTGGTGGTTTTAGTGGTGATTCTAGTGTTGTACATACTTGTACAAGTTCTTCATTAATTCCTCCCCCGTCGTCGTCCTCCGTTGTCCCGTGTACCATTACCCAAGCCGCGGCATCGAGCACAGTGTTCGCGCAATGCACTGTCGGTGCCGCAGTCGATGCGCAGTCGAATCACCAGTCCAAGCAACAACACAGACAATTACCGAACAATAGTACCGCTGCCTCCATTCTATCGAAATCCTTGACTAGTCCGACAAATAATAGGAATGGCGGTAGCTGCGGCAGTGGCGGTAGTGTTGGTAGTAGTGCGAACGTTAGAGTGTTCAGTGCGACCACCGCGAGCAGTGGTGGTGGTGGTGGTGGTGGTGGTGGTAGTGGTAACGTTAGTGGCATCACAAACTTCGGCAACAGTCACCAGAACGGCCCGCTGTCACACATAAACAACTCTAACAATCTGACTAACAGTACCCACATTGTGAATAATCAACAGTCCACGTTAGTTCTACCGCAGAAGCATCCACCGTCCAATTTGCTACCCAGCCTGATAGCGCAAAGTAAATTGGCGAGCCTCGCGAGGCAACAGCAACAGCAGCAGCAGCAGCAGCAGCAACAGACGCAGAATCAGGCGCAACAAGTCCCAACATCCGGGGAAATTACGCTTAGTAGTAATAGGTAATTTCATTTTCATTCATAATAATATTTTTGAACCAAAGAAATTTAGAAAGAGTAACGAATTTTTTTTCTTCTGCAAGTACTTATACTTGTCGCATGTTGGTGCGATTCTTGATCACAACCAACATTAGAATTTAGTGATTATTGAATTGTTCATAGTGAATCTTTGGATATGGAGGTGGATGGGGTGGACAGTTCGCCGTGCGACAGCAAGCCGCAGCAGCAACAGCTTGTACGGGCGAACAAAACAAATTCACTAGCGATGGAAGTGACATGATGCCTGCTATCGGCACCCCTGTTGCCGCCAATACGTCACTGGGGGCTTCGCTAATTCTTTTACCTTGCCTATGATGTGTCTGCATCGGACGGGGAAATCGGAGATGCGTACTGAGGATACTACCGCGCTATGAACCGACGCGAGAAAAAAAAGAGCGATACGGCTAGGTACAATTGCAAAACTGCTCCTTCGATCAGTTGCTTTCTTGCGGCGAGACAAATAAGCGATAACGTGGATTCTAATACAAGTAACAAGTTTACCGTTTTCTGTTTATTGTGAGGATTATGGTTTGATAAAAGGGATATGCATTCTCCAAATTTATTTTCCTTGCTCGTTAAATCAATATCCATAATCGTCCAATCTTGAATCTGATAATGCAGACAATGATCAGTGATTCTATTTATTTAGAGTTTTCCGTATTGTGAGTTTCCTTCAAATCAAAACAAAAAATGGCAATTAATATCTAATCAGTAAATTTGACTTGTGAAAGATTATAAGTTAATTATAGAAAAACTATATATACATGTAATTAAATGCTTTTCAATTAACGCATGCAATAATTGTTTTATCAGTTTGAAAATCAACAATAGTTTTATTTGTTTGAAGCAAGGAAAAACGTAAATTGGAAATCTAAAATGCAAATTACAATGTTAATTAACAATTACATTGTTTATTCTCACAGTAAATTATATATACATATGTATATATATAATTAAAAAAAATTTCTAGTTATCGATACAAAATAACTAAGCGTGTACATACAGCAAGCTTTCTCAAACACAACATTAATCACTAAATTATCGAAATTCTGGCTTAGAAAGAATGGCTGTACTATATCTCATTCATAAAACATAGAGGCTTTGATTTTTATTGGAAGAATATGTAATGAATAAATATAATTTATATATATAGCTCAATATTATCAGCAATTACAATACTTATTATATTATTTTAATCAATATAATAACATTATTATTATTGTTGTTGTTGTTGTTATTATTATTATTATTATTATTTGAACGGTAAAATTTTTCCAGAATCCTTATCATTGTCTTACGAATTTTATGCCAAAATTAAAATGAACTCTATTGGATACATGAATTTGTTTATGATAGAAAATTGTACTTTCGCTCTTTCGATAAGCAACAACTACAGACAAACAAAAAAACAAATTAATTTCTCGCAAAAGTGTATGATTTTTCCATGAAGTATATGATTTTTAGCGTACAAGGTTCCGATTCGAGAGTATTACGTGGGTTTTTTATACATATTGTAATGCTATTTTCTTGTATGTATAATATTACGTTAAAAAGGCTTCCAGGCTGTGAAATGTCGACGCTGCTATTATCAATCCTTGATAGCATTAAGTTATTGGAATCGTGAGAGAACTCTTTTTTCAGTAATTATCAAAAAAAAAAAAAAAAAAAAACACTTGTTTTGATACCTGCATTGTCACAGACAAATGTGCGACTCTGACTCGAGCGAATATAATTTTAGTAATGTTGTCGTGTTTGGAAAGCTTGTATCGCAGAAACTCGCGAAAGTATCATATACTGTGTTAGAATCTACAAAGTTTACTAAATGGGGCAATGTATAAGGATACTTATGTCTTTCACATTATAGCGACTGAAACTATCGTTATCGATGTATAGAGATGTAATTAACGAAGTACTTCGAGCAAAGGTATTTGGCAAAGTAGATATAACGATCGATATTAAATTCAATTGACTTTGAAGGCAAGATTAACTAAGACAACTTTATATACGTGTGTTCTTCTACGTACGAAACTCAATTTATTTCGTAATCTTTTTTTTTTTTTTTTTTTTTATCTTTCCCATGCGAATGAATTTAATGAAATAGGATTATAAAAGCGAGCATTACGAAACCGCACCCTCCATATCTGTCTGTCCTTTTATATAGATTCGAGAATATTTTATCGACAAATATAAACGACGAAAGTGATGATACGTGTTCTTATTTAAAAAACTTAAAAAAAAAAAATAGAATTCTTATGCGTTATTTGATCGCAATGTGAATAAATGGAAATTTATCGCTTGTCGGAGAATTCCAAGTGAAATTCGGGCGTGTCGTTATTAACATTCGCGTTTGCTCTCCGAAAAAGCAAAACACCAAATTAAATTCATTCTTTGTGCGCGCAACACACGTAATTTGCCGCAAAGTCCAAGCGATAGAGTCTCACTGTGTTGATACAACTGAACAAATTAATCTTGGGCGGTAACCTAAAGTGTACACAATCGACTCGAGCAAAAAACATGTTCACATCTAATCGACATGCTCTTCCTCTATGTAAACGAGAAATGTTGTACGTTTTTCTCTGAACCTCGACTTTTTATTACCTCGAAAAAAAAAAAAAAAAAAGATCAACAACACACATAGCATCTCTTAGGTTTTCACATGTGTCATGTGTCTGTCGCACTCTCTTCCTCTTTGGTCTTTCTATACGCACCCATCTCCCATTTTGCCACTTTGACAAAATGCAAGCGGTGTGAAACTGTAGAAAGCACATGAAAGAAAAAAACGAGAGAATATACCTTCACAATCGAACTGAAAGTACGTCGATTTGTTTTTTGTGTATTTTTATTTTAAACACACACGCGCGCGCGAAAAAGTAAATTGTTTCAGAAACACATGATGATGAAATTCGGAACAAATTAATTTTTTGTCGAGATGATCTGACGTGAAAATCTATGACACCCTTCTGTATCTTACTATCCATTACTATCTTCTATATATACATATATATACATATATGGATATATTTAAAAATCCATATTTTACTTTGACATATATCAGTAGTTGTACACTACACTTTTCCCTGTTCCTGTAAACTTTAGAACAGCAAAGAAAGGTGAAGTAATGAATCCGAGATTTACATATAAACTCACAATTGTTATTCGCTGCAATATTGAAAATTCGCGCAAGTACACTGATCATTGAGTGATTATATAAGAGGAAATTTCTAATCTATTATCCGTGAACGTCTGGTTTTTCGAAGAAACCAACTCTTTGCAATAAAAAGCAATGAGACGATTATTTATCGCCAGCCGTAACGCTAGAGAACGGAGGTATATAAGATTAATGGTGCGAATATTACAAATTGTAGGGAGACTTTTGAAATAATACGAAATATGAAACAAAAAAAAAAAAAAAGGATATATTGTATATATAAAAATAATTACGCTTACTGTATCTCTTACTTTTAGGTAATTAACTAAATAACTGTAATTATATATATGAAAAAAAAAGATGTTGTTGTGGTAGGCGCACAGCGAAAATGTGTACGAGAATTTATGAATTCAAGACGATTTTAGAAAAGGAGGAGTAATAAAGAAAAATTTTATCCTGGATAGGACTTATTATTTTGTTAAGGTCTTCACACTTTCTCGCCTGTACATTATCTAACATTTTTGTGAAATCCGTTTTCTGACACATATTTGTACATAAAATCTCTTTAGATACTCTCATTGTTTCTCTCGTTTTTCTCAGACTCACTGTTGCGCGCGAAGCCGTATCCTCCATTCTTCTCCACCTTGTTCGCTGGTGTACTCGTAGCACTTAGCTTTTATAAACGTTATTTGCTCGCCCATAAAAAAAAAAACCACACACACACACACATCACACACACGGAATACAGTTGAAAAATATGTACTGCGTACGTATACGCCACTGTATATCGAGATCTTTAGTATCGCCTTGAAGAGAAATACAAAAAAAAAAAACAAAAAATAAGAAAAGAAGCGACAACTCTTCCGCCAATTGATTTTGAGAAGAACGAGCGATTTTATGTGAATAACAAAAAAAAAACCAAACTTGTTCGAGAACGTATTTGTAAAGAAAACAAAAAAAAGAAGAAGAAGTAATCTGTTTATTTTAGTTGGAACGCTTTAAAAACAAAATATATATATACATATAGTAGTATATGGATTTTTATATAAAATTTATTAATGTTAAAAATAACGAGACCCACACACAATAGCCATTAAAATTTAAATAAAACGTCGAGAATCATTAAGATTTGATCGCTCCAACCAAAGACTGAGTTCGCTTTACATTTCTGATTTGGCAAACACGAAATTCCACTGTGTGACTAAGACCGAACGTCGTCCGTGTCTTTGCGATAAAGTCGCGATAGAAAAACTTTTTTTTTTTTTTTTTGTTTTTCTTTCATTTTTATCGGACTCTCGGAGATTGTGCGTGAGATTAAAAACTTGTGTAAAAGTTGTATCGTTATACACAACAACGCGCGCTGTAAAAATCACAATCTAATCTCGATGGCGGGGATAATCAAATTGGGAAAAACTAAGAGATCTCTCTCGGTCGTATCAAACGGTGTGACTTCGTGTTTACCTAATTCGTTGCATTCGCGAAAAAAAAAACAATAGTACATCATGTAAGAATAGAAGTAAGACAAATCAATGCAAATATATTCAGAGAGAGAGAGAGAGAGAGAGAGAGAGAGTGATGTGACGAGATGAAGGAAAGAACAGAGAAAAAATAAGGCTACCGACTCGAATAACGAAAAAAGATTATATATATATATATATCAAGGGATTGGAATGAGCTTACGGTTTCAATAGATGATCCAAACGAGAGAAAGCTCTACAACATTTTCTGCGTGTTAAACAGATTTACGATTAATATCGATTGACGCGTCGAAACACGATGTATCTACTTGTACGTGTATTTTATTCTGTGAATATATATATATAAATATACATAGTAGGGCTTCTGTGTCGCTGTGCGACAGGAAGATTAAATCTGGGAAAAAAAACAAAAAGAAATGACGCTTTAACCAAAGCTCCAATTTGAAAAAAAAAAAAAAAAAAAAAAAAAAAACGAAACTTCGGGCGCGAGTATAATGAAAGAATGTTTCTCGAGAGAATAATTGTATAGTGTGCGTCTCGGAGAACTTGGGAGGAAGAAGAGGAGAGAGAGTAAGCTCTTACATAGAGAGAGAAGGGATCGTGAGAGAGGGAGAGAGAGAGAGAGAGAGAGGAGAGATGTAGAGAGTTCTATATAATTACATATATAGAATATTTGCTCTAGAGAACAGCCTTTCGACTTGTTCTTCGAATATAATACGTCATTTAATCTTCTGTCACCTGATAACACCTTTTTGCTGAGAGAGGGTAACGCGCTTGTTTCCAATTGTCAAACGATTCGGCGAATCACCATCAGATTGTAATTGTCAAAATATATTGAAAAATATACAGGTCTTATTTAGAAAATAACTTAGTGTACACTTCTGGCGAATATATAATTTTTTTTTTTTTCCTCAACAACAAACACGCGCGGCGCGTACGCACCTGTGCGCACTCTTGGTTTGCGTGATAATAACAAAGTAGTATGTGTAACAACGGAGTTATTATTGCTTAAGAATTTAAATCTCTTCAGAGAGACGGTTTATCTAACAATAAGCAAAGGAGAGATAATATTTCTTTTATTTATATCGTGTATATTACTTAAGGTAGAATAGAAAGTGTGAGAGTGAGAGAGAGGGAGAGAGAAAGAGAGAGAGTGTGAGAGAGAGAGAGAGAGAGGTGTTACCAGGTAGATGAGTTAACACACACATTTCCGACAACTTATGTATAGTGACCTAAGTATTAATACTCGTAACAATTGCAATTAAACAGCACGATAGAAAAAAAAAAAAAAAAACGATGTAACTAAATGAGTGTATATAAGTAAGTCAATTTACGGGTTGCATTTTGGCTATTAAATATATTCTAACTACTATCTGTAACTCTCTTATCTGGTAGGGGAAAGGGGGAAAGAAAAACCAAGAGAAAAAAAAAACAAAATTGGCGAACTTAACGAAACGACTATTGTACATATTCGTATACATATGTACGTACATACACATAACATTTATAGCTCGCGCGAGCTTGTACAATATATAAAATGCAAACATGACGTACATATAAAAATACACACATACATATATATATATATATATATATAAATATGAATATATAAAACGAGGGAAAGAGAGAGAATGCAGTGCGTTAAAAAAAAAAAACCACCGCTGTATGCAAGTATCTCCGAGTAAAGCATGTCGGCAAGTCGAAAGCAATTCTAAAAAATTGTTTTGTATTTCTTCTTCTTATTATTATTATTATTACTATTATTATTAGTATTATTATTGCATTACACGTATATGTTTCGTGCGCTACAATATAGCAACGAGATATTATTTTTAAACATATCGGACACGAATTCTGTTTTTCACGCAGCAAAGCTTTCTTGTTTCTCGGACAAAAACGAGAGATCGCTGTTACGATTCAACTACGTCGATAGTGCGACGTGATAAAATTACGCTTGTAGACACATAAATACCGATCGATAAAAATTTGATAAAACCGCAAGTCTGCAAGAAAATAAATTCTGATTACATTGGCTGATCAAACTGGTTTTTTTTTTTTTTTTTTGTTTTTTTGGGAGAGGGACAGCCCGTCTGTATGTTGCGTCAGTAATTTAATAAGTTTGCAACAAGAAAATATCAGATATTTTTTTTGTCACTCAATTGTTCAAACGAAAAGTTGATCGATTAAAAATTTGAAACGTCTTTCTCTCAGGAAACTAAGTTTTTTTTAAAAAAAGTTTTAAAGTAAAAAGGTTTTTTTTTTAGAAATATAGAAGATGGTTAGGAAATATAGAATTTCCTCTTTGTAGTAAAAAAAAAAACAAAAAAACAATTGTGTTCTTACAGTTCTTGAAGTTAACATTTTATTCTTGAGTACAATAAGTGCGCGAGTCTTTGACGATGTAACCGTCGCAATGAAACAAACAATATTTATGTTATCTACGAGATATATCTACGAATATTTATTTAATATCGCAAACGCAAAAATAATGTTTATTCTCGATTGGCAAGAAAAAAATTCAACAGGAGAGTTAGGTTGGATTAGATTAGATTCTTTACGTTTGGTACGCCACATGTATTTCCCGCCATTATCGCGACTCCGCGCTTGTGCACTGAATATTAACCTTACCTGTGACTTCTTATCGCACGAAGCAGATAGATCGCGAGTTTGAGCGCTGGGACAAAAGACGGGTTTTGTATACGGTGTTTTTCCCCTCGTGTGTTTGTGGATTTATTATTGTCGACTCTTCCTCCGCTTTTGCATGCGACTTCTGGATTTTTATTTGTAAGGTAAGACGCGAATAAGCAAATAATATAGCAAAAGTTTTTATATTCGGTTTTCAATTGATTCTTCGGCATTCGCTTGTATAGCTTTGAAGTATAACGAGAAAGACATATATTTAACACTATTTACGTCGTTGATACTTATTCTAACAGCGGTATACGATTTATAATTTTAATTCCATTGCGTTTTAAACAAAATAATCTCGACGATAACTTGTGTACGAACTGTGTGTAGATATTTGACATTAGTTTAAATTAAGTTTCATCGTCTTAATAAGAGATAGGATAATGTATGAAGAAAACAATAAAGATTGAGAAGCAACACGATTTAGAATGATCTGCTTGCTCCTCTAGGTGCGGGAGAATGCGTTTCGAGTGCATTTGCGGTCGAAATCGATGTCGTATCGTTGCAAACGATTCTTCTTTCAATAAGTGCATGTCACATACATGATATGTAAAAAACTACTTTATTTTTGTTTTTTTGTATATATATATATAAATATTATTGCGACACACGCATACATGTGACATTATCTCTCCTGGATACATTCTGTGCCGAAAAAGAAAACAAAATATATCATGGCACAAACCAGAATAGACCAGTTCTATAAAGTCACAAATAGAAAGACGAAAGTTGCCAATGAAAATTATAGCATAAAGAAGTCTTCTAAACTCAGGAACACAATTGTGGATAAAACAGTAAGTTAATTGGTTATTATTTAAAGTACATATATAAGTTAAATAATTTTTTTCTCTTTAACACGATGAATATTAATTGTTTCTGTTATTCAATAGGAGGAACAATCATCACAAAAAGTAATATCTATCATATACAACAAGCGAAGTCCACGCAAAGGAAACAGAAGACAAAAAATGGCGCAAAGTAATAATAGCTCGTCAGATAGTCAGTCTTTGCTGAACACTTCAAAGAACAGTCCAACTAAAGTTACGCAGACTAAAACTGTGACGTCGCCAATCACTAATTCTCCTAGAAATTCATATTCTCCCGCATCTTCCGGTAGCTCAAAGTTTACTCCAAAAACAGCGTCTCCAATAAAAAACGCATTCGAAAGAACACGGAGAAACGCAAATTTGATACGCAAAAAATTATTCAAAGATAAACTAGATGAAATGATCTCCGAAGTGATAGAAAATCTGAATTTGGCGAAAGAAGGTGCTATTGCTAACAATGATATCGACTTGGAGAAAGTCTATGCTAGTGGAGATCCAAGGTACAAATACAATTGTATTGACACCACAACTTCGATGAGATACGAAATCAACGACGTAGTCGTGCCTACAGAAATGACATCGTATCATTTCTTTTTAATGGTTGTTACTGTTTTTTCTAAGCCGATTAATTGCGGATATTTCGGTGAGAATGAGTTGGATTTGATATACAAGCTGATTACGCTGTCGAGGAATGCGCAAGCTTTATTTGTACGCATGCTGAAAAGGAAGCACACGTGGCACAGGATAAGCAGCATCGATTACAAGGACGTGTCTAGCGATTTAAAGCCGGTTTTTGACGAGCTTGTATCGCACACGATTTTTAAAACTAGTCTGAAAGACGAGGATACAACTGTTTTGATAAATTTGCTGTCAGCGGATGAAATTCGAAAGCTGTGTCAAGAATTGAAGATCAACGCTGGCGGAAAAAAGAAGAATCACATAGAAGCGATCATGCAGTTGTGCAAAAAAACAAAATCGTTATTTCCCGGCATGCCGAGTCCCGCTGTTAAAGTACGCTCGTCGGTCATCAAGCGATTGGGGGATTGTGTTTTATTGAACACTACAGTAAAAGAATTGGTTGATCGAATAATTACGTTACTGATGCCCAATCGGGATCCTACGGAAACTTTATACGATACATTTTTCACGATATTGAAAGTTGAAAAAAAAGAAGTGAAGCTTCCAGAAGTAATAATAAGTGATTTTCCTCTCTTTTCCAGTAAAAAGCACTTGCTAGAGTATGTAACAAGTTTTGTCTCATCTTACGTTTTGGTATATTTTTAATCTTTTTTTTTTTTATGAATCTTTATTTAAATTTTTTTACAGTTATATAGAAGCTAAAAGCGCGCTAACGAATATATTGAGTGCGATTGAAGACAAGGAATGGAATATTGTACGAGAACTTGGGGATTTAGCTTTTGAACGTTTGCCTCTTCTACTGGAAATGGAAGGGCAAAGGTAAGAAAATAAAATTTCTTAAATGGATGTGAGTGGTAGTTGTTCAACTGTTTGAAAAGACTATGTAAAAACCAATTCGCAAAATTTATTTTTGTATCGTGCGTCTGTATTTTACAGTCTTAAAGATTCCGCACTACCTCAGCATGTCAGACACTTTATGCCGGGTTACATGTGGCTCAAAGTTCTGTCCAAAAGCATCGATGCATTTAAAAAGACCAAAGAATTTTCAAAGGCAATCGAATTTTTGCAGACGTTAATAAATCAGCAGTGTCATATGAAAAATAAAAAAGGACAATGGTACTGCGAATTGATCAAGATAGAAAATTTTCACAAGAAGAATCTTGACGATAGTGTCGCGCTACTTTCGAAGGCAGTAAAAGCCAAAAACCTAACGGAAGTCGATAGATTAGATCTGTTAGATAGAGCGGAGAAACTTGTTAAGAGAAAAACCGGCATTAGCCAGCAAGCGAAAGAAGCTGCGAAAAATATATTAGATAATGTGCTCAACAGAGCGCGGCCAACGCATCATATAAATAACAATACAATACAAGGGACGTTATGTAGGTAAGTTCCATAAGACGAGTCTTCTTAAGTAAAAATCATCTCTTATATTATTTATGAAAATATACATTTTTTTTTTTCACAGCAATGTTACACAGAAGAAAAGTAACTGGTGTATTATCAATGACGAATATCAACAGTTGTATGGCTCGGTTGAAAATCTAGCGTTATATCATTACAAACAGGAGGGATATTTAAGCGGTGTGCACTGCGAGGGTGCGTTTCCGGTTCTCCTGTTTGGCATATTATTTTGGGAAGAAATTTACAATATAAACATTCCCGGCGCTCACGTGTCACCGTACCAAGACGCACCGTTGGATTTATATTCCTCGCAATTTTATGAGAATAGAAAGGAGCAGATCGATATGAAACTTGAGATCGTACGAAAATTCGATGTAGAGACTTTAAGTAAACATTTGCAAGATAATTTCAATTTACGTTGCGAATACAAGTCCGTCGCTAATTCCCAAGGCAATATTTTCAGCGACAAAAATAGTCTTCAAGTAAACAATTAATATCTAATAATAATTACTGAAATATATGTGTGTATATATACACATGTATACATTTACTAATGGCAAATATATATATATATACATTTTTATTTTCAGGAACTGACTGTTTGTTTGGGAGTAGAAGGAATTGTTGGGATTTGTGAGCGACTCATTCACAATTTTATACTTTGGAGAGCTGGATTTCCAGATTTAATTGTGTGGAACATACATAAAAAACAAGTGAGCATGTATATTATTTGAAGAGCTGAGATATAAACAAACATTAAAAATCAAGTATTTTGTATATATTTACTTGTGTCTTTAACAAACGTAAGTTGCATCAAATTGCAAATTTTATGACTGTACTTCGTTTTTAGCACAAGATTGTGGAAGTAAAGGGTCCAGGTGATACACTGTCAACTAAACAAAAATTGTGGTTGGACTATTTGAGTCAACTCGGACTGAATGTAGAAGTATGTTATTGTGAGGTAGATATTAAATTGTTTTAAATATAAAAGAGCTTATATATAAGTATATTTATTACATATGTCGTAACATTTCAATCCTTTCAAGGCGCCAATGCTTCTGTCACAGTAACAGTACAAGGTCCTTTGAAATGATACCTGTGTGAAAAAAATAATTTATTAAAAACTTTCGTATATCTTATAAAATAATCTCAAACCGTAAATGTATAAATATATAAACTGTTTTTCTTTTACAGTCCGATGCGCAGTCACGAGGAGTTAAACGAAAACATTCAACAACTGAGATATAAAATATCAACCGTGTTTTGCGGCCGAATTGATCAGAATTATCGTACAATAAGCGAAACGTCCAAAAACTACCTTGCGTCGGACATAGCTTTCCGATTGTAAAGATTTTAACTTAAACGTCACATTTGTGCGCAAGAGATAAAGATTAAATATGTATTTTTACTTAATTCAGAGTCTGTTAATATGCATAAATATTAGCAAGAGTATTTTTTGCAAGATACTAAGAGAAGTGAGTTTAACAAATGAAAATTTATTTTATATACTTACTGAAATTTTCCTGTTCCCGGGGTTTCTTCTATATTGAATTCCGCGACAGGTACGTTACGTTGCGCTACTTGCGGCGCAAACATTGCCGCTGGATACACAATCGCTGAAGTTCCAATGACCAAGCAAGCGTCGCAAGTATCAACAATATCACCTGTAATAAATTTTGAAAGAGAATAATATCGAAATCTATTTGTTTCTTATTATATATGTGTATGTAACAATATTGAGATTGTTTTTTTCATTCATTTTAATTTTTTCTTACATATTTTATAACGTGACATGCTTTTTATTTTTGTAATAAAAGTTTAAGTTGATTTTGTGTGATTTTTGTTTAAACTATTTTGTCATATATTTTATACAAGAAGACACATGTACATATATATATGTATATTTATTAAATAAAATAAAATTACGTACGAGCTTTTTCTAGCACATTTTCGTCCAACTGTTCGCCAAACCACACAACATCAGGTCGCAACAACGCTCCGCAACCTTCGACTTCACAATGCGGCAAATCTTCTCTCGGAATATCAGAAGACGTGATGCTCGGATCAGGAGATCTATTTAAATACATGTTGCCAAATCAGATCGATGAAAGGAAGAGCGTAATATTGACAAATAAGCCATGCATCTCGATATCTCTGATCACGTTGTAGATTGCACGATAACGTACCCTTTTCCCGCCAATGCCGGACAGATCGGCAATTTCTCATTAACGGCAACATTGCGACATTTGGTACAGCGTGTTTTATACAACGAGCCGTGGAGTTCTATGATATCCTGCGCTCCGGCTTTTTGATGCAATCCGTCAATGTTCTGTGTCACAATTGATACTCTTTTACCTTCTGCTATTTTGCGTTTTTGAAACTCCGCCACGGCTTCGTGTGCCTAAAAGAAGAGAAATAGCCCAATTATATTTTGTTACATACATTGTTATACAAACGAAGATTTAATTTTAATTTTTTTAAAGTAAAATTGAATTTAATTACTTGAAATTAAAAAACTGTATGACAAGCTTGATTATCTGCAGTTTTTTACGCGATTTGTAGATAATTTCAATTGAAAAAAAACAAAAAGGTTTTTTAATTATTAAAGTACCTTGTTCGGTTTGACTTTGCTGACCAATTGCCTGCGATATTCGTAAAATTCCCAGACCAACGAAGGATTTGCCGCAAATGCTTCTGGCGTCGCGAGATTCGGCGCCTGGTATTTGCGCCAAAATCCACCGGCACCTCTGAAAGTCGGCACACCGGATTCTGCGGAGATTCCGCTACCGCTTAAAATCAAAATATTGCTGGCGTTCGAAAGAACCTCCCGAAAAGACTTCATAACGTTGTTTATGAGTGTCATCAATTGATAGAAAATAAATATAAATTACAAATGATCAGTTAAAACAATTCCTGCGAGCAATCAAAATGACGTTGTGTTTATGCTGATCAGCTGATTGACAAACAGCTGAACTGATGCGCCAGAGAAGTGTATAAAATTTGGTACTTTGACAAGAACCATTTTAGATCGACTGATGATAAACTATGTACCAAAGTTTAGGTTTAGGGTTGGTCTAGATTAGGTTAGGTTAGGTTAGGGTTAGCGAATAATCGTCGAGCAATGCATGCGAGCCACGCGCGAGCAGTTGGTAAAGCTATTACGCGACGAAGATATTGAAAAAAAAACGTGGAGGCAGAAAATATAAAATAAAATATAACACAGTGTAACTTCGCATCATATAGTTACATTTTATCAAAATATCACATAATGCAAAGAGAGGAGAAACAATTGGATTCAGCTTTGGAGGCTATCATAATGCGAGTGAACGATCTCAAGACTGCGATCGCCGCGATGATCTTCAAGCTGGAACACGAGTACGAAACTTTGAACTGGCCGAATTTTCTCGACAATTTTGCTCTCATTTCGGGCCATGTAAGTATCTTTTCTGTTTCATTAATCAGTTCAATAATAGTATTTTTAAATTCGTTCATTCTCTTTATACATACAATTGTTATTTGTATTCCGTATGTATGTGTGCAGTTCAGTAGTCTCTCGAAGATTCTCAGCCACGACAAAGCGCCGAATCTCAGGAATCTGACAGTTTTGCCGTTACGCTTAAGTCCAGAAAAGGATGAAGAACTGCTTCGACTGACTGAAGGTAGAATTCCTACGTTCGCACATGACTTGGTTCCAGATTACTTGAGAACAAAGTTAGAACCCCAAGCGGAACAGAAGATGATGCAGTTGGAAGCCAAAGCTGCGAATGTTAACATTGACACCTCACATGTAAGAGGCATAAACTTTTTACATGTTTTGTTTTGTGCTCACTATTTTATTATTAAATTCTTTTTCAAGATATGTAATTCGGAATTGTTCAAATTACATATACAAGCCATGTTGCAATTGTGCAAAAAATAATTGTAAAAATATATCAAACAATTAAATATAAGTACATGTATTTAAGATAGATACATTGAAGCTAACTGAAAATGTTCTATTTTTCTGTGCTAACTAAACAACTCCTAGGACTACAATGTAAGCTACTAAATCAGATAGCTTCAGCTTTGCCAGTTCCATTCGCTTTGGGCTGAGATATGATATATGTCGCAAGCCTACTTGTAGCTATATATAAATAGCTATAGATATATAATATCTGAGATATATGTTTGCTACGCCAGTCAGAGATTTCCCAAATGGTCCATTTAGCGAGTGGAACACACAGATTTTGCCGTGCGTTAAATTTTCTGCTAACTTATGTTGGATTTCAGAAACAACTGACACAGTACACAAAGGTAATTAATCATGTGTTGGAAATAACGAGTAAGGCACGTGAGGAATGGGAGAGCGAGGCTGGAGCCAGGGCAACGCAAGCGCAGACTTACAGCACCGCAGACACTCACACCCTGTTAGGTGCAGTTTACGCCGGTAAAGGACTAAAGGTAAGTTATTGTAAAAGAAACGAAATTTATAGTATTTAAAAAAGGAATAAAGTTTTTTACAGGAATATATATATTTTTTTTTTTTTGCGTTCATAGACTGATTCTATACAAATGGTTCAATCCGGTGTGAGCCCAGTACCTAATAGCATGATGGTAGGCAGACCGGGCAATCAGCAGCAGACACCAGGCTTGGGCAATCCACCAAGTAAATAATTATCTGAGAATTTTCACTTTTTGCACAATTATGGATGTTTATAGTAATATCTGCCGTAATATCTTTCCACAGTGGGACAAATGAACAAAGCTCCAAGTGCAATAAAAACAAATATCAAAGCGGCATCGCAAATTCATCCCTACAGATAAGGAGTATACAATATTTATAAGATTTAGAGACTAGTAATAGTAATAATAAGATTTAAAGACTAATAATAATAATAATACACTGGTATGTTCCTAAGATTAATTAAAAAATAAGTTTCACCACATGATCTAATTGAATATGTAAATAGGATCTAAGAAACTTTTTTTAATATACATATAAGATGTGAAAAACTTGCCAAAAAAATAATGTGTCTCTTATAAAATAAATATATTCTGAATCTATTTTTAAATAATATATTTTCAACTAACATGTGTTTATTATATTCAATGTTATATATTTTCAACTAACAAGTACTCGTGTTCAAATGTCAATCGAAACATTCGTACACTTGTATTTTATGTATGTATTTTATTCATCGAAAATGTAATAAACAATGTATCATTTATGAGATACAATCGCATACGAACGAGGAGATATACATTTGTCCATCACAGGTACGATAGTAGCTTCCAAGCCCTGTTCGTGTAACCAGCATAATCGATCCTGCAGAATAAACGATTCTGCCGGAAGTTGTAGCATCAATTGTAATCCGGTGTAAATTTCCACATCTTTCAATCTTCTCTTTTCTTTTTCCCACATTTGCGTTATGTCTTTCTCCAACTCGTCGCGCTCTAATTCACATTACATTTGTTTTTTTGTATATTTATATGTATCTATTATTTTTATTATAAGTTTTTTATAGATTTTTTATTATTAAATTTTATATGTATATAGATTGATAACTCAATAAGTTTCGTATGCACGAAACATATTTTTTTGTAAATATTATATCAGTTTACCTGTTAACTTTGCGTTCATGTCCGATACCAGATCGTATCTTAATAACGAGTCTTTAATGTAGCTTTGAAAATTCGAACACTGCGACTTTCTCGTGCTTTTTCGAACCTTTTTCTTGAGAACGAGATTATCTAAAAATACAAACCTCCGTTTAATCAATTAGTTTACGAAATGTACGTGATGCGTGATGCGTAATGTTGCGTTGCCTACTTCGTTGAGAATACAATTCCAGCACGGCTCTGGCGAGAACGTAAAACGAATGCTCGTCGTGTTTCTCTCTGGACATGTCGCGCCACTTGTCCGCCGATTCCTGACACGCCAGTCGTAAGAAGGGCACTCTTAAAAATTGCCCTACGTCAAAATCGCACGTCGCGATCACTTCTCGCAAAGAGGCGGAAGTAGGAAAATTGTGAAAATACTGCTTCCTTTGCGTCGAACTCCGCGCGTTGTCGCAGATCGAAAGTTTGTGATAACAGCAAGAAATCAGGATGCAGAGTTTGACAGATTTCATTTTGCAAAAGAGTCTCGACGCGTTTATACTGAGATCTCCACAGGCGTGCAGACCGATCAGACAGACGTTCGTCGAAACGTCGGGAAATTCGCGTCGCAAAGTAGATTCTATCGTGTCGGCAGAGTCGCATGTTACTTCGCAATGAACGTATTTAACTTTAGCCAAGGAATCGGAATAAAATTTGCACTGTCTCGCGCGAGCTCTGTTGACATTTTCCTTGTCCCTTTCCAATCCGAGAACTTGATAGCCGTACAAACAATGCAATATTTGGCACATGTATCCCTAGAAAACAAACATTACAGCACACGCGAGCGACAGATGACAAAATTTATAAATTTTTTTTTTTTCCTCACCAGACCTGCACCCAGATCAACTATCGTTTCTGTACCATGTGATTTGCATTGCGCGTGCACTAGATTAGCCAAATGCATTATTTCGTGTTGTTTCTTCTGGCTTAGACCTGTTTTAAAATTTTCTGGCAATTCCGCGGGAAGTAACAGAGACACAGGTGGCAATCGGTTGATTCTTTTGCATCTGTCAACGTAAGCTTTCAATGAATCAGGCCATTCAGACTAAAAGAACAAACATTAAATAATTTGTTGTGCATTGTTATATAAAATTCTTAATTTCTCTTGACTCTCTCTCTCTCTCTAACCTTTATTGTCTTTTCTACCACAAAATCATTGAGTTCATCGTTCTCCAAGATTTCTAAATGTTTCATCCATTCTTTGGGCGCTGAGTCTAAAGACGCGGTTGTTAATATTTCAGTTACCGGTACGTTGTGAAGCCACTGCGTTTCACGAAATAAACATAACGCCTCAAGAAAATATTTCTTTTCAGCTTCAGTATCCATCCGCACCTGATCTGATTAAAAAAATTTATTCTCAGGCGGTGGGAACAAGTCAAAAGGTGTAGGGAACTCTGCTGTAAATTAATTACATTCTTTTTTCACAGAAGAAACGAAAGTTGGAATTTAATTGAACACGATATTCATTTTTTAAATTTTTTTTATGTATATATATTTTATACAAAATAGCATAAATTACAACATTATTACGTTAACTATTAACGTGCATTAAGTTTCTTCAATACTTTTAATACTCAATTGTCTCTAACATGTGAATGCATGTTAGAAAAAAAAAACATTTGAGAACGGCACGTCGAGAGACATTTGCACTTTAATATGAAATGGAAGGCGCTTTGCTGCTTTGAAAGTAACAACAATTATTTATTCAGTAGCTCGCGCTTGATCCGTTTCCTCCTGACTTAGCACCATCCAATTTTCCGTTTGCCTATTTGAAATGTCAGCATTGGGAGGTCCGATGAGCGCACGACCGACTTTGACACCGTCTTGACCAGGTTTCAGATACTTTTCAGCCACGTGCAAGAGCTGATCCTTAGTCACAGCCTTCAATCGTTCCCTTTGTTTCTGAAGATCGTCGTCCGTGATGCCTTGTGTGAATTTAAGCATGCCTCGATTACTGGGTGAAGTGGGAGCATCGATTTGTTGAAAGATGCCTAGTTTTGCCTCGTCTATGTCACTCTGCGGCAACGGGTAGTTAACTAGAAAATCGTATGTCTTGTCGAAGATGTCGAAGGTGCGAGTGGTGTTTGGATCTCTGTACGAGTAGAAGGAAAAAATTCCTTCGGATGTCAATTTCGCGCCTCCGCCGTAAGCCCCACCTTTCTCTCGGATTTCCGGATGCAGATATACCGAGGAGATCAATTTGGAGAGCACGCGTAGCGCGGCGTATTCCGGATTTGTGTAAGGAACCGTCAGCACAGCCTTGGAACAATAGTTCACAGTGTACGGTAGCACGTGATGATTGCCACTTTCTTTCGCATCGATGCTCCGATCGCTGGTGATTATATAAGAATCCTTCGGATCACCTTTCAACGAATCGTAGAACGTTTGAATACCGTTGACAACATCGTTCTTATGGTCTTCGGCCAAGTTAATAGCCGATCGCAGATGCTGCTTGTTCAGAACGTATTTGGCTATTTCCTGCATACTCTCCATCACACTAGTCAAGTCGCGTATCTGAGCTATTTTCTTCATCCTTCCAACGTACTGCAAACCCGACAGGTTTTCCTTGACTCGGGCTATGGGGGAAACCAGACTGGCAGCGCTGCTCATCGCATAGAGGTGACCGGAATGCGAGATACCGTTGACCAAGTCGGCTGCGATTATTTTTACGAGCGTTTCGAACCTCTGAAGATCGGTCAGTTTAACATTGTTGAACAGTTCCGTCCATAGTTTCCACATGTCGTCCGAATTGCGATCCAGACAATACGACGACACGAATATCCCTTCCTCGTATTTCAGATTTTCTTCTTTGTGTTCGGCAATATGATTTGCGAAGTGCAAGCCGCCAGTCTTCAACCGCATCAACTGATCGAAGCTTCTGTAATCGTAATTTTGCGTGCCCATCTTCGCGACTACATAATTGAACAGTGGCATCAGTTGCTTCAATTCGGTCGGAAGCGCCTTCGTATTGAGTATCCCTCGGTAATAGGAGATACCATTCGTCGGCTGTATGGACAACTGAAGAGGCACTCCGGATATCTTTAAATTGAACGTCTTGTATCTGTCAACGTCAGCCTTCAAGTCTTCTATCTTCAGCGTCGGCAAGACTCCGACGTCCTCTTTTTTCTGTTGCTCGGCAAGCAGGATTTGGCCATTTTTGTATACATATTCCTTTTCTTCCTCGGTAAGTTCATTCAACTTGGCTTGCAACAACTTCTGCTCGGCAAGCGCTATTTTTTCCTCGTACTTCTCGTCAGGCGACATTGTCAGTGTCAATCTATGATTGTTATTTCTAAGATAAGTTTCAATCAGATCCTGCAGATACCTGGGATTCTCGTTTATTCGCGATGTGAATTTCTTGACTGCGTCGTTGATTCTCAACGACTGTACCAAGTCGCCGTTGTGGTTCCACAACGGTGTCAGATTAAAGAGCAAGTTCAGACCAAAGTTCGACGTTTGGTGCTTTACTTGAAGCTCGAAGCCGTGCAAAACGGCTTCGATGTGATCCTTCTCGAATCCCTGCTCAATAACTTTCTCCACGGTGTCGTCGAATATTGTTTCAATTTTCTCGAAGTCTTCAGGTTTCACACCCTGCAGGCTTACGCTGAACATCGTGTCTCTGCACTGCGAATCAAAACCCACGACCGGTCCGAACCCGGTGCTTATATTCGACTCGATCAGAGATTTATAGAACGCTGAATTCGGTCCTCTCAGCAACAGCTCCGACAGCACATACATCTCAAAAGTCGTCTGTATGTCGGTTATGTCGTTGCACAAGCACGCGATGGCGATAGTGCTATTTCTACTGGGATCGGCAAGCAGTGGATCTGGTCTGCACGCGATGTGTTCCTTTTTAGCTTTGTTCCACCGATTTTCTGACGGCACTTCCGACATGGAAGGATCTATCCTGTCGGATAGAAACAGATATCGATCGTTGATGAATTTCAAGTGATCTTCCAGCGGAAAGTTTCCGTACGAATAGAAGCGCGAATTGGATGGATGATAATATTTCGCGTGGAAATTAAGAAGATCTGCGTACTGCAGATTCGGTATGACAAGAGGATCGCCGCCGGAAATGACTGAATACGTGTTGCTTGGTAGAAGTGAGTTCAACAAACGTTCCGCCAGAATAGATTGATTGTCGTTAAAGACACCTTTCATCTCGTTGAAGACCACACCTTTGAATGTGATGGGAGAATTCTTGTCGTTGACGTCCGTGTGCTCCAGTCTCCATCCTTCCTGTCGAAAGTCCAACTCTCGTAGATTCGGCTTGAAAACCGAGTCTAAATAAACCGACTGCAGATTACGATAGTCCTTCAAGTTTTGTGTGGAAAATGGATATATAGTATAGTCCGGTCCAGTCATGGCGTTCATAAACGTTGCCAGAGATCTTCTCAGCATCTTGAAGAACGGATCTCTACACGGATATCGCTCACTGCCGCACAGCGTGGTGTGTTCCAGTATGTGAGGCAATCCGGTTGAATCTTTGGGAGTCGTACGAAATCCGATAGAAAACACATTGTTGTTATCGTCTCTTGCTAAGTGCAGATACTGCGCACCTGTGCTCATGTGCGTCAATCTTACTGCTGTGAGAAATAGCTCGTCTATTTTTGTAACTTCATCTACTATGAATCCATTAAGAATTGCGCCCCTCTTGAATTTGCCCAGTTCCTCTTGTGGCAGTTCCTTGGGCGAATGTAGAACGCTTGATTTAGCTCTCTTCGAGGAATGAAACGTGCGATATTTGAAATCTTGCTGCAGAGGCGTCTTATTTCTCAGAGACGAAGTTTTTAAGAATTTTAATAGCCTCAGCATTTTGATTTTAGAATGTTAAAACGGGGCAAGAAGATAAATTGCACCTGAAAATAACATAAAGCAATATAACAACTAAAGATCAAAAATTTCATTTTAAAAATAATTTTATAAAAGTATATTGTGTTTTTAAATATCATTTATTTAAATGCAATAATTTATAAATTTAATACTTACTAATATCTCTTTAAATTAATTAAGTTGGAATTTAAATTATATATAAAACTTGATTACAACAGACACAATCACTGAAAAAAATATTCCACTTCAAAACGTGTACACACATACTTCTATGTACTAATCTGAAGAAAAATAGAAGTAAATCGATAATATCAATAATTTACATTAAATATAAGTATATAAAAAATATTTAATCAAATCATTATTAAATAATCAAAACTTGTTGATTATTGATATATAGCATAAAATCTAATCAAAAAAATTCAGCAAAGAATCAACAAGGATTTATTAATAATGCCAGTGAAGTAAAAATTCTTACTGACGCAATATTCGCGTTAACAAGCACATACCGGTGCAAAAAACTTAACCAAGAAATTTCAAAGAGCTTGATAATCTTACCACGTTTGTCTTGTCAGTTTGCTACAACGATTGATTCAGAATACTTTTTCGTTCATTTATCGTAAAGTCGCTCGTCAAGTGTTTTCGACACATTTACTAATTTTACGCGAGAAAACATTGACCTTGATTGAACTCCAGATTCTTGCTCAACAACAGAACATGTTTTTTAAGGTAGCCATGTCCACGAACGACTTGTCGGTACGTATGTTACGTTCAAACGTGGACATGGTTCTATTCCGTGCTATGTGCACGAGTTCATGATACATATGTAATTTAGAATTTTTTAATTTTTGTATAGTACTAGCACAACACAGGCGCGCGCTACGCGCACGCTATTGTTATTTTTATTTAACGTGTTGTCAGTGAACACAACCTGTCACCGCGATGACAGATAGTATATACTTCTTCTTCTTTGCTTATATGGCTCACAGATAGTATATACGTCTTATAAACCATATACGATACACATATGAGAAATGTCAGACATAACGCATGAAAATCAAACTCAAAAAAAAATAGTGAGAGAGAGAAGTGGAAAAACAACACGTGACTAAAGTCTTGTGACAGGGAAAAGGGTAAAAAAGAGAATATTATATATATTATATGTAATATAGTCTATATCTATATATAATACACACACATACGCATATATATATATATATACCGTAATCACGTGACCGAAGTCAGTAACACCGCCGCGGTCGCGCGGTCGAGGTCAGTGACTTCACCGCAGTCGCGCGACTGGGGTCATTGACCCCGCCGCGGTCGCGTGACTGCGGTCAGTGACTCCCCCCCACCAAGGCCGCGCGGCCGAGGTCAGTGACCCCGTCAAGGCCGCGCGGCCGAGGTCAGTGACATTACTGTAGTATGTATATAATACATATAATACACAATATAAAGTATAATATTATAAATATATAATAAATTATATGTATATAATATGTATTCTTTAATGTTATATATAATATAAATTACAGTCACGTCATTTTCACGTGTTGTTTTTCTACTCTTTCCTGTCACGTGACTTTAGTTATGTTTTTAATTATGACTGATTTACTGAAATGATTAACAAAAGATTCAATAAAAAAAAAAAAATCTATAAACAGAGGTAAATAAAACCTGCATTCTAATATTGGTTTAAATATATTTATATATATATATATATGTATATTTAAATATAACTGTTGCATTTATATACAAAATAGAACTATTTATAATACAATTCGTTATTATACATTGTTCATTTTGCGCTCATTGTACGTTGTCACAATTTGTGCCGAGTGTGTATTGCGTGTGTATAGTGATTCTAACAAAAACAAATCTCACAACTTTTTATTAGAGAGAAAATAACACAAAAATATTCTGTACAAAATATATTAATAAATATTTAGACTAGAAACAAATTGCAATGAGTGAAATTAGATGTAGTGTAATATATACAAAAGTATATCAAAAACTGATTTTCAATTTTTATCTTAAGATAAAATAAAATATCTCGAAATATTAACGCTGAGAAACGATGGATCATCATCGTTTATAGAATAAAATTTCATTTGTGCAGTTCTGCTTCAGGATCTTCAAATAGATAATATCACATAAAAAATGAGAATTTTTATGCAAGTTGCAAAAGTTAATTCCAAAATGAGTCTTATCTCTAAATTAATCGCCAGCTGGCTGAGTGGAATTTTGCTTCAGAATCTTGAGTATATTGGCGTGATTCGAGGAGAAAACAATCGACAGCTTTTCTTCCACCTGTCGCAGCGGTGTCTTGTTCTGCAGATTGCGAGCGACAGTGTTCGCGCCGCATCTAACTAACAGACCTACAATTTTCACGTTGCCTGCCATGGTAGCCAAGTGCAGTGGCGTGTCGCAGTTGCCATCTTTCGCGTCCACGTCGCATGTTGCGCAGTTCAACAGCAGCTTCGCCACATCGATGTGATCATGCAGGCACGCTAGGTGCAACGGTGTACGACCCTCCGACTCGGTCACCACGTTCACGTTCGCGCCAGCGTCCAGCAGTAGCTGTACCATTCTGGTGCGACCGGTCGCGCTCGCCACGTGCAACGCCGTTTCGCCGATGCTGTTGCAGGCGTTGATCGCGAGCGTGCGTTGCCGCCGTGTTCGCTCCAGTTTGCACTCGCCGATAGCTGAGCAACGCTCGCAGTCACACAGCGGGTGATGGCAGAGACTTGCCCGAGTATTCGATGGCCGTTCGCGATAAACTTCCAACCCAAGGTAGTAACACGCCAAACATATATCGCCGTCGACTATAGCGGCGAGCAGCTTGTCCATCATACGATGCTGCATCGTCTTGGCGTAATTCTTGGGATGCGACAAAGTCTTGTTCTCCGACGTGGGCCAATGACATTGTTGGAAGACCAGCGGTTGAGAGTGCGCGAAGTTGGCACGTGTTGACAGACCGGTACTGTCACTTCTAAGCAGATCGGCAATGCTCTCGTTATATGTTACCGCCAACGGTGTTTGACCTTTCTTGTTGATTATCTTGCGATTGGCGCAATATTCCAATAGGATGCGAACAATCGCGCCGTATCCCCACCTGGCCGCGAGATGCAACGGCGTGTCGCCGTTCTCGTTCGCGGTATTCGCGTCGACTGGCATCCTCATGTGTTCCGACAAGTACAACAATGCCTTCACACAATTCTCGTGACCGCGGTCAACAGCCAGATGTAGAGGTGTGTTCCCTCGTGAGTCGGTCAGTGTGGGATCCGCGTTTGCGTGCAGCATCAGCAGCAGAATGTTCTGATGACCTTTGACACACGCGTAATGAAGAGCCGTAAGTCCATCTGAGTCAGCGGCGTTAATATCCGTCTCACGATCGAGAAGGAAGTCCACGATTACTATCTGATCGTACAACACCGCGACGTGCAACGGAGTCAAACCTCTTTCGTCTTTGGGATGCGCATTAAGATCCCTTTGCTTCGTCCAGTTTCGTTCGCAAGACGCGCAGCTACACAACGGATGGCAAAACGAAATATGATCGACGTAGCTCGATTCTTTGTGAGTCAACAGTCTCTCGACTTCGGACAAATTCCCGTTTTTAATACATGAGAACAGATAACTGACGGACGAGCGTTCCGATTGCTCCGTTTGCTGATTGTCATCTCTGCAGATTGTTCCAGACTTGATGTGTTCCATCGCAGCTTCCAGCGACGTTATCAGAAAGCCAGCTTCGTCCGCTTCGTGAGCGGAATCGGTAGAGAGACGAAATTGTTTCATGAAGAGCAACTGTGCTGTCCAGTTGGATAGACCAGCCTTGACGACAAGGAACACGAGCACCGGCAGAAGATCGTCCGACGACACTGACGACGTTCCGCGCGATATGTAATTTACAGTTCTTCTGAGACATTCGATCTTACCTAATACAGTCACGAAGCAATCTAGTCGCGACAGTTCAATCTTTCCTCCATAGACACGAGACTGCAGATCGGACCGTACACGGAGATCGTTCAATTCGATCTCGTCTAGATTTCTGATAATCTTGTTTAAGCACGCATCTTCTACAGCAGTGAAAGCGGACAGCGATTTTAACAGTACATCTTTTAAGGCGTACAGAATATAAGTCTCTAACGATACTCTGACATTTCTATGATAAAGCTTGTCACCTGAGATCTTTTCTCTCAGTGCCGCGTCTTCCAGCAGCATCTTGAGACAATCTGTGTACAATTCGCGCACCAGATCTGCTTGCATTTGCGCGAATTTGCAATCTAAACTCTTGTTAACGTACAAAAACTCTTTGATCTTGTTGTCCAAGTCGTTGCGGAGTTGCGTATTGGCCACTTCTACTTGAAGAAAATTCACAGCTTCCTGGAGATTCGTGATTAAGCTTAAACTGTTGTTTGATATATACATAGTGGCCTTTAAAGGCCGCTCTACGCACCTACAAATCACAATAGTCATTAGTCGGCTAAAGTTTTGTAGAACTCTGTGACGTTTTAAAACTACCTTGCTTACCACACGCAGTATTTACGCATGTCCCTGCTGTAGAAGATTTCTTCGAAGAGCAAGCGAGAGGAAATTTGCTCGGCGTCGTCGCGAACTTCAGTCAGAACCTTGTCGGCGAGCAGAATCTCGTTGCCGCTCAGACTGTCAAATCGAGCGACGAGATCCCGCCGGGGAATCAGAATGTGAGCGTTTACCTCGTCGTTCTGTAACTCGCGAGCGACGAAACTCCCGTTGCGCGGAACACAGACGATCCAACCTTCCTGAATGACCCGCTCGAGCGTCGATTCGTGTTTATTCTTGAGCTCCTGCAGAAAGTGATTCTCCGTCAGATCCTCGTCGTATTCCGCGTTCATGATGGCTGAATCGTCCGCGAGTTTTTTCTCCGAACGCGCGGATAAGTAATTGAAAATTGTTTGTGCGACGCGGAGACGAGTGTCACGTAAAAAAGCACGATGGAACGAAGCTAATGTAACGGCTCGGAATTAGCCGTGTTCTCGGTGAGGTAGTCGACATCGTGCACGAGACACTCTTATCTCACAACTTGATGACAAATGGTAATAAGGTTAGGTCGCACTTTGGGCGTGGGTCAAGGTAGGGATAGATTGACCTCAGGATGACCATCCTACAAGTAACACGTAGATATATTTTTACGCACTATATAGTTACCAGGAGTGTTTTTTTTTTGCAATTTTTTTAAATTAAATAATTAATTAATGATTGTTTATTATAGAGAAATTTATTAATTCATCATAGAGAAGAGTGTCTTTGCAAATAACTAAGCAAAAATAATCGGCGAGGATCTTATCGACGACGAATGAAGAGAAATTTAATTTGAATTATTAATTTGTTGCTATTGCGCGCTATATTTATCTACGAATAAACGGAGAACTCTCGATGATGTCTCGGTTATGTGTATGTATCATTTGTATATTTAATACATTATAAGAGATGTAACAATCAACAAAAAGAGAGACTTGAATGAAAAATTGACATATACACCGATCCATCTCTTTAATTTGTCACAATTAATAATATACGTGACGAGAGATATATTTAGAAATTTTTTTTTTACGTCATTTAACATGCGTTCTCTCTGATATGTTAATGTCAAGAACTTTTTTTATTTTTTTTATATTAGATCGGAAGATTTCTCGCAAGTGACGGTAGTGTATAATGTAATAAAACACAAATTATATATATTATTTCAAATCTTTACGTATATTATTTACGTTTCTTACATATGAATTACATTTTAAATGTTCTTTTGTCAAAACAGATTTAAGAAGGATTTAAGGATTTATCACAAAAGGAGAAAAACTGCATTCTACGAACATACAACAGCTTTTATTTCTAGTTAGATGTAATTAAGAAACAAAGGTGAATATCTTGTTTGTTGTGACGTAATCTTCTTAGTACACAATGGAGAGTATCTAAGGATTGCTAACCCATTCGGACCAATTTTGAATCTGCTCGTAGAGCTGTCTTCCAGGACTCGCTGTTGCGATCACCTGTCGCCCACCGATCACGCGTACATCGCTTCGGAGCACACCTTGAGATTTACCGCATTGTATTAGTTTGTGCGCGGCGTTCAGCATTTTCTGACTAGCGTTTTTGTCTAAAGGAAAAACAAAAAGAAGAAACAATACAAACATTTGCCGATACAACTCACGCCTGTGAGTCCGTCGAAAGAGAATATATACCGACTATAAATTAGAATGATTAATCATAAATAACAGGATTTTTAATTAAAAGATGTCTGTTCAATTAATTGCAACCGTGAGGAAAAAAACGACGGTTTTTAACTTACTTTCGAAATTTCCAATGAAACTTATGCCGATAGATTTTTTATTGTATCCGTACGTGTGCGCTCCCTCGCGCGTCCAACCGCATCCCTCGTACACGTTTCCATCGCCACCGATTAAAAATCTGCGAATGGTGGAGAACAATAATTTGTAACCACATTCGGTGTTTCTCGAAAGAAACAGAAACGCGTCTTAGAAATGTGCGCGTAAACTTTGTACATATATTTAAAACGTTTTTAAAGCGACCGAAAAAAAAATGTGCTTATATAAATGCAGAGACTGAAAACAAATACGAGTGATTTACGAGTAACCAATATCGTCCCAGCCAAAGTTATCCATGTGATAACCCCGGATGTTGTCGACGCGAGTTGTACACGTTTGGCGCGAATTGCACTCAGGAGTAACTGTATGATGTATGACGACATATGGTATCGGTACTATCAGGTAATTCACGTCGCCGGAGGGCACGGTGCTCCACTGACTTCTCCCGATGATGTTGGGACACTTGGCTTTTACAGAAATAATCAATTAAAATAATATAAATTTGCAGAATTTTTTCATTCAATTTTATATAATAATTTATACACGTAAAGTCTAATTTGTGCACACAACTAATAATATTTGTTAACGATTTTATTCAAGATGTGGAAAAAACCAATAGAGCGGATGTTACTTACCGGCGATACTGGCAGTTGCCAGTAAAAATACTCCCAGCCAGATCATTCTTGCGAAACGTTGAAACGATGCACGACGTTGAAATGCGACTGCACGATGATCGAGGAAAGATCGGAACAAGTCAATGTCTCGCGGCTGATGACCCGTGATAATGAAAGAGACGAAGAAAGAAAGATAGAGAGAGAGAGAGAGCAGTCTCTTCGGGGATTCCCTCGAATGGGTTTTTAAATAACTTCAGTATATCATTTCAACAGTCTCTTCGGGGATTTCCTTGAAAGAATTCCTAAACAATTTCAATGTTCCGTGTAACAGTTCAGCATTTCTACGTAATTCCTAGGAAATGTCATTTGTCATCTTTTGTGTTGAGAATCATTTGTCATTACTTCTCACAAATTTTGAGCCGGTAAAGACGCTCACTAATTTCCTTACAGGAAATTTGATTGTGTCGTTTGTTTATTCTTTTTTTGTTTCTCTTTTTTTTTAAAATATTGAAAATATTCGAAACTATTCGGTGCGAGCGCGCACCTTGCTCAATAGCGTTCATCTAATTGGTCACCGAATTGGCCACTCTTGCGATATGAGTGGTCGATTGACTCAACTATCGAATTAGATTAGAACTGATCAAATATTAGAGAAGATTTATCTTTTTGATCGATACGGATTGAATCGTTCCCGGGGCGTTGTCAATCTGACAAGTCGACCAATCATACGATTGTTTGATTGATGTCGAAGCAAAAACACGCTATTTGTGCGTCTCGTGCCAATGAACAGCATATGTCAAAAGTGACAGATAATGCGCGGAATTTGTAATGGTTACAAAAATAGAAAACGTATGTTTAATTATATGACAAGTGTGCGCAATTTGTACCGTTGTATAAATAGAACGGTATGTGTTTAATTACAAACAAGATACGACAATGTATTCAAACATTTTGTGAAATAAGGAAAAAATAGAAGAAAATAAACTACACAGTAAGAAAATCTCGAGACTCTTGGCAAGCAGGTCATAATATTATGCAACGCATTTTTCCCGACTGTGTGAAACTGCCATTTTTTTTTTTTTTTTTTTGCATTCGCATGCAATCTGTGTTACAATTGCGTCTATCCTCATAAAATTCACGCGTTTGCGCACAAGCGTTATGAATGTGATTATTCATGCGATCTTTCATACGCAATAACATACTTTATGCGTGTGTGTGTACGTGTGTATATATATATGTCTGCTGATAACATATATATATATATATACATATGTAGTATATACACACGTTATCGGCAGCATATCTGAAATTAATTCGCACCGTTACGAAGTTTCGGGAGAGATGTGGGAATTAAAAATGTTTGGAGAGAAATTACTTTCTTCCTGTCCGTTTTGAATAATTTATTAAAACACAACGTTTAATACTAAAACACTCTCTTTTAAGTACACTGTTTTAGAAACACATATCTCTCGAATATACTGAACACGCAGACACTTCCTGCAGAAAAACACACGTTCCGCAGATAGATTCACGTTTATTTCGCAAAGTATACGCCACTTAGCATAAAACTCGTCAAAAAAAAAAAAAAATCGTGTGCAACGCATGTTGTGTAATTACGGATAGTTGTGCAGCCGTCACATCGCGACGGTAACGATGTATGCAATACATACCTACGTTCTGTAAATTTATATTTTACGATGGTTCGAGAAAATTAAAAACAGTGTTTGAGTGATGCGTAATCTTCCGTTGAATTGACATTTGATCTTCTCGCGAGATTGATATTGCGTGTTTTCTCAATTACGCTATGGAATATTAAGTTTCAATCTTTTGTAAGAAGTGGATATCGTAAATAGGATTACTTACGTCCAAATTAACTCTTGTCATGAGTGTAATATAACACTTGGGTCCGATATATGTACTTCTGAAATCTGATTGTTTTTGATATGAAATAATGAGAAGTATGAGGTGTAAGCATGTATTAAATATTTAACGTAATTATTTGTTACTGATCGCTTTACACGCGGCTATAATCAAACGACGCATCTCGTCTTTATCAAATATACGATAATAAACGTTTGGCTGTGCCGCAATTAATTGATTATATATTGACATGAATTTATTACATACGTCATATCTTATCCGATCTTTTTTTTGCTTCAAAAATATCGTTGCACAGAAGGATTTTGTTGTTCTGTATCTCGGTTTTGATTATACACGGTATGTAATCGACCGCGCAATTATCAATTTGCGTAACATCTCGACAATTTCGAACGTGAGCGTATCATATTTTTTTGCAAAATTTCTATCGTAAGCACCTTTCGGCAAATATCAGCTAAACAACAACCAAAATCTGATCTGGGTGGGTGGGTTTGTGTTAGTGTCATTTGTGTCATTTGTGTTAATATCAAATAGTAGAAAGGAGATGACAACGGGAGATAAGCCGGATCGATTTTGGAATTCGCAGAACAAGCGTGGAACGCGCGCACGCGAAATTATCGACGAATTAATTCAAGTCAAGTGTAAATGCGATAAAAGCGCAATTTATTGATTTATATGTCGCGAACTATCCCATTGTATGTTGATACATATCTTCGCGAGATAGACGCCCTTGAGAGATACGAAGAGTTCGATGATGCGTGTTTCATGATACGACGAATTGTTAAACGAGGAAGATTTTTTTTTTTTTTTTTTTTTTTAATTTTTTTTATCGGAAGCGCGATGAAGCAATTGTAATATTTCACAATGCAATTTGTTAAATGTGCCTCGTACAATTTTCGATAAGGCACGATCGGACGAATCGGTGTTAGAAAGAATGCGAATAATCGCGCGCGCATAAATTAGCTTCCACATGGTTGCTTTGGATTGCGGTGATACGACAAATGGAATTTAAACACACGTGTAATTAGGCGTGACATGTAACGAGGCGATTACGAAGAAAGAAAATGACTGTGTATTACGTAAAGTCTTGCGGCTTTCAGCGGGCGTGCAAACGACTCCCGCCGAAACCACCGTTTTTTAATACATCATCTCGTTTTTATACACATGTGATATATTTATATGATTGCGATTTTCGCAATTAGTGTTTTACACGTGTTGCGAAAGATAAAGGTGCCTAAAATGTTCAACATCCGTTCGTCTATCTGATAATTAACTCTTGCCAATATCTCGCTCTTTAATCGTCATAAAAAAAAAAGATTCATCTCGAGATAGTAAGAGATCACGGGAGAGATCGACTGTTTCGACTTTATTTTTTTTTTTTTTTCATGACTGCGACGAAATATTGACGATTTATATAAGTGTGTGTGTGATATAAATTAAAGTTATTAAATTTATGTATATTACTTATATATATTATATAATTTATTTAATTTTATATTATATCTCTTATATACATAATTCTAAATATGTACAATTTTCGTTAGTCTAATCCGCGATTACCGCAGTTCGTCCTTTCGGAGGAATAAAACAAATTTGTCTGCGCGTTGACGTGCATTTGAGATGATGTGACATTCGCGACGTCGATTCAATGTCACGCTTCAATTATTGTTCAAGGATTTCGCGCGCGAAGGTTGTGAACGCGCGATCTGTCGATGAGATTCTTCTCGAGAATCGACGACGAAAACGGAACCGACGGAATCTTGAGAACGTGTCTCATAGAGAAGAACGAGAAATCACGGGCGCGGACACGCGCGAGATTTCTCAGAAGAAGAGTCTAATTAATATGTTATACGCGCGAAGCGTTTAACTTTTCGAGGCGGACCGTGAGAATAAGCGCAAGGTAGACTTTTTTGGCGCTTCCTCGGACGACGTTTGCTTCTCCGCATCGGGCGACTTCTTCTGTTCGATGTCGCGCAACACGAACTCGGGATCGTTCCAGTATTGTACTTCGCCACTGGCGAATATCACAAAGATCATGTTTGTCACAATGAAGACACCCAGAACGATCCAGAAAACAGTCCGCCATTGGGTCAGTGTTTGTTCGCTCGCTATCGTGCCGACGATGTACGGTGTGACAATACCGCTAAGCGCGCCGATGCCGTTCACTATCGCCATAAGAGTACCAGAGTAATTGGGACTGAGATCTAGTCCGTTGACCTTCATTCCAGGATAGAAAGTACCTGTAGAGAGACAAGAAGTTGCAAAGAAAAACAGTTCTTCAATGTGAAGGATCGTTTTTGCTTTATCTTTTAAACATTGTCGTATGATGTCGCGTACGTACCCATCAGAGCCATGCCAACAGTAAACATGGCCACAACCAGCGTTCGGTCGCATTTGGCGTACGAGGCGATGATGATGAAAACGCCCGGACCGATGGAGGCGATCGTCGTGCCGAGTTTCCGCACGTTGGTGCGCGTCATAACGCCCTTGGTGATTATCTTGTCGGCCACCCAGGACGACGCGAGGCTGGAGAACCACATGACGAGATAAGGCAACGACGAAACGTAGCCGTTGTCCTTGATGGAGTAATGGAGAACGGAGCTCATGTATTTGGGCAGATCGGTGACCAGAGTAAAGAAGCCCCAGTCGTGGCCGATCTGTGCGGCAATCAGCGCCCAGACCGGTACCGAGGTGAGCATGTGTCGCCACGGCACGGGCGGCACTTTCGTGTGGGTGTGCTCGTTCATGCGTTCATTCAGAAACTTGACCTCACGCTCGGAAATAAACGGATGTTCGTACGGATTGTTGTAACAGATCAGCACCCACACGACGAACCACAGCACGCCAATTCCGCCAAACACGTAGAAGACAGCGGGCCATGAGTGCCACTGATGCAGAATCTCGCCGGAGATCACGTTGGCGAACACCGTGCCGATTTGAGCACCGGCGAACACCAACGAGCCGATGATCGACCTCTCCTCGGGCGGTGTCCACTGCGCGAGCATGGCGTTCAACGCTGGGAAAGTCGTACCTTCGCCGAGACCCATGAGGATACGGAGCAGCAGCAAACCGATCCAATCGCCCCAGTAGACCGACAACGGTGTAAGCAGTGTGAAAATCGCGGTGGACAGAATACCGATGCCGAGAGAGTACTTGCCGCCGAACTTCTCAGCCAGCAATCCGCCCGGCAGATGCGTGAGAACGTAGCCCCAGTAGAAGGACGAGAGAATGAGACCCTGAAAGAGAGAGAAGATGTGAAAAAAAAAAGAGGTAAAGTTTGTGAACAGCCTTTCAATTGATTGAAAACTAGATTAGAGCAATTTTATTTAACCTGCGTAGGTTCGTCCCAGTCGTAGCGATCGGTAGTGCTTATGTTCTTCTCTTCTTCTCCTTTGATCCTCGGACAGGTGTTGTCCGTGTAATTGTGGTGTATCGGAATCGTCATCTCCGTAATAGTGATCGAGAGACATATTCTCATGGTGTAAGCGTTCATGAGTGCCAGAAAGCCCATAATGGCGAATATCCATCGTTGCGGCAATCGGCCGCCTGCAAACAACAATAATTTTTCGCCACATTAATTTATTTCGGAAAAAAAACTTAACAATTAACTCTCCCTCTCAACCGACTTGAATCTACGATTAGAAATCAACGATAAGAAAAAAGCGCACAACAAAAAAAAGTCTACGTTTGCGCACCGCGTAGCGCACAAAAATTTATTCTTTGTTGGACTTGGGTCTCTCTATATTTGCATAGATATCTCGGTCGTAACTACTTTGTCACTCATTTGCCATTTGTTCCGCCGTTATTGGCGAGATGCATATTTTATGATTTCTTGGTGCCGCGAGAGGGAAGTTTTTGCGCGACTTCACTTTCACTTGTGTGTCGTGCCGCTAGTCACTTCGCGAGTCGCGAGTCGCGTAACGATTTTAACGCTCTGTTTTTTTTTCTTTTTTTTTTTTTTTTTACGAGGTTCGAAAAATCTCGTCTCGCATACATACAGAAAAAAAAATGACGACTGTGCTAAGTTTCAATTCTGATTATATAAAGATGAAGGTCTCTCTCTCTCCGCAACGCGCGAGAAGTCTTGCGCAATTTCAAACAGCTATTTCCTTCACCATTTTTGGGAGGAACAAACCTTCTCGTTCTCGCTTCGTTTTCTATTCCACGACGACGTTCCACGACGAGCGTGATGCGCCCGGCGTGCGATATCACGTACACACATACGCGGGTACGTGCTTTGAAATATATTGCGTAGGTACGTGTGATATTTCTCGCCCGGGAATGTGAATCCCCGGTGAACGCACCTGGCGTGTTCGATTCGATCGCAAAATACAAGAGCGTTCAACCTTCCAGCGTCACCCCCGTCGAGGATCTCAGGGTTGGGCGCGCGTGTCTTTTTCCTTGTGTAGAATCGCGAGTCACGACAGGTCTCTCGATCGTGACGGACGTCTTCTCGAAGCCTGGCCTTTACCTACATAACGACGGCAACGATTCACGACTCGATTCGTTATTCCGTCTTCGTGCGCGGGGTCTCGAACTTTCCTCGTCGTCGACACTTCCGACGACAAAGCCCGGAGGAGGAGAGATGGCTCGTCGCCACGCGTGAAAATTCCACCTATTGCGTGTCCCGTTGTAACCGCTATTTTTCATGGAGAACGTGCACGCGTTCTCGCATAAGCAGAAACACGTTATAGGCGAAGTAAAAGTGAGATCGAGGTATTTCGCCATTATCGTATTTTTTTTTTTTTTTTTTTCCACACACACGTTGGAAAAGTACGCGCGCGTGTGGTTTACTTCGCGCGGTACTTTTCGCGAAGCGAGGTACTTTATACTCAATCAGTCGAGGTACAAGGAAACCTCCGGCGAAGGCAAATGGATAATTTATACATCCGGCGAATCCTTTTTGTTTTTTTATCCTTGTTGAAAAAACAAAAAAAAAACAAAAAAACGTGCAATTTATCTGCGTGCTTATTTGCACTTTTTTAATCGATCTAATCTGCATACATCTCGCGGTACATACATCCGTTCGGATTATATATCTGCTTCGCTGATTTTTTATGCCGATGATAGCGCATGATCGATGATGTCGCGGTTAAACAGAAAAATGCGGTTATTTCTTCAAACAAGCGGAAAGAACGCGCGCGCACACGAAATCGTCTTCGACGCATCTCTTCTTACGGAAAATTTATCAAAGACGTTTCCTTGAACTATATTTTGTTCGCTTATCGAACTATTGCCGAGAATTCCGAGTGTTTCGAGTATTTAGCGGCTTTTAATTGCGTTCCGTTCCAATTGCTCGCGCGCCAAATTTTCCTCGTTGAAAGCCGCGAAGTAGGAAAAACCTGTGTTTCTCGCGGAAAGCGCGGGAATATATCGCCCGCATCTCTCGACACAAGGCAAAAGGCGATAATCTTCATCTTGTTGTTGTGCTGCGCGCCGTCATCGTTGGAAATGCCGCGACTTTTGACGTCGAACCGATTTTGAATCGATAAGTAACTTGATGATTATCGCGCACGCACAAGCAGCATGTTTTCGTTGATAGCGAGTTTTTAGGGAGAAAAATTTCTTCTTTCAGAATGAAGTTTTCGTAAATAAAAAAATAACGCGTTCCGCGCGATCGAGACAAGAATTAACTCGCGAACGTATCTCTATTCGTGATCGTTATCATCTAGCGTTGATGCAATTATCTTTTTTTTTTTTTTTTTTTTTTTCATTAACTAAAGCGTTACACATTTGTTGATATTACGATGCTAAACATTACGCAATTGTGCTTCGCACAAGACGCGCGCATCGCTCCGCGCGATCGTGACGCGATCCATCGGGATAACCGCTGCATTTTCATCGCGCGTGTGCACACACACACACACACACGCTCTTTTCTCTTCGCTTCTTCGTCGGGATATCCCGTTGTTCCTTTTTTCGATATTCCGACTGCGTTCTCGCTCTTCGCGCGAACTTCAACGGGGGAAACGAAAGGCGCCCCGGTAGAGCGGTGCGTCGATTAAACAGTTAGAACGCGATTTAAAAAAAAAAGAAAAAAAAAGAAAGGAACTGAGAGAAAATCAAGAATAAACAATTTGGAGTGCGAGAAAAACAAAAAACACGCGCGCGAAGAACTCGAACAGTAAGAAGATGACAACTTCGGTGATAACATCGGACTTTGCCACGAGCGATATCGCAAGTTTTGTCACGATGCACTTTGAGTATTCGAGATATATTGTACAATCGCGACCAATACCGCTCGCAATTGAGCTGGTCGGCAGATAAAAAAAAAAAAAAGAAAAAACAATTATTTTTTTGCACAATTTTCGACTTCCTGGGGATTAGCTCGAATTTTCGTTGAGCGTCAATGTAGCTCGCGCGAACGACGTACATGTAAAAGTGGCTGGAATTGAATTGTTATCATTCCATCTGGCGTATTTTCGCGATAACATTCGCCGGTTATCGGTTGCTGCCGCGGAATCGCTTACGGAGAGACAAATTCGCAGCGCGCAACGATGTGATTTACGACGATATATACTGTATAATCGTAAGGGCTCTAGACAACGTGGCGTGTATGAAAGAGAGAGAGAGAGAAAGATGCTGCGCAAAACGCGCAGCAAATTCGCGACACACATACACGTCGCATTAGCGGCTTAAATAACGAGAAATCATAAAATAAGGTATAAAGATATTAAACCGTCAGACTTGCGAAATTATATTTGACGGTTCGCTAAACCCTCAAACGACACGCACTCGTTGTAAATCATTCGGGTTTATAGACTTGATCTTTGCGCTGTGACTTTTTCACTTAAAATAAAAGAAACGATTAGTAATTTTGTTCTTCTTTCTCGCGCGATTTCTCTCGAAACGAAATTATCTCACACATTATCGTTGACACATGCGGGAATGGAGGAGCTGCTTCACAATTTAAAGTCACGGGCTGCCACAAAAAAAAAAAAAACAAATAGTTCATTCAATCGCGCGATTAATTTAACTTCTAGATTCTTAAACCAACTGTCTGTCTGTGTGCAAGAACAATCAAACATCAACAAGAATATATTTCAATTAAACCGATGCTGTTGATTCAACATCATTTTTTTTCCCCTGTGTGTGTAAAAAAAAAATTTATGATTATTAGATTAATCGCGCGTTACACATTCCATTCGTTACATGCAATTCTCTTCCAGTGGAATCTCAATGTTTTCAGCGTCAATATTTTCGAGCGTGAGTCAACATATCAATCAATTTCTCACAACATGCCGATATCTCTATAATTGGAAATTAGATCGTTCGCTTAAGCGCTTATCTTCTTTTACTCATTAAGAGAAGACACAGGTCGATACGTTCTTGACGATAGGAAGAATACGCGTTCCAAAAAGATATAAGTGACTTATTCACGAAGGGGAGCGCATATCGACTCCCGCGACTTAATCGTTCGATTACTCTTAACTTCTCGACTCCTCGCGCGATGTTGTACGATGTATAATATACATTTGGCGCGGATAAAAATCGCGCGTGTGCGTGCGTTCGAAATTTGATTTTGCGTTTTGTTCGTGATACATTCGGGGACAGTGACTTTTGCGCGCAATTTGCCAAAAATAAATTTACGCTGATACGAAACACTATCGTTACGCGATAAATATTTCCGCGCATAATAAATCAAACGGGCAGATAAAAGTTAACGTCTAATGCGCGGTGATTAAGTTTTTTTTTTTTTTTGCCATGTTGGATTTCGAACGCGCTCTCGCTCGATATCTTTTCCGAAGTAGCACATGCGTGAGTTTCTTCACATCCGAGGATGGGAAAAGAAAGCAAATTATATTTTCGCAAAGTTTCGCGAACAATACAAACATGCGCGCGCTCGCGGACGAACACTTCTAAGGAATAATACAGAATAGTTCGTCTGTCTGGGGGGGGACACGCGCACTTTCTCTTAATTTACAAAAACAATACCGGAATTGCGTACGAATTTCGCGACACACACGCCGCGCTCCACATAAAATACCCGCGCGTTTGCGCACCTGTACGGTCGCGTGATGCAAACATATGTAAACACACACGTGAATGCACTTGCGCATGTAAAAAAAAAAACGACACGTATCTAAATAAGCAGAACGTATGCAGCTGCATCAGCTGTAATCCAAAGTGACTCGCGTACAAACTAGCGGCGAACGTTTACAAAGTTAAAAAAAAAAAAAAAAACAACAACAATTTTTGCTTCGAAAAAAATCGCGTTACGAAGAAATTTGCAAAACAAGTTAATAATGAAATCCGTGTCGCGAAAAATTTCGAATTACGAGTGTTTAGCTTCGAGAACTTCGACAAATACGGAAACCCGATGATTAACTCCGAAGAAAAATGCATATTTGCGCGATAAGCGAGCGGTTTTATCGATCAGATATATAACTTCTGTTGTCATATTGTCATTTGATAGCGCGCGCTATTTATTTGGTTCACACATCGTTTTTATATAAAAAATTGAGTTTTTATCGAACTCTCTGAAGTGTTAACTGTACAGTGGCAATGACTAATCGACGTCAGATTATCGCGCGCTTCTACAATAATGTGTGTTGTCATAATACGCAATAATACTCTGCAGATATCTGTCGATCCTTTTTCCGATGGCTGATTGTTTCTTTTTTGTTTTTTGTTTTTTTTTTTTTTGTCTAAATCCTTCGATTTGCAGCATGAACGACTTCGAGGCATTAGTGCAGAGACACATTTCCAGATATCGCGCTCAACCTTGCTGATTGTTTAATTATCATCGAAGAAATATATTAAAACTTCCAGAACGCGCAAAATACATAGCTAAACAAATCGTATTATCGCTGCGCAACAATATTTTATTTTATGTCTTACACAACAATACTAGGTAATATTTATCTTTATTTATTGTCAGGTGCTATCTTATCTAGTGAGAGCCAAAAGGAGGACGGAGAGGTAGGGGAAGAGAGAGCAAAAGAAAGGGAGAGAGAGAGAAAAAAAAAACATACGGAAAGTACAAAAAAAAAAAAAAAAAAAAAACTCATCGATACGCGGTAACGATGCCTGTGTAACTCTTTCTCTTTCGCTCAATCGTCTCGTAACCGATTTGTCAAGAAAAACGATAAGGAGATCGTGAGAGTGCACATTCATCGCGATTTAATTTCGGTAGTAAACTTTCGTCAAATCCTTTCCGAGCTATTTCGAGTGTACAACGGTAATTATGCGCGTAAATATAAACGTGAACAAACAGAGAAACGACGGCGGCGCAAAATTAAATTTATGGCATTGCAAACTGTCATGAGGAAAGAGCAGAGGGAAACAAAACGATTGCGATGAGAAAAGAAATCATCGACATGTCGCGCAACTCGCAAAGCGAGTTAGTATCAAATAAATATATGACATCACCGATTTTTTTCCGGAGAGATTTTATTTAAAAATGAGATTATATTACGTTATCTCTTACGGTGATAAAATATTGAACGATATATTAGAACATTTTGATAAGATGGAGAGTTTTAGATTGCAAAAATAATTAAATTATAATGTGGGGATAAGAATACAATTGAAAAAATCTATCTTCTATCTTTTTCTTTTTAACGTTTTTCTGATTACTTCTTACGATACAATCGCACGTTTTTATCTCGACGGTGTGTTAACGCAGACTTTTATTAATTCAATTCTTGAAGTGACAAGAATATTATATGCTGTATAAATTTTTTTTTTGCAAAATGCAACTTCTGCATCACGACTAAGTCAGGTTGTTTTATTTATTTATTTATTTTGTTTGTTATCTATATGTAGCGACTCGCGATAAATTCGCGGTTTGCGCCACGGGTGCGCGCACAAGCAAAAGCGAACGTCTCTCGGACTTTATGAGCTTGTTATTATATAAAATCATGAAAGAGAAAAATGCGACCTTGACTGACAGACGCGATACAGGCGCCAATTTCCGGAAGTTAAGTGACCTATTCAAGGTTTACGATACAAAACAATTTAACAGGAGATATATATGTATATACATGAATTAAGTAATTTTTCCGTTAAAAATGCGATTTTAATCGGTGTCCTATTGATATAAATAAAGACTATATCTCAAGATTACGTGAATATCAAGGAAGTACTACGCGAACGAACAAGTTGCAATTAATGTCAAGGTATGCGGCAATCAGTCGAACGTGAAAGTTAACGGTTCGAAGCTGCAATCTTGATCACTTAAGATTTCTAACAATCGATTATGTTTTGCAATCGTTTTTTTTTTTTTTAGAATATTTTTTTGCCGAACCCAAAAGGCCACATTTCGACAATTAAAACGTGGCCCGCAAAACTGGCTTTGTTTTGTTATTGCCCTGTACTCAGTTTTTTTATCTTTGTGCTCTTAAAAAAAGAATTACTGAGAAAAATCACTGCGAAAATCTCATTGCGTACGCGTGCTTCCTATAGAAAAATAATACAAAAACGGTCTCTTCCTCTTCGTTTTTGCAAAGTGCGTTACACACACTTTGTTCTAAATACTTCGGATTTACTGTTTTTTACACGCGGAGATTTCATCTTTTTTTTTTCCAGACTGTGGGATTCAGTGCAGTTCGTTTGCGATTGTTCACGAGCGTGTCACTCACGCGCGAAAAAGACTGCAAGAATGCGCGATACGAACGTACAACGCCGACCAACGGCTAAGTTTTTTTTTTTTGCGCTCTATATACATCAATACGTTGTGTGAGTTTGCGTCACAAAAAAAAAACCCGTAAGACATTTTTCTTCCGCTGCAATCCGGTTCGGACGGTATTTGACAGTTGCTTAGTTCCTGGTAGATAAATAAAATAGAAAATCTCTGACGCGCGCGCAACGAGAAGCTGCGATTGACAAAGTCGATTAAACGCGCGTTCGATCCTTTGCTTGCGGAATCCAGCGAAGAATCAAAGACAAAAAATCAATTAGAATTACATATACATATTCAACGAATTGTAAAGCGACGAAGAATCCGTTGCAATCGATTCGAACGCGAGAGATCGAGATATATCTCGTCTTACTTACAGCACTCTTTAAATATGGAGATCATCCTTGAAGATTTGTCCCAGAAGAAGCACGATGATGACTCTTTTTTTTTTTAATCTTTTCTTCAATTATCTCGTTAAAACACACAGAGAAGAGAACGCGAACGCGCTTCTTCGTGCACGTTCGCGCACTTCGTCTCGGGATGTCCTCTTCTCGGTGTGTTTTCTCCGTTAATTTTTACGTTTTTCCCCTTAATTTTCTCGCATACGATAAAAGAAACACTTCACGAAGAGATCCGAGGACGAGTCCGACTTCCTGGACGAGTCGCACGCACGTGTCGCAAGCAACTGAATCTGACACCCTCGATAAATCGGCCTTATATCTGCATGTGCTACTCGTCGCGCATTCAGGGTGGGGAATGAGAGAGTAACGTAGAGGTAAGGTAAGAGTAGTAAGGAAGCGATAAGCAGCACGAATCGAATTGTTACGCTCGTGCAACTGAGAGAAAACGCATCAGAGAGACAGTTAGACATCATCACCCTGGTTTTCCCGGTACGGTCGTCTAAGCCTTTCATCGAAACTGCGAACATGACGAATGAGATAGACCGAGTCTCGTCGAATTCGCTTACGTCGGACTCCGCACGAGGAAACATTTCGCAAAAAACAAAAAACAAGAAAAATGAAAAAACACTCGTTTCGAAACCTCACGACGCAACGTGTACGTTTTATCCTTTTGATCTTCGCGCGACCTGAAAATTTCCCCACGCGCACAGAAAAATGCATGCGAGTAAATATTACTTGTTGCAAGTATATAAAGTTTTCAAAAGAGAACTGTAGGATTTTAATAAAAAAACACCAGAGAGACCGACGATCCACACATACCGAATGGAGTTTTTCCGAGGCTTCGAAGATGTTCGTGCGCAACGAAGTCGAGCGCACGCACGGCGTATTCCGTGCGCGTCTCTCTACTTATCTCACAACTAAGACTAATTTTCCGCTGGATCCTGTGTTCCATGTCCCACATACGAAGTTTTGTAATAGATATTCTTGAAAAAAAGAAGACAAACACTTTCTCTCTTTGAGTATATGACAATGAGCTTTTTTTCTCTCAAACCTGTGTGAGATGAGTTGATATTTTTTAAAATTATTATTTATAAAAAAATATTGACCCAACGATATTTCTAAAATTGATAAAATTATTTTCGTATCGATGTTCTCTCACCTTCGTGAAATTTTGCCGAAGATTTTTCTCTCATTTGCAGAAATGTGTTCTCGGACTCGGTTCGTGCGAGCGCAAATATATTCACCGCAGAATAACGTGTGTCATCAGCTTCCATACTTGCTATGTACAATACTTACAACGAGACGCGGGTTTTTATCTTAAAAAATAAAAATACCTCACCTTCGCGATGGAAATTACCTGTATATATTCGTCCGTTCGTTCTCCGTAATTACAGACTTTTGTTTGAAACGAATTCTCTTCACGTACCCGCACACTTTCATGGCGAACGTCGTATCTCTCGCCGTACACGCCGATATCTTGACATTTAGATCTCTTGGCATGTAAAATCTGATCTAACTCAATGCTCGTCAAACAGCATGTCGATCACGTGTATCAAACAAGCTAAATATACACAATGAATTTTTTTACTTTTTATCATCCATTTATGTCTAAGTAAATACAATCATTTTAGGAAAATCTCTTGTAGATTTCCGTGACACACGAATAATAAAAATTAATATTAATTAATTTTCTTGTTATTTTGTTATGATAAAATCAAGATTTAAAAAAATGATATTCAGTCTTCGACGTTCTTATCTTGTCGAAGTTAATTAACTGGAAAATGTTAATGAAGGCTTCGAGAAATATTGGGTAATTGCACGGGATGGTGTGTGTGTGTGTGCGGATACTGTGGATAGCACGCGATCAATTCGCAGCCGCGGTAACGCCGTTTACGCCGTTTCTATAACTACGGCGTATGCACAAAACGTGTCAGAAGAATATATTTTATTTTACCACACACACACACACATACGTACACACCTACAGTTGCTGAACAGAACCGATCCAACAATGGAGCCCCGGGATCTCGAACTACTCGGAATAATTGCGTTCGACGGTTTGTATGAGGAAAAAAAAACCTCATTAGCAAGCATTTTTATATTACACTTTAATTGAGATGATAATAAATCTTCAAACTTTTTTGCATCTTTAAGCAACTTTATTATTACACGGAGATTGTGAATTCGAAATTGCTCTCAAGCGAATGAGATTTCACGCATTTGTAAAATTTGAGATCGAAAAGCTATTCTTAAAAAAACAAAAAAAAACTATTTTATAGAATTTTAATATTGAATATTTTTTGTAAAGTTTTTTGCATGTGTAATTAGCATGGGAGCGTCTTTATTTGTTTTAAGGCATCACGAAGAACGGTCTGCGATTACATCCGGACGAGAAGCATATTCTTTATCCGATGGGCTGCAAGGTGGTCGTAAGAAACATCGAGACCGGACAGCAACGATTTCTCAGCGGACACTCGAACACCGTCTCGACGCTGTGTGTTTCTCGGTGCGGCAAATACGTCGCTTCCGGTCAAAATAATCATCACGGTTTCAAGGTGTCATATTTTTTTTAACGTCAATCCCTTAACGGACAATCCCGATTAATTTTTCTCTGTGTCGTACATTTTTTTTATTTTATTCACATTTGCAGGCAATGGTGATTGTGTGGAATTACGAAAACGGCACGATGAGAGGTAGCTACGAGACGCATAAAGTCTGCATCGAAGATCTGTGCTTCACATGCAACGGCGACTTCCTCGTGAGTCTCGGCGGCAGGGACGACGGCAACGTAATCGTCTGGGACGTTCAGAAAAATTCACTCATATGCGGTACTTCTCTCGTGGTGGTGTTTAACGAGTTACGAAAATCTAATTCAGAAATTGACAGATGACACAATAGATTCGACAATAGATTTATTTTATACAAAAAAGAAACATATTTTTTCTTTTCCGTTTGACGTGTGAGATCGCAATCGACGTAATCTTTTCTCAGGATCGTACGCGAGCAACGAGACGTCCGGCAACGCGTACAACGTCACGGGGATGCATCTTAACAACGAGTATTTTGTCACCGCGGGCGACAGAACGCTGAGGATTTGGCGCGTTGACGCGGAAAAACGAAAGCTACAGGGGATGGACGTGGAAGTGGGAAAACTTAAGCGTCTCGTCAATTGTCTCGTCGTGGACGAGAGCGACGAAATGATCTACTGCGGCACTACTTCCGGTGATATCATTAAAGCAAGGTCATTAAAAAAATTAAAAAAAAGCATTTAAACACACACACTATAGCTTGTTTCCATTTTCCTTTTAATACCTCTATCTCTTAATTACTTCGTTATCATCGCTTTATCTTTCCAGCTTTTATCTTACACTACTCTCGCCTCGTTCGTGAATCATGATTTCAATTAACATTTTTCTTCGTGGTCGCAGGTTGAACCTGATGCGCGGCGACACGCAATTGGCGCAAACGCCGGTGATGATAGGCTGCTACTCGAAAATAACGCGCGATCCGAGAAAAATGAAGACGGGCGAGGGCGATCCGTACGCGGGCGGAGTGAACAGCTTGCTGCTTCTGAAGAACGGGAGAACTGGTTCTGAAGAACTGGTGGTTGGTACTGGCGACGGTACTATCGAGCTGATCGAGATAATAAGCAAAAAGAACGGCCGACCGACGCAAAAAAAACCTACCAAGTTTCCCAATACGCCGCAAATACTGACTGTGAGTTGTTTTGATCTCATATACTTACGTGACAAAAAATCGTAGCAATTTCGTGCGTAAATTGCGAACTCTCGTGATTGTCGAAGTTGCGATTGTATTATCTTGCACCAGCATCAAAGGGAGAACTTGTGCAGCGCGATAACATCTATAGTCCTTTATCAAAATGAACACGTACTGGTCGGCACGTCCTGGTGCGAGATCTATCAGGTTCGACTGTCGAATTTTCACGCGCATCTTCTCGTCACTTCTCACACCAGCTGCATATACAGCCTCGCGTTTCCGCGGTAAGTTTTTCGATTCTCGGTTGGAATCGGTTATCGAAGTGCGATGTGTTTATTACAGCAATCACTCGGAGACGTTCGCAACAGGCGGCAAGAACGACGTCAGACTGTGGCAGCTGGAAACGCAGAAGGAGACACTTCGCATCAGCGTGCCGAACTTCGTCTGTTCCAGTCTGCAATTCGCACACAACGATCAGATGCTGTTCTCCGGTACGCATGAGTTATAAAGACGCGCGCGTCGAGATTTCGGAATTTAATTCAAAATAAAAAAAAAAAAAAAACCAAATTGAAAGAGATCATTCTAACATATACAATCCTTACAATTCATTGATGAAGCGTAACATGTGTATACTTTTTCTGTTGAAGTTCACAATTGCGATTTGTTACACGATCCGACGCGCGAATTGTCATGTCGTGTTTGTATTGCGGATAAAAAACGCGGTTCTTATCTTGTGTATATTCTAGCCTGGAACGACGGCATTATAAGAGTATTCGAGCCGCGCACCGGACAACTTCATTTCTCTATTTACAATGCTCACACGAAAGCTGTGTCGACAATCGCGGTCACGAGCGACGGATCAACGCTCATTAGCGGCGGCTGCGACGGTCAGGTACAATTTGTATTACGCTTTCTATAACAAAATTATAACTATTGTCTTGATGTCGATTGCAACCAATGTCACAATCTTCGAGCAATTTATTGCTCAAATCTATCAACGTTCACTTCCATACAATCAGGGGTTGGCTCCCATTATCTCTCTGCGATAGATAAAAAGACATATAAAATCTTCAGGAAAAATTGATTTATTTATATTGACAACCGCGCACATCTGCGTCTCTCATTTAAAAGTACAGTAATTGGTTGCCTTTTTTACGTTGAGAACATTACGCGCTTGTGCATGCACATTTCACACGTGGTTCGTCTGGATTTCCAGGTGCGTATATGGGAAATAAAACCCGATGTGCAACGATTGATCGGTATATTAAAGGAGCATCGAGGTCCAATAACGTCTCTGCATATCTCGTGCAACAATGAAGATCTGATTAGTTCGAGTACAGACGGCACGTGCGTCGTCTGGGATATAACGTGCGTATCCGCACGTAAACTAGAAACATTTTGACACAAAGAATAAAAATAAAAACAAAAACAAAAAAAAACAATTGGTTTTTGCAAATTTACAGACGCCGCGTAAGAAAACATATTCTCATGGAAAATACAATGTTCATGATGGCGCAATTTACACCCGATGGGATTCAGATTTTGACTTGCGGCACGGATCGGAAGATCACTTATTGGGAGACGCTGGATTGTTCGATGGTGCGAGAGATCGAAGGTTCCAGCGTCGGCGCAATGAACTGTCTAGATATCAGTTCTGATGGTCGGTGTTTCGTCACCGGATCTAACGACTGCACCGTCAGATTTTGGCAATATGAGAGCGCGGATCTCACTCACGTAGGTGTTTCTCACGCCGCGATAATCACTGTGTGTAAATTCAGCGCGGATGGTAGATATATAGTGACGACCAGCGCCGACGGAGAGATTGCCATTTGGAAATGTCCCGTTGAGACCGCAGAAGATTCCAAGTCTGTGGCTCGGTCAGGAAGAACAAGCAGCACCACACGTCGTCTGCGCGAGCAGGATAAATTGTCTTTGCGTAAAGCGGAGAGCGCTGGAGACGCAGCAGATCAGACTGAACGATCTCTCAAAAAATCTGCTTCGTCATGCGCGAGTAAGTACATCATACATACAAACGGTTGTTTTCTACTTAACTTAATAATGTTATGTGTTACAGGCGACAATCAACGAGAGCGGTTATCGGTTACTTCCGAGCGTAGCAAAGATTCTAAAACAGAAGACCGGGATGAAAAAATGTCCGTCTGTAAACAGGTCACACAAAGATCAAACACAAATTCCAAAGCGAGCGATACGACGAATCGATGCAGCGTCGCAAGAAGCAACGCATCATCGACCAAAACACGGACAATAATAGATCGCGCGAAGGAACCTTCGGATCAGCGAAGCAGAAGATCCAATACATGAGACAATAACGTGAAATGCGATTATTTTAACAGATTGATCTGTCAAGTATCTTGATATTGCAATCTGTAACAATATAGAAAATAAAAGTGACATTTCTAAGAAAAAAAAACAAATGTAATATTGTAATAACATCCTAACAATAATTCTCCGCTCTTTCCTTTGAAACAAGTTTGACAAGATGAAAAACTAAGTTGTTGATCATGATTGTATCGTGTTAATACAAAATTGAACTTACGTCACAAAGTGTATAAATTATATTAAATAACTTATATACAAAAAAACAAACATAGTTGATAATTAATCGTGCGCAATTGAAGTTTAAGGTTTTCAGCCCCAAGCTTGACTTTTGCAATAGTGGATGACTAGTTTTCCATCCGCTCCGTAACAATCGTACAAATTTTTAACCGTCTGATCGGGAGCGGGTGCAAATGTCTGATTAACATAAAGAAACTGGAAAAGATAAATATACATTAACGTTATTATTTCGGCCAGAGAGAGAAAAACATAAGTTTATACTCACCAGCCTCTCATTGGGATCCAATTTGAGATACTTCTTTATAAATTCGGAAATTCGTCCGATTGGATTATCCTGACAGACAGACCACTTTTTTTGCTTCATAATGGGAGCATTGCCAGTAGCCTTCAGTAATATATCAACTGTAAAATAACACGTAATACACGTAATCGTACTTTCTTCGATATGTGTATCATCATCATCTTTTTCCGCGCGTTCGCGGAATTGAATTTCAAATTAAAGATTATATACTCTTTGTTTTGTCCTTAGGCGCAGTATGAGGTTCATTTCGCGCGGTATTTCCCTCGGGAATGGTCTCTAAACTAGTCGGTGCATCTTCAGTCGTCGAATCCGGCGTTTCTTCGGCTTTCGCTTCGGTTGCCACGTTGCTTGCCTCTTCTTTAGAAGCCATGGCTATGTACGATAAAACTTGATGTACTCAAATGTATTTGTCTTATCGATATCACAGAAAATTATCTCACGTTAAAAATCACATGCATACTGTGATAATTAAAGCAACATTTCGTATACGCAAAAGAAAGCAAAGAGAAAAACACAACGCGCATTACTTTCTACACGCGCGCGCTTCACTACCGCGCAATCAGCTGATTACATCAATACATGTCTTAACTGCGGCTGTGTCGGGTTATTTACACTTTTTACACCTAAAATAAGAAGAATGTACAGCTGGATCTACAATGGTTACCCTGTCGCCAGTTGCAGGTTGCAGAACTCCTAGAGTTGACCAATCGCATTTGGACAGTTCGATTAATTGACCAATGCGAGCGATCAATTCCGTTGAAAAGATCGAAGTCGATCGGAGTTGGTAAACTGATTTGACAGCACACACACACACACACACACACATATCTGACAAGCTACAGCTGTTTGACGTATAAGAGAATGAGATGTTTGTAAGATAAAACACTTTGCAAGAACGGTAATATACAATAAATATAATAAGTATAAAATATTATAAGTTACAATATCTCAATATATTTTTATTATTTTTGTTTATTTTCTCTTTTTTATATATATATAATTACGTTAATAAAGTTGAATACACAAACGTTCGTAAGCAGACATTCACGCTTTACATTTATTATTTTGAACAATTTGTTTTTTTAGTTAAGAATATTATACATTGTCGCTATGGTGGAAGCAGCTGGGTGTGGTGAGCTGCAACAGTTGGTGCAAGAAGAGGAGTGCGAAGAACCGCTTAGCCACGGAGGAGAAGCCACTCCTCCATCAACACCTGCAAGATCTCAACGTCCAAGCAAAACCGACACGCACAACTCCAATGTATCGGTAGAATATCTCATGTTAACAAGCGTCTAAATGTGTTCCAGGATATTATGTACTAACAACAACGGTAATAATATAGTTTATTTTTTGAAGTAATAATTTTGCAGCAACAAGTACTGTGGGAAAGCAATACACAGATATCGCCGATTATTAGCAAAGGAAGTTCCGGTCAGGGAACGAGTCAAGGTTCTATGGTTTCCGGTCGACTAGCCAATACCTCAAGTTACATTGGTAATCAGTCTCGATTGACGTATCTCAATGAAAAAGAGAAGCAGAGACCTAATCGACCGGATCCACCTAGAATCACAAGGCAGCACAAAGGTGATTTGATGGTTCAAGTTTCAAAGTACGAAATGTGTTTTTATGCTAAAACACATTGAGTTTTTTTTTTTAATTTATGTTTTATTTATTTTACTTCGTTTTTTTTTAATTAACATATTTATATTTATACAATATATTGTTTTATATATAGTTCTTATGTACTGTACACATTAGTTGTAATATTTTGTTGTGTGTATTGATTTTATATTTATTTATAACAAAATTATTTGAGTTTCTTAAGTTTTATATTGAGTTTTATATTTTTTTCGTCTTGTTTCGGCGTTTTATTATAAAGGTGTGGTGCCATGCAAACACCATTGCTTTCTGTCAGAGGTTCCCGATGTTCGCCACATGGAGCAAGCTTTGCTGCAACTGTTGGAAGACTTTCACAGCGGCAATTTACGAGCATTTGGTTGGTGTATATGTAGGTGCATGTATAAAAACAGAGTAATCTCTGTAATAAGAACGTTTAATTGTGTTCATAGGAAAAGACTGCAGTATGGAACAGATGACAGAAATACGAGAGCAACAAGAACGTTTAGCCAGATTGCATTTTGAGCTGGGGCAGCGACAAGAAGTTGGCGGTGAGCAGTCAGGTCTCCGACAATCGAGCGCAAATATGCGACATTTGCTCCATCGACTTCAGCAGTTAAGTGTTTGTATAGAAAAGTTGCATAGTAAATAATTACAGTTTTATAGACAATGATATATATACATATATATATATATATATATATATATATATTGTGATATATTCTCATAATGGTATTTGGGACATACAACAAAGTTATTATTAAATATAATTGTTTTTATAAAAATACACTGCAAAATAATACATGTATATGTAAAGTTTATTTTAAATCGTGTTTTTTTTCGATTATACGCAAATCAAATACGTTCCAAAGTGTCTTTTATACATTTGTTTCTTAGTAGATTTATAAATATACCGGCATATTGTTGAGGAAATTTGCATAGTACGAGTTTTATCACGAAGATAAAATCAGCAAATTTACCGCAACCGCAATACACGATTGCAGCTCGTGATACTTCGCCACGATTAAGTTATGCGAGACAATTTGCATTCGATGACAATGTATTGTGGCAGTGTATGATACTTATTGCGATAAGAAACGTTTTTAAAAAACAGTTATATATTATATGAAAAAAATTTACTTGTTAAAACAAAGAACTTTCTCCTATATCACATATTTCATTGAGAAGAGATCTAACAGAGATGATTTAATTATTTACACATTTTTATAATTCTACGTAGACAAAATTCTATGTAGATAAAGGAATGTCAGAGAAAGAGGATAATAATGAGATTTATTAATGAAAATGAGCTGAACTTTTATTTATCTAAATTGTCTTTATTATATACATGATATATCACTGTACACATTATACATATGGAATGTTATTAAAAGAGAAGAGAAAAAAAAATGTAAATATTAGTTAGCCAATATTTTTACACTATTATTTTTACAAAATATTCAATTTACATGATTAATTAAGTATGTAACAAGATCGGCATGAGAAAACAGAAATAGAGAGGTATGTTTACACTTTATATAACAATCAATATTACAAAAAGACAAAAATAGAATTGTGTACAAGAATCTAAAAATTATGCCCTATAGTTTTCGAATGAAATAAATTGTAGAGAAGAATTCACGCTAAAGAGTAAAGCAAAATGCGAGAGCTTGTGAGGCTCGTACTCTTACAATACTTTCGGTATCACGTAAAAGTTGTAACAGTCTTTGTACGTCGTTAGGCCTCGGGGAACCAAATAATCCTAAGAGCAACGCGGATGTAGCTCTGGTGTTATAATTTTCTGATCTCGAATAGCCCCGAACAACAGCATTCCTGGCAAGATAAGACAAGAAAAACATTTTATACATATATATGTATTTATATATATATATATATATATATGTGTGTTTGTTGCAATTTATTTTATAAAAATGTGTGTTACATGCGCGTGCATACCTAAGTTCTTCTGCTTTCTCCGGAAGTTCGTCTTTCAAGCTGTTTATCAAGTCTTTCGAAAAATTCATAAAATTGAATTTTGCTTCTAGTCTCAAATGCGTAATTATCACTTGCGATAATTTTTCACTTCGCCGAGCGTAAAAGAGCGTAGCTTTGCATAAAGTATCCTGTGCAGCCTATTGATGTACAAACACAGTATATATAAATATTTGATTATTTTAATTAATACGTTTTATTGTAATAATTCATCTTTTACTACAATATATATTTTTATGCATATACCATAACCACCGATGTATTCGAGTCTTCCAATCTTATTATCAGAGACGGTAAACAACCTAGAAGATGATCGATCAAATCGTCGGTCGGCACTGGCACCGATTTTTGCCAATTAGTAGCTATCGCGCCTAAAGCTTTTATGGCAGCAAGCTTCATTTCCCAGTTTTCTTTCTCGATGAATGGTCTCAAAGCCAACACTACTCGCGGACTAACAGGTCTCTTATACTGAGCCGACAATAATATTGAGAGACCGCGTAAAGACTCTATCGCTACTTCAGAGCCACCTTCTCCATTGGCAGGCTCTTCCAATCCGTCAAGTAAGGCATCCATACATCTCGTAAAATAATCGTCGAGCTTTGAGAAAAAAAAAGACAACACTTAGAGCAAGACAAAGTATATAAAATAAAAGTATTAATTGAGCATTCACCTGTTTCTCTACGTAGGCTACTCTAGCGAATCCGATAACAGCGTATTTTCGAACCAGAGACGACGAATCTGTCTTAGCATCGAACAAAGTGTTTATTATAGCGTCAATCCATATATCTCCGCAGTTCACTTTTCCAATCAGTTCGGCGTAGAATGCAACGGCGACTGCCCGTTGTATGGCTAATGTGCTGCTTACCAATGCATGTAAAGATTGCGCCATATGTGAGAGAACGTGGTCTTTGTTCGATATGCACTTTATCAATATTTGTACGGTTAAAATCACGTTCTCCTCAGAATATGTTTCCGAAGAAAATGCCTGAAGTATAAACAATTTCGTTTATCAACACCTGGTCAAAATAATTAGAACCATGTAAAACACCCTTTAAATACGTACAGTCTCTGCCGGCAAGTCGGACGCATAATCTGAATGAACGAGATTTAGAACATGAACCAGTACGGAATATACTTCTGCATGGGGATTGATTTTGTGCGCCGCCCGATTTGGTACGTATCCGTACTTCGTGTTTATTAACGACGTGGGCGGGTCAACATGCAGCCAACCGGTGAAATACTTGAGAAGAACACTTAGGAAAGTCTCCAAGTAAAGCAAACTGATTTTCTTAACGTCTCCCTCTAGAAGATGTTTTAAGGCCACTACGGCTGCCAAAGACGGAAGATAAGCAGTGTTATTTCTTTCGGAGGACGTAGTGATCTCAGCGAATAGATTATTAGTTCCCAGATTTGTCAGTAAATTTTCCAAAACCTAAAATAAAGTAAGTATGATAACACATTTTTAATATGTGTATATTGCGTACTTGACGGGTAACAAATAATGCGGATGAAGAGATCGACCTCAGATGCGTATTTATGTCTGCCAATTGCCTTCCAGCACAGCACAGTACCAGGATCCAATGGTAATGGCTGAGACAGAAGGATCTCGGTCACCGCAGACATTTGATGTGCCGTCAATGACGCTACAGCTTCTGCCAAAACCTGTTTACAGCTTATATTTTCCATTTGCCTCATTTGTGTAATGATGTTATCTAAATACACAGAAAACATAGCCAGTGAGATACGATTAAATAAACATTTGGATTACTGCAACAAACAATTTACATGTCACACACCGACTAAACAAACGTGGGGCCTGGATATCTTTGGTCCATTAATTTCGAAATGTTGCTTGAGAGCTATGCTTGCTACCATGCTCGCTTCTCCGCAAAACAATAGGCCTTCTATTAATCCTTTAGCGAAAGTAAAGATTTCAGCGCTAGGAATTTTTTGCGCTACAACTTCAGCCAGTTTCTACGATCAAATATTGTGTGTTTTACTAAAATTTTCTTTAAAATTACTTCAATAAAATCAGTCAAAATTAGTCGCACAAGCCGGTTATACAAATTATTAATTTTTACCTCGACGTGACAATCCGGCGAGTCGTCAGTCATAACTTTTTCTTTTATCTGCTGTATATTATCTTTCAAACCAGCATTGAATGATATGTCTAGATAGCGATATATGATTTCCATACACAGAGGCAAGCAATCTACTACCAACTTTCTTAGCTTGACTTCTTTGTCCGCACACCAGCACAGGATTTTTCCTAATAATTTTCCGGGACAAAACTTGCCACGTGGAGAATACGTGTGCTCCAAATTATTGCAGTACGACCTGTAGAGAGATGCGCATCGCGCATTAGTTTACAATTTTACTGTATATATATAAAAACAAAGATACAAATTGTCTGAAATAAAACATTTACTGAAGCACCGCGTGCAGCACCAACAGAGTAGTTTGTCTCTCTATATTTGACTTGGACTGCATCCAGGGCACTAATATATCAACTAGCGCAGTCAGTGCGTCCGATGACTTGGATATAATTTCGCTGGACACCATTCCGAGATGTTCCCAGATTTTGTGCATTAATTCCGGATGTGATTGCAGAACAATCTAAGACAGAAATGTTCACTGATCATCTACAAGCACAAATCATAAATACATACACAGAACTGGTGCCAGAACTGTGATTGTTTTAAAGATGCTGTGTCGGGTTCAAAGTAAAAAAAAAAAAAAACAGTTTTAAAACCCGCAAATCAATATAAAATTCTTCTTATCAGGAAGACCTGTAGAACTATTGTTCACGCGTATGTACATACGATGTAGTCTTAAGTTCAATATACCTCCGAACTAGCGCCAATTGTTTTGTCCAATACCGCACTAAGAAAGATCTCTCTTTCCTCACTAGTTAGCGCTGGTGGTATACATCTATGAAAGAGAAAAATGTTTTGAAAATATTTTATACATCTAATATCTTTATCAAATCGCCATTCAAAAATAAAGATACATTGATACGTAAAGCATACATCAGAGAGTTTGCTGCTTTTAAAATCGCCGGATAAAGTTGCAACGGTCTGTATCCCGATGGCGTTTGCAAAATTCCTATCAGAGTAGCCAGAGCAGATGGTTTTATTGACAAGCCGTTGGATTTTGGATATCGAATGGGATGGACAGCACTGGCTATCTATAAATCATGTACAATCACATATTGTTTTTTTGGTACAACAAATAAACAATATTTTTATACTTCACCGTTTAATATGAGAAATAAAATGTCATTAAATTGTTCGATATAAAAATTAATTACTTGCTCCAAAACGAATAATCCTGTTTCCTTTGTGGACAATTCCTTACATTCCGTTAGCTGCTTGATAGTCCACGGTAATATGTGCTTTTCGAACACCGGAAACAGTTTCTCCGGATTTCCCCTTTGAGCGATTTCACCGTAAGATTGCAACAAGCCGGCTTTAGCTGTTTCAGCGGTAGCGGCGGCTTTTGCGTCTCTAACAAGACCTAACAGTCTCACGGGCACTTTCCTGGCGTCCTCGGTTGCGCAAAACTCTTCCATTAATTTCAAGATGATGTTCGGATGCCGTTTCGCGCATATACCGACCGCGCGAGCGTATTCCTTGGTTGTGCCATTAGAACGTGCGAGCTCAACGAGCAAACTGATGTGAGCGTTGTTTGTGCACACAGACGCCAAATACAGTGCTGTACTCGGTATAGTAGTTTTCGAAGCAAGTTCGTCGGCGAGCTTGGCACCCCACGATTGTCCCTCCAGTTTTACACTTTCTTCCAACCATTTCACTATCTGCTCCTCCCAGATTAGATTTCTAAGAAACAAAAAAAAAAGTCAAAAATATAGTCCCCGATAATAGTTTTCAAATTTGATCCCTAGATGCAAAACATTTGTCACCTTCGTGCGGAATTGATCTCGTTTTTCGGACTTTTTTGCGCGTCCTGTAAAAGCTGTTGCGAAAGTTTCGACAACACCTCGTCCCAGTAATATTTCACTTGATGTCCAATCAATGGTGCTGCTGATATCAAAAAAGTCAATATCGCGATCCGTTTGTCTGGGTCGTCCATTAATTCCAGACATCTAGCTAGGACCTTTGTGCCAGGAAAATTTCTCTCATTTGATGAAGATTCTTCATCCTGTAATATCTTTGTCGCTAACGGAGATAGCGAGCGCAATACAGATATAATCTGTAAATGAGAAGTAATTGTTAACTTAGACATTTACATTTTAACGTTCAATAAATTTCAAATAAGATCGTTACATACGGATTCAGTACAAGTCGGATCTAGCAACGCTTGTACCAAACACGGCCACAACCAAGATTCGACACGATCGACTGTTGTTGAAAGTAAATACAAAGCCTCGGAACACGCCTTCATGTCACAATGTGACACCTGTTTTGAAAATATAAAATCTGTATTTCTTAATTATTTCTGTTTAGTTTTACTGTATCACACAGTTTGCGTCAAAACGTCGTACCATATATTGAACAAATTTGGCTCTCTGCGACGGTAAAAGGGGAAACGTCGGTCGTGCCATGAGTGCCACGATGGCACTGACCATTTGCAGCGGACAGTTCTCTCCGAGAGATTCCTGCAGATTGAGCGCGATTCTTTGCAACGTCCCGTCGTCCTAATAAAGCAACAAATCAGAAAAGCTATCTCTTCAGTTTTTTAAAACAAAGTTTGGTACCTCAGGAAGAGTGTTTATAAGATGTTTGAGGACAACCAAGGCGCGAGCATGATGACTGGCAACTGGTGATTTTAACTGTTGCAAGATTCTGTGCAGAAATGTACAGAAATTAACGTGATGTAATTCTCGTGAGAACGACAATATCTATCGCGCAAGAAAAAACTTGCCTATCGAGACCTTCTTCGGGATACAAGATGACTAACGATCGAGTACACCGCAACACTTCATAATGCGTAAGCAAGATATCTCGAGTTGCTTCGAAGGGTTGAATGCTGACGACTTCGGATAAAGTTTGATGTATAAGATCCATAAACGGATAAATCGTCTCTTTATCATTTTTGGTCTGAGCGCAATTTAAAAGTACAGCTAGAACTCTGTTAACGTCAATATTATAGTTATTCATCCAAGAGAGAAGAGTATCTCTACAATTAAATAGTCTAATAATAATTTGTAGAAAAATATAAAACATTCACCTCACAGCGGCTAAGCGTACATTTTGTCTCTTACAAAGATTTAAACATACAGGTACTAATTTCATAATTCTGTCGCTATGTTCTCCCTCAGGTAACAAAGGTATCATAGGAACTAACGTTGTTAAAATAGCATCGGTTGATTTAAAATTACGTGACGTTTTCAACCAAACGTGCACCAGAAGGTCAAAGGCAGAGCATATTTCTTCCTTAAATGATTCCTTGCTTATTTCCGGAGATGTATCTTTTGTATTCATTATATAATCATTTATAGCTTCACAAAACTTCTCAATCACTAAAGATATAAAAAACTTAAATTATATGTGAAAAAAACTACTAATTTTTATCAATATTGTAAAACACATTTATACACACTGAAACAAATGGACTGTTTAAGAGTTTCATCTCGCATTTGACTAAACATTGGTAGCACAATAGTCAGGGTGATTTTAATAAAGGTCAATATCTCATGCGGATTGGTTGCAGCTAGCCTTCCTATTGTACAAACTATTGCGGACTGAGGAATTATTCCAGGTTCCAATCTACAAAATTCATCTGTTAGAATTACAATAACAATTTTAGGCTAGAAATTTATCACAACTACAAGAAGTAATATTGTTGCATACTTAGTTAAAAGTCCACCCATAGCTTGCGCACAATGTATTTTACAAATTTCAACTAACAAATTGCGTGCCTCATTCTCAGTTTTTCTTGTCAATTCATTTACTGCCAATTCAGCAAGAGTTGATGCTGAATCTGCACTTAAACTCGCAGCAGATTGTTTACACGTACTGGACATTATATTCAATAGAGATGCCATATGTTCTGTGGATATCTTTTTGAAGAAAATCATATGATAATAAAATACACGCATCCAATATGTATCAGTTCTTACACAAAAATGAGAACTTTATTAAACACTAACCTTCTTGTGCATTTCCCAAAAATATATACCAGCATGAATGACAGATTTTGGATCGCTGCTGCTTATTTTTTCAAGTGACTCAATTACAGATCGTCTGACTTCATAGTTTTTGTCATCCAAGGAGTCCAATAATGCTCCGATAACAGCTGAAAAAAAAAAAATATATATATATATATATATATTTTGGTCACTCTGAGCAATCGTTTATCATCAACTCCTTAATGTTACAGGCAAAATTTATATTTTTTTAGCTCTCATATTTGTTGAACGTTACCTGATAATTCGGAGCTATTGTCATTTTCCTTAAGTTCTTCCATGTTGATAAATTGTGTGTTGCGAGCGGAGAAGGAAAGTCGTATATATTTGGTACAACCTTTATATGTTTATTGACATTTGAAAAATATCTTGTCATGCAACTTGCACATAATCACGAGATTGTTTCCGATATTCCGTCATATTTTGCACATGCGACCAAATACAAAGAGCAGAGTGTGATCATCAATCGAACGAGTTGCAAAATCCGATTTACATAATTAAATGACCACAATAGTTGTTTGCGCAGTATTGCCCACGTACGACGAGCGCAAGTACGTATTGGCATGTATAATATTTACTTTTTAGATTAGAGAAGTGTTTTTGTACAGGTTGTTTCAAAAGTCTCTTCTGATTCTGCCACATCTTCTCTCAACTGTGGTGTCATCTGTCGAGTGAATGTAGGAATAATAAATAATAAATACACGTGAAAAAATAGCGGTTGTTTCAGTCAGACACACAGTGTAAAATCATCATTTATTAAAAATTATTTAACAATTACATATTCTTCAAACACAATCACATTTCATCAGATAAAAACAAAAAAAACGGAACTGTCATAAAGTAGAAATAAAAATGTAAATGTTGTTCTGTTAAGAAATTGTTGGAGTGTATGATACAATTGGAGCAAAATTTGATATAATTTCCACTTTTCTACATCGTATTTGGTGTCATAAAAACCATTCCACGACATTCCAAAGCGATCTCGATGCCGATTGCGAAGAACACAATGCTCTTTACCACGGACCTGTTAGTAAAAACAAATAGTTTTTAGTGAAAAACACGTGATATTTTTAAACGGACGCATTAGCAATTCTATTAATTCGACTTAATTAAAAAGTATAAATAATATATGCAATAATATATGTCACAGATAATTAATGAAAAAGAAAATATTTAAAAAATAATTAATGTTTAAAAAAAAAAAACGTAAAATTATACGAATCTTGCAGAAGGTTATGTTCGTTCAACCATTGTTGAAATTATTAAAAATTTTTTTGATAAATTGAGTTTGTTCAACTTGCCATTTAAAATTATCATTGTAGATATCTTTGAGTGTTTTTCCAATATTTTCCATTTTATTCGTCTTTTGTTTTTAGACTTTTAATTACTCTGAACTGTGGAAGTATCTCGTGCCTGAAGCGTGCCGTGTAATACTGTATACTGTATATATACGTACTATTTCACTCCAAGTGCCGAAGTGCAGATCTAAAGTCGCTGTGTGTAAACCCGCTCTCTGATCAATGAATCTCTCTGTCTCTTTCTCCGGAGAAATAAAAATTCACTTTAAAAACAGAAAATTCTCTGTAATTGAAGAAACATGATTTTTTCGCGCTCGATAAAAGCGAAATTAATTAATTAATCAATGTAAGTTGCTACATCGTTCAAAAAGAACCAAATTTTTTTAAGCTGCTGTTTTATTAAAGACATTCTTTATAATTTCTATAAAAAAGTATACATGTTGCAGGAATGTGTGTAAGATACTTCTCTAATTAGTCATCATCAATTATAAAGCAAAAATGTATAACATTGTGTTAATATTGATTCATGGATAAGCGGATTGAATAGTAAAGATAACTGAGATATTTGCAGTTGACACAGTGCCATTGTCTTGAAAACTTCAGTGTTCACGAAGATGGGTGCGGGAAAAAGTCAATTTACTGAAGAAGAACTACAGGATTATCAAGTAATATTTTTTTAAAAAATTTTTTATATTTTAAAACAATTTTTTTATTTTTTAAATACGTATTGTATCTTGTCATACCATTTTATTTTTTGTCTAACTATAATTAATAAAACTTTATTAACAGGATTTAACATATTTCACAAAGAAGGAAGTTTTACAGTAAGTATTATATTGATGAATTCAGCACATCTTTATATTTTATCGGTTTCTTATTATTTATACATGTATATTTTTTATTTAAAGTTAATTATAATCTATCTTTTTTTGTTGACCGCAGTGCGCATCAGAAATTCAAAGCACTTGCGCCAGAAAAAGTCGGACACAATAGAAACGCGAAGCTTCCAATGTCTAAAATTTTGCAATATCCCGAATTGCGAGTCAATCCTTTTGGAGATCGAATCTGCAAAGTCTTCAGTTCTAGTCAAGACGGTGACTGCACCTTTGAAGATTTCTTGGATATGATGTCTGTGTTCAGTGATGCTGCTCCGAAAGCAGTAAAAGCCGAACATGCATTTAGAATATTTGGTACGTTTGTGATTTGATGTTGATTATTTGTACATATGTGTAGCATTATCAACAAATATTTTCTTTTTTCATCAAAAGATTTTGATGGTGATGATATGCTCGGTGTTGGAGATCTGAGACAAGTGGTGGACAGATTGACCGCACCTCAGAGATTAAGTGACAATGATATGCAGCAGCTACTCCAGTATGTTCTCGATGAAGCCGATTTGGATGACGATGGTGCTCTGAGTTTTGCAGAATTCGAACATATTATAGAAAAGAGCAGCGACTTTTCCAAGTAAAGTTAACTCTTAGTTACAAGAGTATAAATTATTTCGAACAGTTTTACTAATATTTAAATCTTTTTACAGGAGTTTCCGCATTCGTTTATAAACGTCTGCTATCAGTAACAAGAAATAGTCAACAAAAGACTGAACATTGATACATCTTTAATAACAACCGTAGACACACAAGCATACATGTCATTACATTCTAAGAAAAGAAATAAATAATATGCATACTTGTGCCAAGGGGCTCTGCAATTAAGCCTAAGCCAAAGAACACCAAAACCAATTCTCTTTTTATTAAGCTGATTTATTGAAGTTTATATAGAAATTTTCTTTATAAAAAGATTTTTCTTACAAATTGTTAATATACATATAAGAAACTCTCCGTCAAACTTTATACATTTGCGTTACGTAAACATACATACAAATGTGTGGAAAAAAAAATTCAAATCCATTTTTGATCAGCTTATGTATTTTAAAAGAGGATTATTATTTTTACAAAACTGTTTCTTTTTTTTTTTATAATGCATAATGAAATTGATATGTTACAGAACTTCATTTCGATGTTAATTGGTGCTCTTAATTATGTCATTAAACTCATCACAATTAAAATTCATTTTTTGCAGCTTGGCTTGTTTGTATATAGACTATTTATGTATTTGCAAAATATACCCGTATTTATGATGACTGATATTTATAAATGTTACTCGCCGTATTATATATTTAACAATTATATATATTATAATATAATGATATATATTGATATATATTAGATATTTTATATAATGTTATATATCATTATATTAATACTATAATCATGTATACTCATTTATAGTGATCAAAATCCATCTTACATTGCGTAATATAAACTAATGCTAAAAATAAACAACTTGTTTAACTTATAATTTATTACAAAAGTATTTAACCAATATTCACCGTTACAATATCCTATCTATTGTAACAATATTCCATATACACAAAAATAGAATATAAAACTTCTTTGAGATATATATGAAAAATTTTATAGTTCTATACTTGCATTTAGGATTGCAGATAACCCCTAAAAATAAAAAAAAACAATAAATGGATTACTTATATAATGGAAAAATGCAGAAATGTCTCAAGTGTGATATCTTACGGAAGTTTCATTTTCATGAATATCCAGCACGCAACAAACGACACAAGTATGCTGAGAAATCCAACAAAAATCAAAAGAATTCGGTTGAGTCTTGGTGTTGATGGACTATGAGTGTGATCCAAGATGATAAAGCCCAATCCTCCTACTGTAAAAAGGAAACTAGAGGCTAGTCCTTCCATGATATATTGCCCATTCACACGATATGGCATGAATGCTACCTGCAAAGATTGCACTACTTTGTACAGTTAGAAAAATACATTGATCGCAGATAAAGCTTTTTTCAACTTACAGGTCTCGAGTGACCATGTTCATCTGTTGTAGATCCTACACTGGGTGGCTCTACAATTACATCATATATAATTCCTGTGACAAACATGTTTGCAAAAATCAATAACTATTTTACTAAAATGTTAGCACATTTTCCATATGGATATATATATATATATGCATATATATTATTAATTAAAAATAAATCATAGTGCATACTGTTGTTATAGTTTTTATACATTTTTTAAAGATATAACAAAATGCGTACATAAACTTACATAGATTCTTTTTCTATAAACAAAAGTAACATCTTGAGTTTTATAAAATATTTAAATACAGCTAACCTCCTGTCACCAAAAAGTACGATAGAAGGATAAACGAAAAGACCACCATAGCACTAGGCTTCACGAACCAGGACGGTCTCTTTAATTTTAAATTAGGCACTTCCAGGACCAAGAACGGTAATCGATAAATGCACTCCATTTCGTAAAATCTACACTATCAGGATGGAAAAATAGAAGACTTTTGCTCCAAAAGCAGATTCACCGGCAACGTGACGTCTCTTGCCAACTCGTCACACACGTGCGTCGAGTGATATTTTGTGCCTGTTTGTGTGGTGTTAAATTGTAGACTGATTCGCATCAAGAACTTTTGTCTAGGAGGATTGGCTGCCCTTTTCATGTGCTGTGTACCTTCGCGCGAGATTTAAAAACACGTGACAATTGACATTTCGAAAAGCTTTATGAGCAATGTTGTGGGTTAGTTTTGTTTTTCTTTTTTTATTTTGTTGTAGATTTGTAGAAAAATAATAAATCAGTTTATTTAAGTACATGAAGAAAATGAACATAGAATACAGTATTATTTCGCATAAAACATTTTATTAAAATACTACAAGGTTTGCAAAACCAAATAACAACTAAATAATTACTTTTCCAAAAAATTTTTTATATAAAAGAAAAGTATTATTTAATAATAAAACATTTTGTTAAATTATATTGAACACTAGTATCATTCAAAGATATTATAGAAACAAATAAATAATAATATTAGAACAAACATGAAAGAGAGACGCAAATGGAACAATAAGTTTTCTCATAAAACATTGCTAAGTAATAGTAAGAAATAGCATCGTAAAACAATATAGTAATTATAAATAGTACATCAGTAGATTAACTTTAAAAATAAAATAGTATATCAGTAGATGTATTACTTTTAATAATTAAGCTTGTGGATCCTTAATATATAGAGTGTCATAGCAGCATCTCTGCAACAGAACGGCTTTCTTTTGCTTATGAAGCTCTACAATGAGAATAATCAATTATAATATGCATAGATAATGTCAGATTGATACAGTCACATAAAAGAACAAAACAAAATTGATATTTTTTAAATTGACAGAAAAATCATGAGAAAAGATACCTACCAAGAAGTATTTCAAAGGCTGTAGCAACATCCTCCGTTGAATATGTATCTCTCGAAATGAGATCGTTAAGTGTGACGTATGGTCGTTCCTGCCACAAAACTTGCAACATTGCTAAAATGTCGTGAATCGTTAAAGATGGTTGCGAATTTGGAGATGACGAAAGTGAAGTGGTCATCTTCAAAGGAGACTGCTTCTTCAACAACATGTCTATATCTTCTAGACTGGTTTCGGTTTCAATAATATTTGCGTTAATTATCTGCTGATTTTGTTCGTCTTCGGTAATGCTGAAAGAATTTGAGAAAAGTAAAACTTATTAAAGATATAAAATATAAAGTTTACAATAAATTAACAAAAGATTTTGTTTATTTTGCTTATCTTTGTCAATTTTCGTTTTCGGTAAGACAAGAAGAGAGGAGAGAATTCTTACTTAATGTTTTCTACCAAATTGATCATATCTAGTGGTATTTCTGGTGTTGGTGCTATTGTCTCTCGAGTTTCGGGAATTATATTCAGATCTGTCAGATTTATATTAATTGAAGGAACGTTCGATACGTTGTATAATCTGCTCGAACTGTCGGCAATAATTGCAGTTTGTGTTTTTCCTAAAGCACTTAATTCTTCCGTGGCAAGAATGCTTGTCGTCTCTTCCGCACGTATTACTTGTTGAACTGAAAGGAAATGTGCGCGTTCACTTGTAGGTATATCATGCGTTTACATAAAACGTAAATGATTTAAAACAAATTTCAATGTACGTGATACGATGTCCTCCCTGTCTTTGCTCGGGAACGCACACGGTTTGGCGCGTTTACTGAAGAGCTGTTGCAAATCGCGTCCCCATCGCGTGAACAACTCTGTTGCCGGTTGTCTCAACAATTTTATCGGCGACGTCAGGTGACGTGACGAAGGTATTTTTAAATCCTGAACGCAATTAAAGAGTCAAGTCAGAGCATGCGAATTATTTCTTCAAATTAAAACTCTTAAAGCAAAATATTTAAAGATCATGCTTTAGAAGAAATTTCCGGCTGAATATACGTACGTAAAAACTGTTTTAAATTAATCTCATTTACTTGCCTCGCAATGAATATTTGGATTTTCACGCCATTGCGTATATAGCCATTTTTCATCCTTTAAACTGTTTGTTTTATCGAAAACTTTTTGCTTTTTCTTACTTTTTTTAGTTTGCATGAAAACGGTATCTAATGGTTTCAATTCCATACTTAAATCTGGCTGTTGCATTTCTTTTTCGGATAGTATGAGAGCTGATGGTGGTTCCACTTCCATAGGTAATTCGGTTGGAACTGTTTCTGAAGGACCAGCTGCTGTTTCGTCGCGGTCAAAAATTAACTGTAAAATAAAGTATGACAGAAAAAAGAGAAAAACAAGATAAAAAGAGAAAGATAAAATTATAAAAAATTAATTAGATTATAAGTAAAAGAGAGAGAGAAATGATATAGCGTTTTTTCGAGTTGAATAGCTTTCACAACGATTAATTAAACGTCATTTTGATAAATCAAGCAGGATTTATCAATTTGTCAAATTAATCGCTTCGAGAGCGATTCAATTCGTATTTATCGAAAGTACAAAAATAATAATATAAATAACGGAGAAAAGAGCAAAGAGAATTTTATTATAGACGTGTATAAAAACGCATACACGTGTTCTCTTTGTAGGTGTTTCCACTTGTATTTGAGACAGTCGCTTTTGCGGAGTCAACTCGATTCTGGATTTTCTCCTTGATTTACTCAGAAGTTCCGGACTGCAAAATTCCTGTGATTGTTGCCTCTCTTGACGAATCTCTGTGTGTTCGCCAAATTACTCAATTCATAATTAAAATTAAGAAAAATATACACGTGTATATATTATTAATTTATAAAACAAAAAGAATATTGTTATGTATGTATTTATTTATATATTAACACATATGACTAGCCTTAACACATATAACTGACCTTCTGAAATTACCACATCAGCAGCCGTCATGTCGGTGACGTTCTTTTCTTTCAAAAGATCCGCGACTTGTTCTGTCTCCATTGTGCTATCGCTATATGTACAAAACACACGCGTATATTATTATGTTTTTTATAAATATATTACACATTATGTTTTACATGAAAAAGAAAGTTTTTTAATATGAGATAACAAGTGTGGATAAAGTGAAATGAATATCACTTTTACGTGATGGATTTTTGTTATATTAGGATTAGGAAAAGAGAGTTGTGTTACGGTACGAGGAAGCGACACAGTTCAGGAACTAACAGGGATACGTCTTTTATATGATCAAACATATAGACCAACTGCTCATCAGTCAGAACGCCGAAGTCCTGCCGTGCTGCCAAATTCATTTCTATCTGCGTGTGAACGAAAAATATGTTGTATCTAAGAGCGAGCAGAATCTTTTTTTTATGTAGAAATAATTTTTTACGTGTCTCAACCGAGACTTTTGAAGCGGACTTTTGAGTCTACTATCGAAAGGTCAGAGATATGAAAATCGAAAGATTAAAATGTTCGAAAAATGTGAAAATGTTTTGAAAGATACGCGTGATATCTTTCACAAAAACTACTTTTCTTTACAATCGTGTAACAAATAGTTTGTTTTATGTGAGATCGTCCTACCATTCGTTGTATCATGTTATCGTGATCATCGTCCTGAAAGGTGTGCAAGTCCGAGATAATATTAAGGGAATCTTGAGACGTGGGCAATTGTATTTCGGGTGGTTCTTCGTCTTCTCTTATTGTTGGTTCTGGCCGCAAAGGAGGGTGAATCTTCTCTTCTAATTCAGAAACTTCTTCTACAAAAACAAGAACAGAACGACACATCTTATAAACTTTGTTACGCCTACAGTTTTGCAGATGCTTGATTTAAACTTACTCTGATAATATTCAATTTGATATTTATGAAGTTTTGTTACGCCGCACATTAGTTGCGAAAACAAATACAAGCTGCATCTGTGCGTTGTTCTCTTTCTCCGTGGCTGCGTTACTATTTCCAGAATTTTGTCGCTAGAATTTTACGTAATCGTATACAAAAATATTCGATTGTTAAAAAAAAAGAAAACAATAATATTCAGTGCGTGCAAAAATAAAAAATGTCAGAAACATTTGAAAATATAAAAAAAAAACCAATGTACCATATTATGGGGACGTTCATCTTCTTTATTTTAAAACTGTTGTATTGCTTTTTAAATACTTTTTCGCTGGACGTCGCAGCGTGCCAACAGACAATTAATTCGGGTTGATGAAAAAGTAGATCGGGATACGAAGACATCTGACAAAAAGAACATGTTGTATATAGTGTATTAATAGAAAAACACACAATTAAGTTTACGAGAAAAATCATAAACCTCGGAAAAAAAACGAACAAAATATAAATATATATTTTATCGCATCGCTTTATCTCGATTTGTATATGTGTAATCGTGTTTTTTATATACCGGACGCGATAAAACCGAAAACAAAAAAACATAATAAATATAAAAATTTTCGAAATAGAAACAAATAACGCCGCGCGAACATTTTACCACACATACATATTACCTTCTACACGTTGATGCAAATGCAATTCCTTATCGCAATCGTTTTGTCTTTTTACTAATAATAGTTGATAACAAATTAATAATCGAATAACGAATAACAGCAATCGATTTGAAAATTATATGATATCTGCAAGTCCAAAAGAGCGCTTTTATTTGTTACGATTTAAATACTAATAATGTACGTTAGGACGAGTTTTTGATCAGTTCTGATCTGACTCGATAGGTCAATTCAGTCACGTGATCAATCAATCATGGTCGCAAGGATGGCCAAGCACGATTGACCAATTTATAGAGAGAAGACTGAGACTGGCCAGGTCCATGAGAGAATAGAATGTGTAATCGCTTTTCCGCCCTTTAAGCGCAATGTTCACGGGTGGTGCATATTGGCAACTACGTAGCCATGTCCACGAACGACTTGTCGGTACGTATGTTATGTTCAAACGTGAACATAAGTTCTATTCCGTGCTAACGTGCACGAGCCCATGATATATGTAATTTAGAAATTTTTTTATTTTTGTACAGTATTCTCTTCCCGTAAATAAGTAATTAAATAAAAATAAACTCATTTTTTTGACTGACCTTGACATTAGACTTATCTATTTTGATTTAAAAAAATACTTTTTTTTTACAATAAACATATTTATAGAAACTTTGTATATTGTTTGTATAAAAAACTCGAAGAGATGCCTCTCTCTTCTCTGACTGCTCTTTCTCTTCTTTTTTTTCTATCAATGCTGTTGTATTCCGCGATTCTCGTGCAATCGCTGCATTTCGTGACTTGGCTGGGTGTAGGTGCCGGATCTGCTTTTGCGACAACTTCCACAGTCTCTCGTAGAAGGTATCTTGTATAATTTTTTAATACTCACCTTTAAAATCTTATAAGGTCTTATTACACAAATGTTTATTTTACACATATACACGTGCACTCTGTACACAAGTAACATGTATAGCTCTTAAATAAAATTGTTAAAACAATGATTTAAACTATATTCTCTCTAGACAAAAGCGCTAGCCAGAGAAAATATTAAAACTCAAATTTTATATATATATATGTTAAAACGTACTCAAATGTACTGTGATAGAATACAGTAATAAGATTCAAGGTGTACCTCAAAGCAATGTACGCGTAATCAATGCAAATAAATTTTGTAGACAGCCTTGGAAAAGAACTTTGTAGAGTTCAAAATTGATCCGAATGTGAGCTCGCAAAATCTTACTTATTTAAAAATCGCAAATAACAAATTAAAAATTAACAGAAAGCAGTTTCTTCTGTGAGAAAAAAAAAGTTGAATCTACCTCAATAAAGGAGCTTTAAGTTTCTTTGTTACACCGCAATGTTTAATTACTATTGCTCATTTTACTTTTACGTTTTCATTCGCGGTAGAGTTACTCACTGAGAGCAAGGTGTTTTTCATAAAATATCATTGTGCCATATAGTATTATCGTAATCTCCACTGGTAATAAAATAAGAAACGAAAAAAAAGAAAACAAACTACACATGATGAATAATTCCGTAAGAAATATACGTCAAGATATTCGAGGTAATAGTTTGTGTTTTATTATATTATTATTACCTTTCTAGCGAGAAGTCCAGCTCCTGATCTAATATAAAAAGAAAGTTCTTAACATACGTTTGTTTTTTTCTTTCTTTTTTTTTTTCTTTTCTTTAACGCATTAACATCTCGAAAAGAGAACGCATGTAGAGACGACGTGGAAATAAATTGTGGGTAAATTGTGACAAATTAAGGAGATGGAACGGTGTGTGACATCGTAACGTATATCAATTCTATTCAAGTATTCTTTTTTTTTCGATTATTAGGAGATCACGTAATTACTAATATACAAATGATACACATTATCACCGAGAGTTCTATTACACAGAATAAATATATAGCGCACATTAGCGGGTTTTTTTTTTTTCCAAGAATGACGCAATCGAGCCGTACTTAAGTGGTTTTTTTTTTTTTTAATCATAGTTATTATTATCGTTAATATCCATATAATTATCAATAACTACAGTAAAACACAAAACAAAAAAAAACAAAAAAAAAAAGAATATAGCGTGTCTGTGTAATATCTGTACAATATCTTCCTTAAATAAACTAAACATTCTGTTCTTTTTATACTTGCGTGTGTGTGACCTACAAATATAGGAAGAAACTAAATCATAATATTCACAGATATTTTACAAGATAGACGAGGCTCGCCGATCGGGTGCACGCGTCGCGCAACAACAGAACGTACAAAAAATCCCGCCGCTCGTGCGAATATATGACTGGCTGCAGAAGAATTGAGCGCGGGGAGAATAGAAAAGGAAAGAGGAAAAAACGCGTGTGTGTTTCGATGATGAAAGTAAACAGCTCGTCACGCGACAGGTGCATCCGTTCGCGCCTTATATATATATACTTATTCGTAGCTATAATATATATACGCACGGTTTTTTTTTTTTTTTATCACTTTGCTCGCTCAATTATACCTCTACACTGTACATATCCACAATACATATTCCCCATCTTTTACACTGTACATGCACACGCTCCGCACAGTATTCGCGCTGCCCTAAAGCAAGTTCACGTCTCAAGGATGAATAAGTTCGTTAATTAATCCTTCATCGTTAGCAGAACTACACAATTTGTTAAATCGTCAATCTTTTCTATTAAAAAAAAAAAATTTAACGCAGAACACGAAGTAAAAAAATTCAATTTACGTGAAGCGTAATGGGGTACGCATAGCTCTTTAGGAAGAAAAGATGGAAATAATTTTACCCAGCATACGTTTTTGCTCTGACATTCCGCAAATATCGAGGAAAATATAAAGGTATGTATTTTCGCTTAAAAAAATAGAATGTATATAAAAGTACTTGTAGAATATTCTAGAACACAAAACAAATGCTGTTTTACTCATCCTTGATTACTTCCGTAACGAAAGTTGCGCTTTAAAGGCATGCGCTCTACGCGCACAGCAGCATAATATCATGAATAGATATATATATATATATAATATATATGTACGTGTGTATATACATATACACACATATATATATATGTCCTTTAGTTTATTTAAAATGTTTGTTTTTTTTTTTTTTTACGGCGTGGTGTGTGATATAATATACCTCTTTAGTCTCTCTTTCACTTTCTCTCTCTCTCTCTCTTTCTTTCTTTCTCTCTCTCTCTGTCTCTCTTTATACACATAAGCGCATTTTATTATCTCCGACATGAATGCTAAGGAGTCTCTATAAGTCGTCGTACGACGGAATCGAGGGGTAAAAAGGTAGATATGCATGAGACCAAATAACGAGCAAGAAGTAAACACGAATAGTGCGAACTAACGTCAATTAAAAAACGTTAAATGTTTTATTCGTGTTTACTCCTTCGATTCACTTTCGTTTACTCACTCAGGCATATCTATCTTAATAGGATGGAAGTATGTAGAATGGGGCAGCGTTAATGGTCAATGAGATCGGTCATACTGTTTCTCAAGTATGACAAGTAAGCCCCACTTGTCCTTAAACGTGCAAATTGGTATGCCCTAGCTAGTCTGTATATTGTGATAAACGTTTTTTTTTTTTTTTTTTTTTTTTAATAATAATTAATAGCAGCACAGTAATAGTAGTAATAGTAGTAGTAATAGTAGTAGTAAGTGGTAGTAGAGTGGTAATAGTGTTTATAGTAGTAATAATAGTAATAGAGCGTGCGGCAATAGTAGTCCGTAATAATAATAATAATAAAAATATTAAATGAACATAATGAAAAATATATAACAAATGATTATCAATGTTACCGAAATTTGTTTCGTGAAAAATAACATACACACGAAACATATATGTATACACATATATATATATATATGTATGTACACATATGATCACGTAAAAGATTAATTTCGTAAAAATTTGAATTTGTAACTTTCGAATTTTGCATTTGTATTACGATTAAAAATCGACATTGGTAACACTGGTAATAATATATTAATAACCATTATACAGTAATTATAATAATAAAGAATAAGAATTAGGAGAGTGTATACAACGTTGAGAAAATTTTTTTCTTACAAGATTTCATACAACGCTAAGGACAGAATACGAATTAATATGAATACGTTGCAATAATGTCACATCTCGACTGTGTGGAAATTATAATGCATTAGGATCTTTCGCAAAATGGATAAATTTATAAATAGATTCGCTCATTCTACTCGAATAGTTCAACTTTTTTTCGCTTTTCTCCGTGCTAGAAGAAGTCTAACATAATAATTTACATTCTAGATCGATCTGCGGCGGGAGCAGTAACGGGCTGCGGCAACTCTATATTATTACAATATAATATAATACATAGTTATTTATATGGAGCGGTATTATACAAAAACACACACATCACATACGGTCCATTTAATCGGGCACCCTCTTATATATGTTTTTACTTTTTGTCTTCTTCCTCTTTTTTTTTTTTTTACGCGCGATTATATATTTATCATTAAATACTTAAAATCACAGTAGTTATGCCCTCAGTGGCTTTCTTATAATTTATACAATTTATCATTAATGCCTAAGCCTTAATTAAAATAGCTCATGTGTCATAGTGATAGGGTACAGAATAGGGATTCCCTATTCTTTTTATTTTACTCATTTAATTTTTACTTCGGTTGATTTCTTCAACTAGAGCAACGGATTATTATAGTTTCCTCTATAGAAAGGACGAGCGTAAGTAAGTAATGCATGGTGTGACGAATCGAAGGTCTTATATGAAGGCGCTGGGGTTGTGCCCTAACTCGCTTGTCAGAAAGACCAAGAGTGTAATGTCGGTCTATCCCACAAACGTTGTCAGTAATTGACGCGAGTTGCAAGCCGTCTCCCCTTCCCAATCAAGAAAAAAAAATAAAAAAAAAAAAAAATAAAAAAAAAATAAAAAGGAAACGAACTTTGCCCGCGCGAATTTTGTCGAAGAGAGGCATGCACAATATAGTATCAACGCATTCAAACGTGCTAACCTCGCTTCATCGCACAACCTTGTGCCTCGCTTTAGGCCTACGATCTAAAGATTGGCTTACCGCCGGGTTCCATTTGATTGTCACTGATACAACTCCAGATAAGGAGCTCTTCGCATTAAACGCATCCCTCTTTTGCACTACGTGTAAAGTCAGGCGGACACTCCAGGCTTCATGCCATGTACGAAGCATCCTGATGCGCGAAGGCGAAAACATAGATCATAATCCAGTAGGTCACTGATTGGTCTCAAACTGTAGCTATTACGATTAGCAAATGAGCGATTTTTGCGACACGATGAAGTAGATCCGGTGCGATTCTTGCCAAATTTTCATGCGCAAAATCACAGGACGGGAAAATGTGAACTACATATGCCGGCTGAAATAAAAACACCATTTGTATAAACATTTGTTCAAATTACCATTTGATTACTTAGCCGTCACATTTTGAGCAAGATGTGAATATACAAAACGAAAAGATCTAAAATTCAGAACAAAATTATTTTTTGACGTAATAAATAAAATTGGCATAACAAAAAAATTCAAAATATGATCAAGTTTACCTGTTGCGATCCGGGTACAGCAATGTTTACGATTCCAGCAGCCTGTTTTTGTTGAAGATACATGATAAATCCTGTTTGAAGGTTTTTATTCTGTTGTAATACGTCTACTTCGTCACGACCACAAGGTAATGCCAACAGCATGCAATGTTCATTATCAGTCTGAAAAGCATTAGGTAATATGTTAAAAAATGGAAATATTTTTATAAATTTTATTCATGTGTGCACAGCATATATAAATTTCTTGTGCTATTTTTTGATTCATTTATAAACATATTTTTAAATGTAACTCTTTTTATATCAATCAGATTATTAATTTATAAATTACGACAGATCTAACTGCGTAATTAAAAATACGAGGTAAACATTAACTGCAAAGAAATTATCGCATGTACCTGCATCTTTCTCGCTACGCCCTCAACTTGAGTTTGTTCTAATCTCATTCGTTGAGCTATTCTTAACGGTGGTGTGGACCCGTCGCTGTTGCATGGCAGACTGTCTCTAGCTACGTTGGGATTGCCAAAGACAAAATGCATCTGTACCGCTGCTTGATCGTTTTTGAGCGCTAGTAAACCTTGCCACATAACCGGATAACGTTGGAGCAGCATTTGAAACGTGTCCGCTTGCGGTGGCACCTGAGACGCATAGGGCGGTGGTGTGACGACCTGATGTTTTCTGCATCTTTCTGGTGTTGTAGCTCTACCCATTTCGGGTGGTGCCTCACTGGCAGGCATGGGATATTGAGATCGTAAATGCGCAGGTGGCGGTTCGTAGTAGCCCGCTCGAGCGCCAACTGGTGCACCGGGTAACGATGGATTGCTTCCCGCGTTGTACTGCGGCGGTGGTGGTAATCTTACTCCTCCTAACATGTAAACTTGAGCAACTTGTGGACTGTCGGTAGTGCGATCCTGAGGTGTTCTCGTTCCCCGTCTCAATTCCAAAGGTGGACTGTGAGTGTCTTCTATACCAGTTTCAAGTTTTGGATCCAAAGGTAGATGTGGAGATCTTGTTCCTGGAATGTGATAAGCTATGCGAGGAGCCGTTAATGCTTCCTGCTGCGCACGTAGATATTGAGAGTACTGCAACATTTGAGAATGCAGATAATGTGGCGGCAACTCCCCACGATTTAATCCTCCGTAATGATTGACAACTTCGCTCTGCAAAGAGATTATCTTTAAAATTATTTATTATTAGTTATCAAGCATTTTTTCTGCATTAACCTAACTTAACAATTAACAATTTTTAAAATTTTATGTAAAATTCCACAAAGAAAATCTATTATTAACATCTAGAACACATGGGTGTCCAACCCACGAAAGCTAATAGTGCGGCTCCACAAAATCATAAACTTTTAACATTATTATGTGATTTTAACAATATTTTTTATGACTCGATTACGCGGTGCTCGAGCACGGACTGCGTATTGTGTGTGCGGCCCAAGACAATTTCTTTTCACTCAATGCGGGCCAGAAAAATCAAAAGGTTGAACACCCCCTGCTCTAGAAGCTACACTTGATTGATATCTTTGATGTATCATGTAAATATTATATACTTCAAACTTATTTTGTAAGAGTATTATATTATAAGAGAGAAAAAGTATAAATACCTGTGAGGTATTAACATGATGATGAGCAGGTGGTGGCAAGGGAGGGCTTTGGGATCGATGTGGGGGAACAAGACCATATTGACCGCTTGGTGGAGTAGCACCCGTGCCGTGCTAATCAAACAGAAAATGAGCGCATTTAACACAGTATTGACATTACTTTTGTGTTAGTTCGATTATCATTTTATTTTATTAAAAGTAATCCTTATAATGTACAAAAAAAAGTAATAAGAAAAATAAGGTACGATGCTTACCAGTGGAGCCTCGAATGTCGGCATCGGAACACTACGAGCTTGCGGACTTGTAGTTGGCATGATACAACCAGAAATCGGTAATTCTACTTTTTGGGGCTCCATTGTATTTGTGACCTGAAATTATTTTATTTAATACATTGAAATTATTATTTAATACAATATTATTTAAAAAAGTAAATTAATTTCAATGTATTAAATATTTTGATACTATTTGTTTAAAAGACTTTTCTCCGATTCTTGTAATAATAAATTCATCGTCAAGTAATATTTCATCAACTATAAAAAGCATACGTACAACAGGTGGTTTCGGTCCTGGTGGTCGGACATTGCTTACGCCAGTTGAAATCGGCTGTGGATTAACGAGATGTGGTTGCGAGGGTGAACTTGTCACCGTTCCAGCAATAAGTGGCGGGACCACAGCTTGCAGTAAGTGTGCTTTCGGATTTAGTGGCTGAGGTTGTCCATTGATACCCTTGAGAGCGGTAGGTTGTGAAACTGGTTGATGAATTCTCGATGACGGAGAAATAGCGTTTACATTAGAATGCAGATTTAAAGGTATCTTTTGAGACATATTCACTATCGTTGTTGTTTGTTGTTGTTGTTGTTGTTGTTGCTGTTGTTGTTTAGCGGCTTGCAGGAGATGCTGTTTAGGATTAGGCGGTACTCCGGTGTTATTGAGCACGGGAGACATAGGTTGACCCTGCTTACCATTCGACGAAGACAATTGCACCGTTTGTTTCGCACTCAAGGGACTCAAACTGGGTGACGTGACTCTACCAGGCGGTATCTGTAAGTTAAGAGCTTGCACAGATTGCACATGCTGCACGGGAGGTTTAACAATGTTCTGTACTATCGTTTGATTGGGTAAACTTGGAGGCATTGGTTTTGTGACAGCAACTTGCTGTTGCTGAGTCGAAGTCGCCAGCTTGCTAGCGTTCAACACGTGCGCCTTGAGGCTCGTAGGTTTCGTTTGAGAAGAAGAGACGGGCACTGCTTGTACTGCCGTAGTTGGTATCACGGTAGTAACGACAGATGTCGGTGTACTTGTCGCCGAAGACTGCGCAACAGTAATAGTACTGGTAACCTGTATTGCTGGAGATTGCGACTTAGTAATTACACTAGTTTGCGGTTGGATTTGCTGAGTTGGTGGGCAAGGTGGTTGTTCCGCAACAACTTCTTTCTTAGTCTCCGCTGGTGTTGACGAAGGAGAACTTTCAGTTTTCACTCGCGGTGCTTCGCTTGTCGAATTTGTGCTAACACGATCGTTTCGAGGTTCGCTCAATGTTTTATTAGTATTCTGCGCTTGACCGGATGTTGTAGACACCGGAATGTATTGACCCTCCTCAGATTCTCTCATTGGTATCAGCATTCCCGTGACTGGATCTATTAATGTCATCGGTTCGAGCGATACCGCTTTCTGCGGCGCTGACGCAACAACTTGAGCAGGTTGCTCTTCCGCTTTCGGACTTTCCACTTGAGTTAGTTTTGGCTCTTCTTTGTGTGGAGGACTTGGTTTGGTCTCTTGTTGCGTTGCGGGCACTTCTTTTGGCTTCTCCTCTCCGCTGTCGTCATTGTTTTCGGATATTCGCCTCGCTGCTTTACGGCTGCCCCTAGTTGATTTACGGAGTTCCGTTAATTGTACGACAGGTGGCTGTGTAGCATTACGCGGAGTGTTGTTGTGTCTGGTGCTTCGTCTGGTAGCATGAACATTTCCGGCATTACTGACTAATCCTTTGTTTGCGGGTGATCCACGGACAACATCCTCGATCACATCGTCAACCGTATTACGACTGCCATCTCTTTCCGCCAATCTTCTAGATTTTCTCGTGTTGGCAGCTGGAGAAACAAACTCCTCCGGTGGTACTTCCTTAACCGCGGCCACTGGTGTTGTCGGCTGCGCATTAGATCCTGTAACATTCGGTCCGGGAGATTTGATAGTGAGAATAAGTCGCGGACGACCAGCGTTGTCCTCTTCGCTGTCATCGTGGAATTCGTAAACATCGGCCGGCAATTTACTCTTTTCGACATGGTGCTTGCTACCTCTGGGACTTCTACCTCCTCGTTTGTGAGAAACGTTGCTCGCATTCCTACCTCGTCTCGTTGTAACGCCGCCACGACCACCACGCCTGCTTTTTGCTCTGCCGCGACGGCTCCTTGTAACCTCATTTTCGCACGTTTCCGCGCTCTCGTCGTGATCGTCAGTGGACACAAAGTTCTTTTTGATCTCACTTTCCGCCGACTCGGCGTCAAACCAATCTGATTCGTTCTTACTGGTGTCATGCGAGTCGCTATTCGCGCTCTCAGTTTGCTGCACTTCCTCGTCGCCGTCGTTACCTTCACCGTCGCATAGAGCATCGACCTTCTTTATGACGCTTTCGATGTTTACTTCCTTCGCGGACCAATAATCGCTATCTTCTTTGCTGTCAGTTGGATCGTCTTTGGAATCGATAGCAAGAGGATCCGTACTTGGCTCTTTAAGCGGATCTTCTACCGGCTGATCATCTAATTCTACATCCTCATTTTCCTTTATAGCGTTTTCTTCTTTTATTTCGTTCTCAAGTTCCAATTTTATAGAAGTTTCTGCCTCAAGTTTTGGCACGACTATATCATCAGCTTCGACTTTAGGAACAGACGGTAGACTTTCCATCTTAATTGTTTCTTGCAATTCTTGTTTTGGTTTTACATCATCTACGCATGTCTGATTGAGAGGCTTTTTAGAATCGGCAATATTGTATTCAGTCTCTTCCATCGTGTCCTCCTTTTTGACCTCAACTGGTTCTTGTTTTATCTCGTCAATTGGCTGTGTTGTTTGTATAGGCGGTGTAAGCAGCATCGGTTGAACAGTTTGACTGATCTGCGCTTCAGCATCTAACTCTAACGGCTGTTCTTGAATTACATGTGACTCTAAACACTCCGATGAAGCTTGTTCGTTCATCGATGACGTCGACACAGATGACACAGTCGACGGTACTACCCTGGTTATAATCTGTGACTGAGACACCGTTGATATTAGTGGTACGTGTGATTTAACCAACTGACTCTGCGAAACCGGCGACTGTCTCTGACAAGCGAGAGACGTTTGCGTGATAACACATTTGTCGCTGGGCATTGATGACGGAACAGTTGGTGTTACTTGCTGAGGAACTACAGGCACCACAGTTTTTACCAGTGGTTGATTCGGCGATGAGACAGGCGGTGGACCGAGATTGTGGACAGATTTGTGAAGCAAATGAGATTGACCGTGAGCTACGGTCATGATAACGGGACTAGTGGAAGCTCGAGAGACATGCGTAGTCAAAAGTTGACCAACATTCTCTAGCTTCTGAGGTGGCGATAAACGATCGTCCGCTGCGATAGTTAAAGCGTGCTTTTGTCTAGACGACATTGTAGAAGACATTGTGTAGTCCGTGAGGTACGGTTTGTTAAATATTGGGCTAGACATATTGGCGGTGATCTTTGCCGTTTCAGGAGGGTATGTCGGTGGTTGATTTGGCGAAGGAACTTTAGGAGACGTGGATGCTTTGTGAGTTGTTTCAGGTATAACAGCTGGTGACAACTTCGGTTCTTCCAATCTTTGTGGCAGTTCGTTCGGATTTACAGGAAGCAATGTCTCAATTACAGACTTGCCGCCGAGAGAAGAGTCGCGCGAATTTTTCACTTGTACACCGGACGCCAATGGTGGTACTGGCATGTAAGGTCGCGGTGGAATATTCAGAGTCAACGGTGGTAAACCGCCGCGAGGATAACCCGGCACGGGCGCCAACATTCCCGAAGCATGTTGAATTACTGGCTGTTGTGTTGCCGCGGTCGAATAAACTTGTTGAACTGGAGTTTCTGGTCTAGCAGAGTGAGCAGGAATGGGCATGCACACCGCGATCTTGGTAGGTGGCGGCGAAGATTTCCTCTTCCCTATGTTAGGCATATGAGGATTCACCAACGTAGGACCATTCCGTGACCACTGACCGTTAGGTGAAAGCGGCTGCGTGACACGTGGCGATGACTGTGATGACATTACCAAAGACGGTATTCTCGACGAGACTAATGGTGGCATTGGCGTTGTGTTGGTAGAGGATGAGCAAGAAACCGTCGTAGGATTTTGCAATTTCGGAGAAGCCTGGCGCATCGGTACCATTTGAGATTGCGGAGACACAGATAGCCTCTGATACAAAGGCTGTACCGTGATCGGTGGTGGTCGCGGTGAACTCGGAAGTGATTTTGGTGCTTCGCTTGTGATCGGAACGTTACAAGGTAGTAGCATAGGCTTGTATTGAGACGGAGGCGGCGACGCGGACGCTCTATCTACCTGAGCTGTTCTTTCCGGACTAGTGACACAATCAGCGTCCGTGTCGGAAGTTTCTAACTGTACTGTAGGTTTTACGGATTCGCGAGACTTATTGTTCTCACTTAAAGTCCAAGAATGAGCGATTACAGAAGTCGGCGGAGTCTGCGACTTCGTAACCGGAGGCGGGGACAATCGCACTTCGACCGGTTTCTCCGGTGTGGTTAAGACGGGCGTCATATTCAACGTCTTCGTTGGAGATTTATAGAAAGATGGTATATCCGGTGTCTTTGGTGGTTGTGTCAAATCGACTGTCTCGTAATTCGGATCTTCTTCCGTGTCCGTGTCGATCTGAAGATCGTGCTCACTCTGTGGTGTATCTGGCTTCATGTCCGTATCGCCTTCTCCCGTCGAAGCGTTCAGACTCTCGACGGCTTGTTGCATTTCTTCGACGTCTTCTTGCGGTGCCTCAGCTGGAGTCTCGGCAACCCCATCAGCTTCCGCTTCTTCCTCTTCGCCTTCGTAAGAGAAGTCTTCCGTCGAGGCGCCGAACGTTTCTTCAAGTAACGCAGCAACAGCATCTTCCGTTTCCTCCTGCGATATCGCAACACGCGGTTTGTCTTCGCCATCTGGACTTATCTGAGTCGGAGGTATTGTTTGCACAGGCAATTCCGGTTCTTCCCTGCCGCTACGCGATTGGCAACTGCTATCTCTCTCATCAGGCTCCGATATACTCTTCACGGCATTTTCGTGAATTGTCTCATCCATTTCTATTCCAAAACCAGGTATAAACTTGTCTTTCTTCTTCTCCGGTTTAGAGGCTTGAATAGCACTACTCACAACTGGAGGAGTAATGGACGTCACAGCTGATATACTGGAAGTTACTTTAGGTATCGGGCTTAACAGTGTTTCTCTAGGCGTCGGCAAGCTAGGCGATATTATTGTTTTAGACAATACTAACGGACTACTCGATCTCGGCGGACTAGGTTCGGCACCCAAGTAAGGTAATTCGCCGCTCTTTTCATGATGATGATGATGGTGGTGATGATGGTGATGATAATCTTTTCGACTACGTTCCTCCTTGGATTTCTTTCGTTTCTTCTTTTTCTCCTTCACCTTTTCCGGCACCGTCGAAGGTGTGGACGGTTCGATACTGTCGTTATCATCAGTAAATCGAAAAACATCGTGATCGCTAGGTTCGGTGCAAGCGGGAGCGCTCTTTGGAGAACTAGGTATGCCCAAAAGCTTCGCCTCAATCTCTCGACCAGCTTCAGCCAAATCGACACTGTTCTCGTCTTCCAATTGATGACGCCGTTTCTTTTCCGTTTTCCGTCTTACTCTATCCATGTCGAGCGAGCTGCGACCACCATCGCTGTCCGAAGCGTAAACATTGTTCTCCGCTGTAATGTTGCTAAATCTGTTGAAAAATGTATCAGACGGAGCGTCGTCAACGTCGTCCGAGAGAGGGCCGAAGATGTCTTCCATTCGTTGAGAATCTCTCGCCTCTTGTCTGTTGAGCCTCTTTCGTCTCGCTTTGGCTTTATCTTCTCCATTTCGATCGCGTCTCTTGTCCTTTTTGCTACGTTGTTTCTTATCGGCGCGCATTCTCTCTTCGGCGTTCTCCAAGACAATGCTCGCAGTATTGGTGATGGTGTTCAATTCCGTCCCGTGATTCGGTCGACAATCCGCGTTCGACGTAATGGCATTTGTTTTAGTCTTATGTTCTAAAGTCTCGGTCGATTCTATCTTTAAATTATTTTCGTTCGACATACTGCTCTTCTGACGTTTCTGTTTCTTTTTATGGGACTTCTTTCGCGAATCTCTCTCGTGATTGTTCACTATTGACGAATGATTAGTTCGGAATCCAACAGACACTCGCTCGTCCTCGTCAGACGTACGAGGTTCTTCTTTAATGTTCGCGTGCACGCTATTCACAACGACGCTGTTCGAAGTTTCCAACGAATTTTGCTTCTCATCGGTATCGGCAAAATTAAAATCTACATCGCTCTCGATGAATCTGTCTGCTTTTACAGGCTTGCGAACCTTGTTGTTGAACGGTTCTTCCTCCTCGCTCGTATCCGAGTGTATTCGTGATCGCGAACCTTTTCTAGATAGAGATTTGGTTCTCGTCGAGTCCGATTCCGACGTGGCCTCGTCCTCGGTCAGAGCTTTGCTGCTCACTGAATCTCCGTCCCACGACGTACTCTGTTTCTTCTCTTCACGTCTGGCGCGACTTTGCTTCAATTGCGAAAATTTATCCTTGAGACGCACTTGACGTTTCTCTTCCTCCAATTTTTGCATGTTCTTCGTCGAGCGAGCCTTCACCTTGTCGTACATACTGATGTAAGCAGGCTCGTCGACGACAATATCGAAGATCGAGTGCTTTTTTGGCTCGTCACTGTCCGTATCCGTAGCCGACGGGTTTCTCGTAACTTGCATCTCGTGAGTGGAAAGCGGACCGTCGTCTATGTCACTGTGCGAGTTCAACTGAGAGTGCTGCTGCTGATGATGTTGCACGTCTCTCGTGTGATTTGACGCCGACTCGGTTGACAAACTCGAGTCATTTCGCTTGGATAGTTCTAATTTTGATAAATATTCTTTGTCGGATTCGTGCGAGACTCTCGGGCTACGTTCCCTCGACTTTTCCGATCGATTTCTCTTACTCCTCTGTTTCTCCTTGCTACCGTTATTATCTCTCGAGTTGTTCTCCCGATTCGATTCGCTGTGCGTGTTGTCTCTGCTATCCTGTATGACATTACCGCTATCTTTATTGTCGCGATTCTCCCTGCTATCTCGACTAGAACGATGCGAGTCGTTACGATGCTTACGATCTTCCGATCTTCTGTTCTGCCTAGATCGATCTTTGCTATCCCGTCGATGGTCCGAAATCTTCATACGTTTAGCTTCTTCATCCGTGGGACCGTCCTGAGACGAGCACCTGCGCTTAACCGGCACAGGTGCGGGAACAACTTGTGTCTGAGACTGCGTAACAGACGAATGCAGATGATTCTCGGTCGACTGTCGTCTGCTGTCGTCGCGTTCTCGCTTTTCTTTATCCTTCTCCTCGCGTTCTCTCCTCTTCTCGCGTTCCGTCTTCTCTTTCTCCCGCCTTTCCTGATCCTCGCGTTCTCGTCGTTTCTCGTGCTTCTCCTTCTCGAGCCTCTCCCGTTCTTCTTTCTCGCACTTTTCCTTTTCCGCCTTCTCCCGTTCTTCCTTTTCTTTTCGCCGTTCACGTTCCAGCCTCTCCTTTTCCTCCCTCTCTCGTTTCCTTTCTCGTTCGAGTCGCTCCTTTTCCTCTCTCCTCCTTTCACGTTCCAATCTCTCCCGTTCTTCCTTATCTCTCCTCTCTTGTTCCTCTCTTTCTCTTCTAAGACGCTCTTTTTCCTGCTTTTCGCGCTCCGAACGAATTTCCCGCTCCTTTCTCTCACGTTCCTCGCGCTCTTTTCTTTCGCGTTCCTCGCGTTCCCTCCGTTCCTGTCGCTCCTTCTCCTCCCTTTCCCTTTTTTCCCGATCGATACGTTCCTTTTCTCGTCTCTCTTTCTCTTTGAGCTCAATTTCCTCCTTCTCCTTTCTCTCGCGTTCTCTTTCTTTTTCTCTTTCTTCCCGTTCTCTTCTGTCCTTCTCCTGTCGTTCCTTGTCCAATCTCTCTCTTTCGCGCTTTTCCTCGTCTTTCTCACGCTTCTCGCGCTCGTCTCTCTCTTTCTTTTCCTGACGGTCGCGATCTTCCTTGTCCTTTCGTTCTTGTTTGTCTCGATCTTCTTTATCTCGTTCTTTTCGCTCGTATCTCAATTCTTTATTATCCTTAAAATCTCGATTATGAATATCTGTGCTGCCGATGTCGTTGGCGACGTTCGCGCTCTCTCTTTCGTCTCTGTCTTTGCGATTTCTTTCAACGTCGATCTCTTCCTTTCGCGACGATCTTCGTTGACAATCTTTTCCCTTATTATGCTTCGACTCCCTGCCGCTATCCTTTCCGTCGCGAGAATCTCTACTGTCTCGACTACCACCACTGCTTTCTTTCTTTAAACGAGAACGAGGCAATTCTGTGGAAGATTGGGATGATGACGATAATGAGGAAGAATTGGATGAGGATGGTATGGAAGACGCTGTAGCTACAGAACAAACTGTAGTAGTCATGGAAGATAACGTGCTCGTTGCGCACATCGTCGTCGTCGTCGTCGTCGTCGTTGATGATGACGATGTTGTTGCGCTCAACGTCGTAACAGATATCGCCGTTGTTGTTATTGCAGTTGAGAAAGTGTTTGTTGACGCTGCTGTCATCGTGGCTAATACGTTCAGTCCTCGATGTGTCGAGGCTCCGAGGGTGTGAATATTACTTACGCTACCGTTACTGCTTAGAAGACTACTGGCTGACGCTAAACCACTACCATTGCCGCTACTGGCTACCGTTCCGCTACCAAGACCGATTGGTAGAGAAACCGGTGGTAATTCGGGACTGACTGTTTTGACAGATGTGCCAGGTGTAATCGGTGTTGCTGGCGTTGGATGCATGCAAATATGTACCATCCGCGGATCTGTCTTCAACGTCGACGGAGCCATAGTCGTTGTTGGAATCAGATTCGCGGATAATGACATATTAATGCCAACCTGACTGCTAACCGAAGTACTGCTGGTCGACTGTACCGGCGGATGACTAGGAAACGGATATTGCAAGCAAACTTTGCCGGTACAGCTGCCACTAGTGGTAAGGCCAGCAGTGCTACCGATCATAGAGCTAACACCAGTGAATTCTCGCGGTTCGTATTTTTCACTAAAATTCTCCAGTCGCTTCGAGTCCTCCTCGAACACGCTTCTTTTCGCAAGAACTGATTTCATAATTTCCGAAGGTTCAACACCTTTATAGTCATTTTCAAGCAGTTTATGGGGAAATCGGAATCTTTCCGAAACAATGGCATCGAGTTTCGCCAGAGCGTCACCACTGGCGGCACTTAATGCTCTCGAACCGGACCACTTCTCGTACATTTCATCCAGAGAACGTATTCTCTCTTCCAGAGTAGGAGACTGTGACGCTGTCTCGCTGTCGGAACTGGTCGGACTCGAGCTGGTATGTCTCGGAGGTGGCGAAGCCGGTGGTTGCGGAGCCACACGAGGACTAGGCGCAGTAGACAGGCTGGCACACGGCGGACTAGCAACTTTGGAGAGGCTCGCACTGCTCAGTCGAGTGCTGCTGCCATTATTGTTATTGCTACTGCTATTGTTGTTATTGTTGTTCAACATTTGTGCCGCGAACCTAGGTAATGGTAGCGACAACGGACCCTCGTGGCTCCTTTCTCTGAAACGTCTTGGCTCACTGGGTACCAGATTCTCCGGTCTTTCGTCGACAAGAGGAGTACCTGGTCGAGATCCATCATGATGTTCGTGATGTCTATAAAAATGTTGTAATTTAGTTTTAAATTTCTATAAAACTTGTTTTTTTTTTTCGCGAGTCACAATACACAACTTACCTGCTAGTGGCATCCCGACGACGCTTACAAGGTGCAGGACCTCTTCCCTCGCAACTACTTCTTCTTGTACCATGGTGCACCACTACTTTGCTATCACTAACACGTCTAAATTCCATGCCTTTCCTATTAGAGTGCGAGGTAACGAGTAAAGACGCAATTTCCGGCTCGTCGTCTTCACAGAGTATTGTCGTCGATGAGCTATCAAGCTTCGCACGTTTCTTCGGAACGAAACCGACCTCGTCGCCGCTACTTTGACATTCCTCAAGTTGTTCCAACAAATGGACGCGTTCCTTCTGCAGGTGCCGAATATCGGGCGGAGGTAGCAACGGTGGCGGTGGTGCAGGTGGATCGACACTCGTAACGACACTTTGCACAGTATGACGCCGTGATGGTGGCGGGCATTCGTCGTCATTAAGTTTGCCGTCACTGAGAACGCTGCTTTGGTAGTCATCGTGACTCGTGCCGCTGCCTTGACTGAACTCGTCGTAGCTGCGGAATCTTCGCGGCGTCGGTTCACCATAATCACCATCATAGTAGGAATCCTGATAGGACCGTCTGCTACTTCGCGACATCGCTGTTGGATGAGCTGGACTCGCACCCGGTGTACTACCACCGGAGGTTCGCGAATAGCTTGCCGTTCTCGATCGCGGTGGAGTATCGTAACGCGTGAACCTGCTGCTTGAGCTAGATACTGTTACCGCCGAGTCAAAACTGCCACGTTCCCGCCTAGAAGGAATCCTTTGAATCACAAATGTGTAGTCATTTTAAGTTCTTGGTTATGACTTGTGTAAATTTATGTGTGTAAGCATGCATCTTATAATTCTAAATCTACATTGATCTAATTCTGTAAATTCCCGGACATTAATGTTCGGGATTTACAGGATTAAAGTTAATCCGAGTGGTTCTTGAAAATGAGAAAATCTGATTAATTATTTGCCGAAAGAATATCTAAAAAAAAAAATATCAAAATTAATGTTATTTCTTTAATATAGAATGTTTGTTATAAAATGTTTAAGATAGTCGAGTAAAGCCACTTTCACGAAATGGTTGCAATACTTTTGCAAAATAATGTTGTAACTGTACAATGATTGTGTCAGACATAAATGGATTTACAGGATCCAGGACTTACAGAATATGTAAATCTAAAAACAAAAACACTACAGGATTAGGGTTAGTAAAACAAGTTAGAAAAACAAAACATACTATATTATTTAAAGAAAATATACATACGTTACGTCAAACGACGACGCTGGTGAAGGCCTAGATTCCCATGTTTTTTCAGTGGAGTTTCCTTGACGTTCGAGATGTTCGTAAAACGTCTCTTGACACTCCCTCGAGGCGAAATCTACCTGTAAACGACGGCCACGAAGAGCAGCTCCTCTCATTTCTTTGACGGCAGTTTGCGCGCAGCTGATTTGGTCGAAAAAGACCAAAGCGTGTCCACGTTCCCTGTCCACTGCTACTTGATTTATCGATCCAAACTGATGAAACTGCATGTTTAAATATTTCTCGGACATACCATCTAAACGAGAAAAACGAGAATGTTATTAACATTGGTTATTTGACTTTTGAAAAAATTTAATTTTTCTCAAAAATTAAAATTCTCGATATTATCAACATTTAAAAAATGCACACACCTCCAATGCCATCAACCCAAACGCAGGCTGTGGGCATCGACTTTCCGAATCCGAGTTTGATCCGATTCGCGCCCAGATGTTCACCGTCCATCGACCTCATAGCTTTAACGACACTACCGATATCCGAATATTGACAGAAAGCATAACTAGACACGGCACCTTGTTTCTTAATGTCAATTTCCTGTCAAGCAAACACGACGGAAAGCAATAAGTAACGTATCTCAGCGTTTGAGCAATCTCAAATATTTCAATACAATATACGTTCTTATATTTCTAGATTTTATTTAAAGTTTTATTTATAGTTTTTATTCACAATCATTTTTTACCGCTTTCTTTTCACTTTTTACATATAATTTTAACTTACTATTATCTCTCCGAACGGCTCAAAATGTTTTCTGAGTTCGGACGCAGTGACATCCTTTTCGAGATTTCCGATAAACAGCGTTCTCGTTGCCTTTGGATGATATTCATCGAGTTCCGCCTCGTACGGCCTGAACTCATTGTCCTCCACATCGTAACCCTGATAAGGAGCTACTTCAATCTTACATCCAAAAAAGAGTTTATCTTGTGAAACCTCGAGGGCTTTCTCGACATCCTCGGGCTTCTTGAAACAGACGAGGGCGTATCTGTCATCACCTGAGCCGACAACTTTCACCCACGTCACTTTGCCGTGTTTTTTATATTCGTGGAAAAGGCCATCCTTGAGAGAGGTGTCGCTACTGCGGATTGGCAGATTTCTCACACAGATAGCCAACGGCCTGCGATCCTCCGCGACGGCTACATTGCTCGTGCGATGCGGCGATACCGGGCTACCAGGCGACGTGCTTCCGGAACTGCTACCGCCGGAGCTACCGCTCCGACTGCTACTACTACTTCCGGAACGACTACTGCCGCTCGGCGAACTGCTCCCACTACGTGATTTTCTGCGTTGCTTCTTGTGTTGTCGCAGAGTACTACTACTACCGGTACCACCACCTCCGCCGCCAACTCCTGTAACAGAAAAATAACAACAAAAACATTAATATACAGTAAACACTAGAGAGATGTCAAACAAATATTTTTCTCTGTATTTTTATATACATAAATATATATTTGAAGCGGTGTCTATAACACGCGCCAATGATAGATACGCGTTATACAAATAGAAGAAGAAAAACATCGGTCAACCAGAGCAATTACCTTGCTCATCTTGGTACGCGTCGTTAGTAGCGGGCGAAGGTGGCGGTGGTGCGCCACCGTATCTCGAACCTGTCGGCTCATACGCCGACCAGGACGACGGCGGCAGACTTCCACGATGACGATCTAAATGGGGCGGGGGCGGTGGCGGCCCAGTGATATACGGGCCGGATCTTGCGTACCGATCCCTCGCCCTGCTCGATGTCACGTGGTAAGAGCTCGCAGGTGGACGGCCGCGGGATATGTAACCGCCAGGATCCCCCGTCGCGGGATCTGCCGGATGACCGCCGACGCCGACTCCGCCGCCGACGACGACGCCGCTGCTCCCGCCAACCACACGGCTGTTCCTCTCGCTACCGTAGAAGCTACCGTGAGACCCACGTGAGTCGAAACTCTCGCTTCCCCTCTCTCCTCGTTCGCCAGTGCCGCTACCGCCGACCCCGGCGCCGGTGCTCCCGCTACCACCGCCGCTGCCGCCGGAAACGCCGCCTGTTCCGCCGCCGCTTCCACCGCTACCGCCGCCGGATCCATGATCCTCCGAACTTCTGAAAGATAAGAAAGCTTGGGTTTATTCATCGTCCATTGAACGACTGTTGACGTTCGCATCAATTAATCATTATACAAGTTTTTCAATAGTCCTTAATTTCTCTGTAGAGGTTTACATTCACAACTGACAATGTCATGACAAAAAAAAAATTCTTTTGTCAGCTAGAACGAATGAGATATTTTGATTAATGAGAAATATACACTTTTATTTTGCTTTTGTCAAGAGGGTCAAGAGCAAAAACACGAGCAAAGAACCTGACAGAGATAGTTCAAAGCGACGTTGAGCGTACAGAGAGAGTACAGAGAGAGAATCGAGTAGAAAACGCTCGCGCTCACATACATAGATAAATTCGCGCGGACTCACGGTCACGTCCAATTGGTCAATTATGAGTCGCGGAGAACAACTCTGCATTTCAATAGCGCAAAAATAGGAGTGTCCCGCTACTGTACTGTGTCGGGACTTCCGTGTTTTTGTTCTGGAAATATATCAGCTGATCGATGAATTTTTTTTCTGATTTCTCTGGTTGTCGCGCTCTATTCTCGTAAAAAAAAAAAAACAAACAAACATATTCTTTCACATCAATTTATTTGACAGCTTTTAATCAGATGTTCTGGTCCCAAGTCTTGTGGCACAGCATGTGTAAGAAAAAAAATCATTATATATTCCAGAGATTAATATTAATCCTGGGCTTGAGAGTTTAACTTCTCTCGTTTCGTTTTTCTTATACAATTCTTTCATCCTCGAACCTCTTACTAAAAAAAAAAAAAAAAAGTAACCGGTACAATGAACTCTTTCGAGAATATCGGTATGTTATTTCGCTTGTTTACTAGCAGCGTTTTGCGCCATTTCATAGTGACTATAAATACAATCAGTGCGGCGCGGAAATGCCTTCACACCTGAGTAAGTCCGCCGCTTTGCACAAAACATATCAAGGCAGGCAGCTTAAATATCTCAATTCACCAGGCATTTCATATGTACGTTTATATATAGCGGCCGCGTAAGGTGAGGCCGAGACGAATCGGACCAGGCTCATAAATTCCTGGCTACACTACTGACAGTTAACGCGCTCTCTCTTTCCCCTCGCTTCTTTATACTCCGTTTTCCTTCCCGCTTGTGCCGTCACGCTTCGACAGTTACTACTCCGGGCAAGCCCGCACGGCCGACGGGGACGTGGCAACATCGCCAACGACCACGTCGTCGTCACGGTCACCTGACTTTTCGTGGAAACGCGACGCCGCTATACTCTCTTCGGTTCGTGTACGCGCGCGTGAATATAGACGTGCGCGCGCGAGAACGCGTGTTTCAGCTCTCTGCACACACGACCTTTTTTCCTCCTCCTTTCCCGTTGCATATTCCGTCACAGCGCGCTCTCTTTCTTTTTTTTTTTTTCTCTCCCTTGCGCGGTTCTCTTTCGTCGCCTTTCTATATTCTCTTTCCTTCCTCACGGTGAGATCGATCGATCGGAGACGGTCATAATTCTTCATACGCCTCGGCTCTTCGAGTATGCGCTGCGTGCGCTCCGTGAATGATGCCGCGGAGAAAGTGTGTGTGTGTGTGTGTGTGTGCAGAATTTCTTGTTCCGCTGTATAACACACACAATTTGTCAAATGCGCATTAGACAAAGGGGTGGTCACGGTGACAACGATAACGTCAGAAAATACGATAGCGAATATTTGCGAGAGAAAAAGAGGAGAAGAGATATCTATGTATGTATGTGTATTTACGCGCTCTGCTATCGAAGCCGCGATAAGTATGCCAGTGACTCTCAAAACTTGAGTCATCGCGGGGCCAAAGCTCCCTGTTATTTGAACATGTGACAAAAATAACTGATAAAAAATGCAATCTGATTTTCGGAGAGATTGACGATAATCGAACACAATCGGGTATGTATCTGATGTGTACAACAACAAAAGTCAACGGTTTTTTTAAACAAAAGCAATTGTGAAGACAGAAGAGAGATAAACTTGCATTTTTTTTTTTTTTGTATAATTCACTCTGGCAGTATACCGTTCGAAAACAAAGATAATGAAATTAATCGTTCATCCATAACAATATTTCAATGTCGCTTGTTTTGCGCGTGCTTCCCGCGACGTTTAACTGATTTCTAGGACGTGACTCGTCGTAAACCGGCACACAACGTCGGTTGTGCTCACGCCATTCTGGAAATGAAAATTCATCCCTGCGATTAATTTGAAAAAGAAAGTACAGCCCGCGCACATTTCTTTACATCGAGAGATACAAAGAAAAAAAAAAAGAAAAAAAAAGAAACAAGGATATAGCAATTGTGTGCAGAGTTCGTCAAGTAGTTTTACTTGTTTGCACATTCTCTCGGTCATTGAAACCGTCCGCTTTCACGTGATGAATGTCATTGAATATGTGTTTCTTAATGTAGATCGGTTTACCGAAAAATGTAGATCGGTAAACCAATCTACTACATTTGTATTAAAAAAAGGAAGTAAGACGCATTTTTGACTTAATTTAACGTACAACCTACAGATGAGTCGAAATGGGTCATCACGTTGTACACACTGGACGAGATACGTAAGTATCAAACTGGCATGGATTTTTTTTTTTTATGCATAATAGAATTTGTAGATTCTTTTCTGAAATCAAAACATCATTTAAATCACATCATGTGTAACGAACTACACAATATATTTCCATTTTAAGAAGGAACATCTGTTTCTTAGGGGGTTAACTTGGACTTATAATTTTTTCGAGGGAAACACTCCGCGTGCATCACGACGGTAAATAAGTCGCACAACACTTTCTGTGTGAATGCGAGCGAGACTCACCCGTGCGAGGCGAATCTAGGCTGAAGATGTTGTGGCTCGTAGTACTGTGTCGTAAGAGTTCGTTCGTCCAACGTATGCTCAATCGCGTGAGCCTTCGCTGCGGATTTGATATCCATGAACGCCACCGTCGCTGACGCACCCCCGCTGGTCGAGGAACTGCCACCCCCGCCTCCGCCGCCGCCTGAATTGGAACCGGAACCGCCCTCATTGCCCTCGCCAAGGGAACTGCTGGAACCTCCGTCCACGGGGCATTCCTCACCCCGTGGCAGCAGCTTGACGCTCTGCACGCGTCCATACCTGAAAAACGCAATTTAAATTCTGGTTTAAATAAATGCTCAACAATTATAACTACACGTTTTTGTATCCCTATGTGTGTGTGTTAAGAGGACGTGTCAGTGTGTAGTGTTTATGTATAAAAACTTCTTTTGTGAATATTCTGTGTGTGAAAAACTGAGCGACGCTCAGTTAAATTATTTACGTGAAACAGCTGATGACAATTTAAAGGTCGAATCTGTACTCTCGAAAAACTCGTGCATTTCGCACAAAGACTTTTTTTCTTTTTTTACCATTTTTAGAAAGTTCTTTTCGAATGATCACCTTCAAGCGAACCATCGGTTATCTCTCGCAAACGCGGCAACGTTGTCTCTCTGTGTGTGCACAGCATTTGTGCCGGAAGGATCTCGTCACGGGATTGTTCAAGATTTCCAAAAAAAAGGAGGAAGAAGAAACAAAATTGCAGGAACTCCGTAATTTTCCCATTCCCTCCTCCCCCCCCCAAAAAAGAACTCTCGATATCCAGTGTAAATATAAACGAGGGGGGGGGGAAAAAAAAAGAGTAACAAGTTCAAGAGACAGGAAATGAAGAGACAAGAAAAGAGAAAGACGACGAGAAGACCGACGAGGTCCTCCTTTTGTCACTGTGTTCTTAAGATCAGCGCAGATAAAAGTTGTCGCTGATGTTTTTGCCAGGAAAGACCAGCTCTCGCCGACTGACTCAAGACACGGCGAGAATACACGATGAGAAGAAGGAGAAAGACATGAAAGAAGCGCGGCGACGTGTATATACATGTACAAGGTGTTCCCGAAGAAAACGTCAGCTTTAACGTTTTGTGCTTCATCGATCGCGCAACGAAACCGATGCGGCACGACGACCATGTTGTTTAATCTGTACCATGTCTGTAACGGTAACAATCGAATGACGAACGGAGAAAAGTTTTTTTCCAGGACAGAGGGGGACAAACGAAGAGAGAGAGAGAGCTGCGTTTTCCTCCCTCCCAAGTAGCGCCCAATATCGATTTATGCCCATTAGAAGCGGAGATTCGATATATCTTTCTCGCACACAGCGCGGCCTCGATCGTCGAAGTTCTAGCGCGACGAAGGGCAAAAGGGAAGAGGGAAACATATAGGAGTGACAACACCGGAGTTGAGATCTCGTTTTCACTCTGTAGCGGAGAACTTGCGATATTGAATTTCGCATGAAATTAAAGAAAACAAAGAGAGTCCCGGGAGTTGTTTCTGGCACACCCTGTGCAGAGTGCGCGCACGACGGAGGCGATATCACCAAGTAGGGGAGAGACCCGGATGGGGCGAGGTATGTGCCGATTGGTCGCGTTGGAAGGAAATGCTGCACGCAAGCGCATACATCGGGACGATCGGGGTCTCTCCCGGGGAGTCGGTCGTCTAATCTCGCGTGAGTCGCACGTATCTCATACTCTGCTCCGTTTGATCTCCCGTAGGAGAGAAGGACTCTCTCTCTCTCTTTCTCTCTCCTCTGCTACTTAGTCGCACACAACTTGCATTATCGTTTGAGAAAAACATTTAAACTGCAGAAAATATCACTTGACGCATCGAACGGGACACGGGCTAAATGATTTTGTTGTTACGTGCGTAGATGACGAGAGAGGGGAAATGAGAGACTTTTTTTGGACGGTCTGCGCACGGATTATCTGCGGAGATTAATAGGGTTCTCTACAAATCGAAGATCGTCGGAAGCTAGTTTTTTCGCACAGAGACGAGAAAGTATCGAAAAACAGAGATAGCGGGCGTGTCACCAAGAGGTCTGGAAGGTCGTATACGTTTTTTCTCTAGCGGTGTTCGGGCAGGGCGTGGCTGGGCTCTTCTCTTCTCTTGGTCTATTGACCGTAAAAGGATGGGTTCTTGCGTTTCGAATTTTTAAGATTATTTACAATAACGCTCCGGTATGTAGATTCCGACAGCGTGGATCATCCGATCGAGTGAAAAAAAAAAAAAAAAAAAAACAGAAAAAAAATGGAAAATTTTTCGCTTTCGAGGACACACACTCGAGCTCCTCGACGATCGAAAAAATGTTGTTGGAATTTTGACCGTTTCTCGAACAGAAAGAGAGCGGGAGAAGAGGAAAAAGTAAATGCGTAATTCTTGCCACGTATGCATCTGGAAGAATGATCGCACGAAATGGCGGACGACGCCGCGATGTGGCGACCACTCTCGGGAGAGCGCGCCGCTCTCTCCTGCAATCGCTCTCCGTTTTTTCCGCGTCCTCCGCACAATCATTATTATTAGTAGGAAAAATCTACACAATGCAAAGATATCTATTTTGCGCGCGAGAGATGTTTTACTGTGTGATGATCTTGTGTGTTTGTGCTTCTTCGGACCTCGTAGCGATACATGTCCGAAAGAATTTCGCGCGACAACGATTGCAAACGATTTTTCAAAGTGAACCAGTGTCGCGTAGTTGCGATATAAAATTTCGTGATGACAAAAAGAATCATCGGTGTGCTGTATGAAAATCTTAGACGATGCACAGACATTTCTAGGAAATTTTTTCGTGCATTTCCGCATAGTACGAGGAACGAAAAAAAAAAATGTACTTTGTACTCTACTGTCTTTCAGTGCCGTTTCTCAATAAAAAGAAAATGAAATTAAAAACAAAAATCGTTATCTAATCGCAACATTCGTCGACCCACAGTAACAAGTATCAAATTGGAGTCTTCTTCTTCATTTCGTCGGTTGCTAATAAAACTGCACACAATCGAAGATTTGTCATTGTATTTAGTCATAAGAACGTATTGTTTATTTATTTGTTTTTTTTTTATTTTTAAAGAAAACGCACAGTCGTGCGTATTTTCATGAGAGTCCAAAGAAAATTCCCAGGACTCGGGAACGTACTGAAACCACGACCGCGTTCTGCCTCTCGCTCGCGAGAGCCGTTGCTGGCTCTTCTCCCTTCCTACGCTCCGTATCTCCATTCCCCTCATCCCTTCCCTCTCCTTTCCTCGTTTCACCCATCCCCACGGCTTTTAATAGAAAAAGAAAAAAAAGAGAAAAAAAAACAGGTACGCATACAGACGTGTTTGTCGGCGTGCTCTGGTGGTAGTTTCACACACGACGAGAGCGCCCTTTTCCTCCACGTCGTATGAGTGAAAGCGGGTGAAGGGGGAGATTAGCGGAGCGGAGAGCGCATAGTGGGGGAAAGGAAGAATAGAAAGAGAGAGAGAGAGAGAGAGAGAAGAGGGTAATGGCGGAGAGGAAAGCCATCGAGTGCCACGGTGGCTGGCTGGCTTGGCTGGCTGCCTAGCGAGCGAGCCGTGAATCGTATCCCTTCCCTCTTCGAAATTGCTCCCACCGGTCCTCCTGCCTTCTCTTTCCCCGCTTCCATTGCTCATCGAGGAATTTTACTCGGGCAGACTCGCTCCCAGGCTTTGGATCTTCCCCTCCCCCTTCCCCTCCCACCGGTGTTCTGGTCGACGTACGACGGGTTCTGCTTTATGTGGCGGCATTAACATGGGTCTCCATAAACCGAGGGAGTCTCTAGGTCAGCACCGTGTTCTCTTACATTGCAAGAACGCCCTAGCGCAGCCTCGCTCATCTGCTGTCCGGGGCTTGATAATACCAACGACTGTAACCGTTCGAGACGTCCGAGGTAACGATTTCGATGAAGAACGACGACGTAGGTTTATATCGCGCGCGTTTTTTTTTTCTTAACGCGCGCGATATTTCAGCGCGACACACAACAATAATTTTACATTTTCACCTTCGCGCGGTTGCGCGATTCGAAGTAGAGGAAAGAGATATCACACTCGTGTGACTTTCAACTCAGCGACGTTTCAAACAAAAACCGATTGCGCACGAATACGTGTCACATGATTTCGTTTTGTTCCGCAAACGGAACACACAATAAATGTGTGTGTGTGTGTGTATGCAATTTGTTCAATTTTAAGCGGAGACGCGAAGAAATTCGCGTTTTGTTATGAACGGAAATATATTGTCGGGCGAAGGGGAGATATCTGTCGCGTTGCTTCTGTATGCGCGTCTAAAACCAGCGACAGTACGCCACACAGTCTCGTCGATGAGTCATACGGTCGAAGTGTTAAATGTATTTGCGCGCGTTATCAGTGTACACGCAGGTGGACATTATCGTGATTACATCGACGAGCCTGAGCCTCGCTTTAATCGCCGCCATCCATCGCGACGGTGACGTTCCAACGATCGTGCACGTCTTTTTACGTTTCAAACGGGAGACGTTACAGGAAATCAATACATCGGCCCACGAAGCGAAGAGTCTGAGGGGACAAGACAAACGCAGAAACTCGCGTTTTCCGTAAACTCGTCAGCGTTATAAATAACGAATTATCGATCTATTCTATCCGCGAACCGACGCCGCTCACGACGCGTTTGTGGTGTGTGTCGTCTCGTCTCTGTTTATATTATCCATAGATATATAGGTATCGTCGCATTTATCGTGCAATTTTATCGTGCATATGTAATAATAATAATATATAACATTAATGCAAAAATTAAAAATGTCAAAGAATATTTATATTATTGTATCCATGTATTTAAATTGTGCGTAACGTTGGAAACAAAATAAATAAACCAAAGAAATTTGTGACGTGAACTTTGTTTATAAAAAAAAACAAAAAAAAAAAAAAAAAACAATTGTGTGGAAGAGTTCGCATATTCTGTGAAAGAGTTTGCACGGAATAATGCAGTTACATAGCACCGTGAGTTGCACAAGAGGCTCCGGGTTTTCACGAGTGTGACAATCTACCATCAACAATGTGAGAGGTTTCGCGATTCCACGAAGCGCAACGCGGATGAAGAAAAAAGAACACAATGCAAAGTAGACACCCCACTATAGCACAACGACAACGACGACGACTACGACGACGACGACGACGACGCCGACGACGACGACGACGACGATGATGATGATGATGATGATGATGATGACGTCGAGGAAAGAGAGGACTTTTGTTCCTCCGCTGTACGTCTTTGCTTTCTCATAGTTCCGCTCTGGCTCTTACCGCATAAAAGGTCCGACTGGCTGGCTAAGAAAATGGTGATATCGTCGTTTTTGAGAAAGACATTCACGGTTAATCGAAGTATATCGGAATGTATATATTATTTTTTATTTTTTCTCAACGAGTTTTTGCTTGTCTCAACTTCTTATACTTTACGAAGGATACGCATAAATTAATTTGTCGGTGCTGAACAGGATGACGTAATCTGGGAGAAAAAGACAAATATCCGTCGTATAAATCACTTTTAATAATCCTTTTAAATGACTAAATAATTAATTAACTCATTTAAGTCAAATTATTAGATGCAGAAATTTGAAAATCGTATATTTGTCATAAAATTCAGTGGCTACTATAGAAACTTTAACTGTTGTATACATGTATTCAACAATTGCTACATACAAATACATATGGATTAAGATTGACAATTGTAATTGTCAATCTTAGTGCGATCGTATATCTTTATTTTTGAAACATTCAGTATTCAAGGTTCCGAGACGAATGTCTAAACCCTCGTCTATTAGGACGCAGAAGAACGTCCGTTTAAAATGTCTCCAACGAGAGATAAATCCTCGCGCCCCTAATCCTGTAAAGATCATTTAAATGAAGATACACAAAAACAATCGTTCGTGGAAATTAACTCTCGATTGGAAACAAATAATTTGCTGTGCAAAAAAAAACGACTTATCTATCCGAAACATCCACTATCTCCAAAGTTCGTTCATCGGATCCTGTATTGGAATCTGAGAATTGCGAATCGGAGAAATTGGAATTCAATCGAGATAAAACTGGTGGAAAATGGAAATTACCCATTAGATAAAAAAAAAAAAAAAAGAAAAAAACAAAAGAAAAATGAAGATTATCCCATTTTGATTGTATTCTCCAAATTCCGAGTCGTAATTCTCTCACGCAGTGTCGTCAACGCATATATATTAATGATACCGGTCTTAAAGGCAGACGGTACATTCTCCGGCAGACGACACTGACACAAGCAGTGACTATCGCGGAGGCCTCCACCGTGTCGGGACGTCCCAACGAGGCCGGCGAAACGTGGCAACATCGCTATGACTCAGCTCTCCTCATTCCAACTGCACTTCCCCTGTCCCGCTTCCCTAACCCCCGTCATCCAGCCGGCACTACGCAGCTGACGCCCTTCCCCTCCGCGCAGTTGAGGAAAATTGCCCCTCCACTCCCATCCCACCAACATATCCTTTCTCGTGTCCCAGACTCGGCCTCTCCCTCCCTGACGCGCTACTAGCCCCTACCGCACAGCCCCACCATACCGCCAACTGTGCCGCCGACTCTCGCGGGATACTCGTTTGTGCTCCAACCCCCTCTTGGCGGGGAACGCACGGGAGCGATTTCTACGACGGCGCAGCGCGGCGCGTCGCGTTGTGCCGCTTCGCCGAGGAGAGACGAGCGTGCAAACCCAGCGCAAAAACTCCCGTTTGGAAGAAAAACACCTCTCTCTCTCTCTCTCGCTCTCTGTCTGTCTTTTCTTTCTCTCTTCCCCTATCTTCGTTTTTAGCACCGACACTACTCTTTTTTCTCCCGGTCCACCTCCGCGGACTCCCGCTTCTTTCTCCCCCGCGCCCCGGTTTCTTCTCCTTGTCCTGAGAGTTCTTTTCTCTCCGTCCTTGTCCCTCACCTACCCGTCGGTTTTTTTTTTTTTGCACCTTTTATATGGGATCTTCTTTTTCAGGGCCTGCTGCCATAACGTTTCCGTCCATCCCGCGTAGCGCAGGAGCGAACAATACAACGTGATCCAGGTGCAAGAATAAGGGAAGGATGAGAGAGACGAAGGGGAGGCCCGCAGACTTACGTACGTGAGCGAGTGGATGCGTCGTGCGACGTGACTAGCACAAAAACATAGTTGGGACGCGCGTGAATCCGAAGTATTTTTGTTGGCCTGCTGGCTATTTTTCGACAGTAATATCGTAAAAATCGATACATTCGTTTTTCAACTCGGCCAGTTGCTAAGCAGAGCGCATTCCCTCGTTTTTCGATCCGATAATATTCGGCACAGTTTCCAAGCACAATCAAGAGAATAGAAATATCCGTTTTGCTGATGTTTTATTTCTTTCTCCGCACGAACGAGAAATCGTTAAATCATATATATCCGATTGATATTTTCTCTCATTTCTATATTAGAAATTGACCTTTTTTCCAGGTACATTGAGCAACAGTGCATCTGAAATGAATTTGGAACGCTTTTCGGCGGGAAAAACGATAATACATATCTCTTCGAGATAACGATGGATTCGGCGTTGCGCAAGATTATGACATACCTGCTGTAATAATCTTACATATTCGAGCACATCAGCACGACAGTACGAAGAAGAAAAATAAACGCGCACCAGAATTTTTTTGTAAATACACGTTTGCATGAGAAGTCGTGGAATATACGGAAATATATGTCTTACAATGCAGTTGAAAAATCTATTCATCAAATTCTGGTTCATATTCAAACCCTAACGAGAGGAGGTCGTACAGGCTTCGAGGTCGAAGGCAAAGTCACGTTAGGCGACTCTGTGTCGACCATGTGTTTGTTGTGTCGTCGTGCTGAGATGCCGTTATTTTAATGTAGATAAGCTAAGACCGGACTAAGAATGAAAGGCCGTAGGAGACACTCGTGTCGCAGTGCATATATCCTTGCGCACCAAGGCAACATCGAGTAGTCTCTTGCATCCAGCAGATTTTCACAACACAAGAGCAACTGGATTTTTTCCCTCAATAAATCCCACGATAATATATACATGAATAGCCGCTCATTATTATCTCGAAAAGATGGATCATGAATCTTAAACGCTTTTCTCATAATGACGTATGAAACGTACTTCGTAAAGCCGAGCAAATACGAGAACGTTCAGCGTCATTAGGAAAAAAAGTGCCCCCACGTGTGCGTTATTCATTGCACGTTTGCAACAACCTTGTATTAAGCGTCAATGAAGAGATATTTAATAAAATTTCAACTTTTACAAATCAAGAGCATAAAGAATTATACTCTATTATTTCTCTCTCTCTCTTTTTTTCAAAATCAAAAATAACTTTTAAATCGCGAAATTATTATTTACCGTGAAATAAACTTCGACCAAATTTCGAGATTTCTACGCGATTAAATAAGAGAAATCGGTGTGCCAATAACACAAAGTTGAGAAAAAAAAATAACAAGCAATATTTTATTTGAAATTTCATTTTAGAAACATGTTATTTGTGTGTTTATTTTACAGCAATAGTCAGAACACATCACGTGAGACAAATATCATAACAATATTAATTTTATATTAAGTTTGAATATATAAAAAATTAGAGTAACTTAACAACATCAAGTAACTTAATTACATCAAGTTATTCATATCTTTATCGTGGTAATTACGTTACGAAATTGGCGATATCATTGTACTCTCGAGATAAGTAATACAATAACGTTATAACTAATCTAATAACGCAATTAGAGAAAAACAACGATATGGGAATTTTCTTCGAACAGCAAAACGTTGGAAACGTGTGTGATGCAGTCTTAACCGATAAGTCGTCATGAATATATTCTACGTGTTAGACAGCGTCTGGACAATACGCAGCCTGCTTGGCAGGTTTCTAAATACCGAGCACCTGTTACAAGTCTAATTCTTTTGCAGCAGTGGTTCCCAAATACAATTCAAAACGAAATCCTAGTTTTTTAAAACATAGGCATAAAAAAAATTTTAACTTTCACGTCCAATCCTCAACAGAAATTTTCCACTAAAAAAGTGTGAACGCAATAATCTAAACTCACAGGAATTCAATTAATCGACATTTTTTAAACAGATTTTTGACGTATTTTTTATCGCGATACACTCGATTAATAATTCTACGCGCATAAAGTTCCGCTTTCATTGTTCGGATATTATTATCGGTGTGCCAACCTCGGTGTGTCAAAAGCATCAATCGAAATCCAGAATTTAGATGAAAGAATATTTCTACAGGGCAAATGTTCTTTCATTCAATTTGAATACGGTTCACAAACGGAGAAAAAAAAGGAGAGTGTTGAGGCAAGAGCCTCCTCAACTTTGAAGCACCGAGCGACGAGCGACGCAAAGACAGTCGATCGTTCTAAGAGAAAGAAGAGAAGAAGTCGGAAGAACGAGAAATAACGGTAGTCGATATTACGACCATTCGCCGCGCCTACATTCTGCTGCGGCGTTTTTCGTTCGTGCTTCTGTCCCGTGAAGAGAAAGCCGGCGTCAGTGTCTTTTGTATACTGTTCGTTGCGTGTTCGCTCCAACGTCACGAGAGAAAGAGATGACGAGATAAGGTGAGAAAGAGAGAGAGAGAGAGAAAGAGACGATGTATTCGAACGATACTTTTATAAGACAACAAGTAGAACAAAACGTAGACGGATATGCGCGACAGAAGGATCGGTCATGTAACTTCATGTCTCAGCTACATTCTCGATTGGGATCGCGCGAGTTGCGCCAGATGAAAACCGACGTAGTATGTACGATGGGCTCTTGTTCTTCAAAACAACTAGTCGTATAACGCTCTAGCGTGGTTGTAAAGTTGTTCTCTGCAGGGCAGATCCCGTCGGAGTAACTTTTCGTGTCTCGCGCGGAATTCAACGTTCGCCAGCTCTCCTAACTTTTACAGCGATTGTATTTCTGTACACGGTTCTATACGACATCGGCCGAAGGCGGCGGCGGCGGCGGCGGCGGCGGTGGTGACGCGCGGCGTTCGCGAGCTGTGAAGGAAGAGAACTCCTCTTTCTTCAACAGACTAGAGAAAGAGATACAGACAGACAGACAGAGAGACAGAGAGAAAGAGAGGCGAAAGAGAGAAAGAAAAAGACTCGCGATTCGAGCGAGCGAGAGAAAGAGAGAAGATTCGGTCGCGCGAACCAATGGCGTAACGCTTTCGCGGAACGGTTTTACGGGCGACGAATTATCGTCGGCGTGAAAAAAAAAAATCCCGTTGCCTTTTGTATCGCGTCTCTTAAATTCTCGCGGATTTTCCCGAGAAAACGAAACGGAAGGGAGAAAAGATTCTTCGAATATCCTCAATCTTTCCGGGAAGAATAGCCGTGAAACTTGGGAAAATCGCACGGACTCGCGCGGAGCAATAAACTTCGCCATTTACGAGCGCGCGGTTAAAAATCGTAATTAACTGACGTGGCTGTCAATGCGCGTTACCGCACGTTAAGTGGAACGGGCGAGGCAACGAGGCGACGGTGTGACCGCAGAAATGTTAAAAGCGCGGGAGAATACGCGGAGAGAGAATAAAGGTTTTGCAAGGTGCGGCTGGAGTTGCAGGAGTTACGCCATTGGATGCGTGCACACGATGCAGCGCAACTGCAGCCTCCTGTGGCGATGTTCACACCGAGACTGCTTTTTTTCTAGGGCTCCCTTCTCCCTCTCTCTCTCGCACGATTTCACCACGCTCAGCTGGGCATAGTTCTCTTTCGCGAGAGATATACACGATATATATGTACTTGCACACACACACACACGCTTGAGTGTGTGTGTTACGCGCTTCTCTGCCGTAATACGCGCACCACGCGTGAACGGGGAATGGACGCGAGCTCGGACAACGATTTCACGATGTTTACGCGCGCGAAACGTCGCCCCGTATTTTTTCCGTTTCTCTTCTCGCCCGTGACGTGTCCGCGACATCAGTCTCTTTCTTTCTTCCTCTTTCTCTCTCTCTTTCTTTCTTGGAGATTTACGCGTTGTTCCCAGACGGAGACACGAAAAACGCAACGCGAACCGAGTTCCTCCGTCGTGTGTCAAACCTGGTCCGACGTAAACAGGAAGTAACATAATACAGAGTCCGTGAGAGAAGAATTATTTCATATTTCGCGATCTAACGGAATCCGTGTGAGAGACGCTTTGATTCTTCTCGAGATCGTTGCAAATACTCACCAGAGCTGAGAATAATAAATGTCTCGAATATGTTTATAATTTATCCACGCAAAAGTACATGTAATTACACGTCATTTTTATTTTCAACAAATGAATCGCGAAAAACACGGAGGAAAACAGAGCGGTTATTACATTAATTAGGGGACGTAAATGAGCGCGATAAAACGATCGCGTGACACGTGAAAAAAAGTCGCGATACACACACACACACACTCTTTCTCTCTTTTTCTCTCTCTCTCGCGGCAAGAACCTCGGAAAAACAACATGTATCATCTTCGGGGTATTTCTATGGCCGTGTATCTCTAACGCGTGCGAAATCATTTTGCAATTATCTCGTCGACTCTCGACCAGACAAAAAGAGGAAAACACACACACATACGCACGGCGGAGAATTACAGCATGGACTTGTTTCGAGGGGAGAGATATCTAAATGATATCAGTATGTAGTGGTGAGTAGAGAAACGAGTTCTTTCTCTCTCTCTCTCTCTCTCTTTTTCTCTCTCGTCAGATTGCATCGCGGAACACAACTTATCTAATTTTGTCGGGAAAATCTTCAAATCTAAATAAAAACACGCGGACACGCACGCGAGCGGAATTCTTTCATTTATTATAACGCGATGCGATGCATAATTCATAAACTGATAAATGGAAACCTGATAATTTATGCCTGTCCCAGTATTGAAATATTTTCACAAAATGTATATTTAAGTGGCGGTTGAACTTTTTAATATTTATATATGCAATATAACATGTACACATATGTATTTCCACAAAAATTTCTTTTATCGACAACCTTAACGCTCTTGTATAGTAATTTTTTTTTATGTATTATGTAATGTATATATATCATATTATTTATTTTTGCTCGGATATACGACGATGTACACGAAGAAATTATTTGTTCGTAGCGTTAAAAGTTCATTTACGGATCAGCTCCGTAAACATTTACCGAGCGTTACGTAGCGGCAACATTGTTACATGTTGTGTGCTATCTTCTTTAATATTCCGCACCATATCGGTACACGAACTGTGCGGAGTAGATTTAAGGTGCATCACGCGGACAAGGTGTAACGCATGCTAAATAGAAACAATTAATAACACCTATAAAGCCTTTCCCATAAGCCTTCAACTTCGCCGCGGATTTGTCGCGAAATGCAAATATCGTAGAAAGCTTTCGCGAGTTGAAAATGCTAACTTATTTATTTATTTAGTTTTCAAACTTTACGTCGTCACAAACAAACTGACGTGTCATTTAAAAAAAAAAAATGCGATTAGATAGAGATACAAGAAAAATTCCTGAAAAAATATATTTCGCATCACGCGTTATTTCTTGAAAATTCATATTTTACACATCCTGCTCCAATTTTTTGTCATACCTGTGAGCGCAATTTTCCCTCGATACTTGGAAAATTCAGAAGGAGAGGAAAATGACACAAGCCCCGCGCTCCGAAACGATTTACGGAGTCTGACTCTCCTTCGAGGTGGGTGGCGTGCCGGACGTAAATCCACGAGGGGGAAGGCGTCTGTTTTAATGACGCTCTATTTTCGTCGATGGTACTCGAACTCGCGCCTGTTGTTTTGTCAGTCAACAGGAAGTAATGGAATTTTATTTCTCTGCATGCGCGTATGTGCATGCATACAAAGTCCGTTCCCCTTCGTACACGCGCAGCTCATTGGAAAGTCCGCCGCAGAAATTGAGCGAGGCGAGGAAAAATGCATTATCAACAATACATTTACCCAATGAATAAAACAACTTTTTTTTTTTTTTTTTTTTTTTTTTTTTTTTAGTGAGAGCATTATTACAACATAAGTATGTATTTAAGCGTCGACTAGAGTAACTTTTATTTTTTAATAGATCGTTGTGTAATCCGCATTAGAGGCAAATTAGATGCGTAACTTGCTCGGCTTTTAAAACGGACATGTGTCAACTCTTGTTGTTGCTTTTGTTTTCTATTACACTGCACGAGCTGCGAAAACATATGTTTCAATGAAATCTTTCCGTTTTATGGAGTCTACG